TGACCATCGTGCGGTCCAGGGCGGACGCGGTCGGCGCTCAAGCGATGTCCCACGATGTGTCCAAGTTGCTGGAGGCCATTCGTCGCGCACAGATTCATTCCAAGCGACAGCACCACGACAAAAGATCGTTTGAAAAGAGCATGATGAAGAACATCGGGTCCATCTACAACGACAAGAAGACTCCCATCGCCACGGCAACGTTGGCCAAGTCATCGTCCACGGCGCATGGTTGGCACCACATGGCTCAAACTTTCTTTCGGTGCCTTGCACGGGCGCTGGAGAGCTGCTTTGGCAAGCGCAAACCCAATTGACATGTACTTCGCACCCTGAGCCAAATGTGGCGCACAGCATTAAGTGAAACTGTCAACCGTTACATGTTTCTTCTACCCGCGTTGCATGTCAAAAGTGTATTTGTGGCCGATGGTGGCGCCCCCCGTTTCCACGAAACACGCGTCGATCGACGAGCGGCGCATCATGCGAAAGCATGCCATTCCAGAGCATGCATACACAGGGTTCGTTTGTGTCCCCATCATGACCAAGCACCTCAACGGATGGCGGTGAGACTTGTAGATACGTTCCATCACACAATCGAGACGTGGGCGACGTCAAACCGGTGGTTGGCAAGATCAAGCACGCCATTGTCGGCTATGGAGGTGCGCGAGAGAGACGTGCACAGTCAAACTGATTTGTCGATAGGCCATCGACATAACAAACAAGACATGATCGGGACGACATTTACACATGGCTTGGAGATTGTGCCGCAGCCCGTGAGTTTGCAGAAACCGCATGCACTGGTCCTGCCCAAGAAAGACCTGTCCATGTCCGCATCGGGCTACGGAGTCTTTGATGAGCTCTCTGGGTATGGCCAATTCCTGGCGCGCAGTCAAATGGCAAAATCTCGCGATGGCGCGGCAGGGCACGGGAAAAAAGACAACTGTAGCCACGACGGACAGTTTGCAGCACCACCCCATGATGGCTCCACGTATGGAGAACCCGCGCAGAGCAGCAAGAACGGCCAGTTCGCACCGCCACCCGCCGCCTCAGGCTACGGCCAGTTTGAGAATGCCAGCAACTACGGCCAGTTCGCGCCGCCTCCCGCCGCCTCAGGCTACGGCCAGTTTGAGAATGTTAGCGGGTACGGACAGTTCGCACCGCCACCCGCTGCTTCAGGCTACGGCCAGTTTGAGAATGCCAGCAACTACGGCCAGTTCGCACCGCCTCCCGCTGCCTCAGGATACGGCCAGTTTGAGAATGCCAGCAACTACGGCCAGTTCGCGCCGCCTCCCGCTGCCTCAGGCTACGGCCAGTTTGAGAATGTTAGCGGGTACGGACAGTTCGCACCGCCACCCGCCGCCTCAGGCTACGGCCAGTTTGACAACGCCAGCGGGTACGGACAGTTTGCTGAGCCGCCTAGCCGACCCAACATCAAGGGGATGGTGCATTCCGGCCACGTGAACAACAACAGCAAACCAACGGTTGTCCAAGCTCGAGATGCAGCAGCTCAGGGGCGACAAAGACTATCTCCACTTCCCACCATCCATTTCGACGACTTGTGCCGCAACGAGAACCTTCGCGAATTGTACCATCGAGTGCTTCGACGAATTGGCGGGGCGTCTGGGGTGGCTTCGACGTATCATCGATTGTTCAACGTGCTGCGGCAACAAAGAGGCTCGAAAACGGACTTGAAGAAGCGGGTCAAAGCCGCGTTCGAGGTCGTCACGGCACGAGGTTAACGGCATATCATGTCTTGGCCATCTCTCATCATGCGGGCGTTTCTTTCGTAGATGGAAAGCTCGACATAGACGGTCTGAACGATGCTTTGACTAAGCTCTCGGCAGTCATTACGTCCGACGAGGTACTTGCCCTCATCGTTGGCCGAATCCATGGTCAAAATGGCGCGCGCGCATCGCCGTAGGTCCTCGCCCTCTTTTGCCCTTTCGATCACAGCTGCACAGGTATGCCCGCTCTAACTTTTCCCACGAAGCATTCCCCATGCTGACTGTATGCTGCAGGACGAGTCTTGGCCAGCCATTTCGTCAGTTTGTTGTATACCGAACTAGAGAAGTAACAACGACCTGGTCGTTCTTCCCTGCCTATCGTGCAGTCATGTTCCTTGCAACAACACGTGCGCCAAGCAAGCGGCCTCTTCGTCCGTCCATTCTTCAGGGCACGATGGGCCAGCGGGGTCGGCAGCAGTGGCAGGTGCTTGTGGCGGCTCGATCGACGGAACGAGTACTCGAGCAGACATGTGGAATTGCCCAGACGCAGAGCGGGGGGGCGTTGGGTGCACGGGAGGTTTTGGATTCATTGCCGGTGGCGGCATGGGGTGGGATTTCATGAACCGATTTGGTTTCGACACGCATGATTTCGGTCGGAGCGTTGGCGGGATAGCGGCCTTTGAGCAGTCTGGGGCGGTCGAACTCGCCAACAACATGGCATCGAGTGCGTCAATATCGATGACATGCACGTTGTCCCGTGGGTGTGAGAGCATCGCGACAGTCTTGAGCTACCCATCGAACAAGTGAGTCGTCGCTCATGAGCGGCCGCGCATTCGTTTTATGCAAACCGCCTTACGTCGTTGATGCTGACGGGGGTGCTGGCGTTGTAGCACAGCGTAAATAGTTCGTGAATTGTCACGGTCGAGTGTTGTGGCTCGACTCCGTGATGAGCAAGCACCGATCGAAGGGATAGATTGTGAGCTGGGGCGCTGGCACGGATGACTGTGCGAAGCGAAGCTAGAGCTGCGGCAGCGGGGCTTCGCGGGCGCTGCTTTGCGACGGGTGTACTAGACGGCACGGCCTACGTTTCATGGAGTTGGCGCAACGTGTGAAACCGAGAGATGCACCGCAGCCGACGGGCGTGGTCGCGTCGGGAAGAGTGTCGATGCCGCCGCAGACACAGGTCGAGGCTTCGCCACCAACTCGACTTTGTCGTATGCAGGCGGCGCTGTCGACAACATGTCGCAAGTAAAAACACTGTGTCCATGGCAAGGGATCGCACCGTGCTGTGTTTGGTTGTCCGAGGCGGTGACGTCCGGTCGACCTACCAGGTGGAGACTCGGCCCAGCGAGCGAATTTCGGCGGCTTGTGGACGAAGTGGAGGCGGGAATTGCCGCACCTGGCGCCACCGGGACAACGGACGTGACAGGTTTTCGACATAGATTGCGCGCGGACTGAGGTTTCTTTGGTCCCAGAGCCACCGCCACAACCTGTCGCGGATCTTTCCAACTCCTCCATCGCGTGCTTTGGTCTACAGCGCCGCATGTTCACTTGCATGTGCCAGCCACGAGCCAGGGGATGCTTACTCGATGGTCGGGGTTTGGAAACAGAGCACGACGGTGGCGCAGTCTCTTGCGCGACTGCTTTCGTGTTGATGTCTCTGCAGCACTCTTCACACACTTGAACGGTGCGATATCTAAACACTCGTTATGCATGACATGTCCAGGAACGGCTTCATGTACAAAAAGGACGCGTCGTGCATCAACGCAGTAAACTTGTCGTCGCTCAATGGCCCGTACGCCGTGCGGATGGCCCCTGGAACGATTCCATCCCCAACTAGAGTCGGATCTGAATGGCTTTGGCTGGAAGATCGATGCGCAGCCAGGATGGCTTTGAACGTGACCTACATACAAGTACCAGTCGCCATGAGCACGGGTCGCCCTGGAGATGGATCCGCGCACGAGGAACGTCGCCCCCATCGACCCCGTTCGTTTACGGCACGGATTGCCGCATGCAGGACACGTGCTAGGCGCGGCGCCGTCGACCAGCGTGGATGCATGCCACGGCTCGAATCGGCTCGGGGTGACCAGTTGGCACGGGACGATGGCTTCTTGGTTTTCAAACACGATCGAGGACGGCCACAACAGGTACAGTTTGTTATCTGCCCCCATCTACGCAAGTCGTCGGTTTTCAAAGAGAAAAGGGTCGGGAGAATGCACCTTGAAATGCAGCACTTGGCGCGTGATGGCCATGCCGACAGTGGCGGCGACGTGGTCCACCACTTCACGATTCCAACACGTCAGCGTTTGCAGCGTCGTGGGGTTCCCGATAGCTTCTACCAGCCAGTCAACCAAGCGTGTCGAGGATGGCGGCAGTACTTTGTGTCGTTGCCGTCGGCGACTCGAACGTCACAGCCCGCAGTTCGATGGGCATGAGCTCGTTCACAAACATGTGCGGGTTGGTGCAGCGCAGAGCTGTCTGGCACGTGTCATGGGCAAACACGGTTTGCATCATGTTGTTGTAGCACGATTTGGGTGGCACGAACTTCTGCAGCATGCCGTGGGTCGATGCCATCGGGTTATTCAGCAACGATTCTAGGCAGGACGACCAACGTGATCGCTGTGCCAGCAACGAGGCGCAGCGTACCAACGCCAGCAAGAGAGAGATGGTCCACGACGAGAACTCGCTTCTCTGTGACCAAGTACACGTGCACGGCTGCGATCGGACCGGCAGCGGTCTCGTGGAGGTACCGAAGGAGCTTGGACTTGGTCGTGTTGTCCTTTTTCCGTCGAAGGACCTTCTCTCGCAATGAAGTATGGCATGGAAGATGATGTCGAGAATGGCACGCACCTCGCCAGTCTTGGACGTGAAATACCATTGTTGAAGGACGCCTCGGTCCAGGAGGATGGTGTCAGGGATGCACAGAGAGAGAGGCTTTGTGCGGGTGTTCTTGAGCCAAAGGCAAGTAAAGATGTTTAGTGGTTGTTGATCCAGCCGCAGCGACAACGGATGCACCGCATCGTCCATGTCCCCTCAATCTCTCACTGCAGCTATATTTGGCCATCCCAAACGAATCATGTGCCTGATGTCCTCCGTTCAGGTCGACGTTCGTCGCCACTCACCAAGTTGTCGGTGCAGCTCCGCATTTCAAACATCGCTCAGCCACGTTCGACATGCCATACAGCATTCATACAAGGACGACTCGCATGACCACGGGGAACCCGATGCCGCGCGGGCTGGAATTGGTGTTGTCGTGTATCCAAGCACGTGACAGTTACACGCAATAATATTTGCACGATGTATCTCCCTTTTGTATGTAATTAAAATAAATCCTTCAATTTGGCGCCACGAAGGTTCCGTTGACGACGATGGCAAGCCGCGGCGGCGATGACGACGCGTTCAACCTGTTTGGAGGTCCCCCGGCCAAGAGAAGCAGCATGAGTGCGGATGCTGCATGCGACGATACGCAGCTATTCCCAACACCGTCAATCCCAAGCACATCCACTGCCTTCACAGGTCCGTGCACGATCCGTCGAATGACTCCATGGCTTTCCGCCTACGTAGACCGTCCCTTTGACTTGTTTCCATCCAAGCCAGTGCACCCGCAGCGGCAAGACCTCGACGAACTTTTTCCCACCACATGCGACACCGCACCGTCGTCGCTTCCGCCTCGTGCCGTGACGTTGTCAAGGGGCGAGTCTGCAACTCCGTCACTCGTCCAGGACGAGTTCAAGAAAGCAGGCAATGCGATGGATATCATCCTTGTCCGAAACGCGGATGGCACATCGATCGGGTGTACGCCATGGCACGTCGCATTCAGCTTCTCGCGGTTCCTTCCTTCCGGTGTCGGCGATCGAGTCGACGTGTATTGCAATGGTGTCCAGCTGCCTGCGCCCATGGTGCTAGGGGACAAAGGGCGCGTGCTCTTTGCGTCAGGTACAGTCCATTTCTCAAGTTTACGTCATGATCGTGTGTGCCAGGTCGAGAGCAGCCCGACGACTTGACCCTGGCCGCCATATCATCGATACTGCCGATGGACTTCCCGCCACTGTATGCGACTCTGCGCTTCGAGCATCGCAAGCCGCTCACGTGTGTCGTTCGGGTCGTTGAGTGCCGCATGTACCTGTGGGACCCCGATGCCGCTGTCGTCGTCGCCGATCTCGACGGCACCATCACAATCAACGACGTTGAAGGGCACATCCGCACGCTCCGCCTTGGTCAATACAACTTTATCCACGCCGGCGTGTGTGAGTTCTATGCCCGTCTCCATCGCATTGGGCTTCGGATTCTGTACCTCACGGCGCGTCCGATCAACTGGGCCGATGCGTCCCGCGACCACTTGGACGGCGCGGAACAAAACGGTGTTCGCCTCCCGCCCGGACCGCTTCTCACAAACTCGAGGGGGCTCACAGGTGCCCTCCTCACCGAGGTGCCTCGACCGCCTCTTGTGCGCCGTTCGTTCCATGAGCGTCCGTAGGTCGTGCACAAGACACCGCATGTGTTCAAAGCCAACGTCCTCAACTCGGTCCAACTCGCGTGCATCTCTGGCGGACGGCAGTCGCCGCATCCGCTCTTTGTCGCTGGGTTCGGCAATCGACAGACCGACGTCCATGCGTACGCGGACGTGGGAATCCCAGCCATTTGCGTCATCGACGCGTCGTCGCGATTACAAGTTGCTGTGCCACGCCCGTCGACAGCGCCAGAAACGCTGCCTCCATTTGACTCGTACGCCGACCCCCGTGCAATGCGATGGCTCCTGACGCGACTTCGGGTTCCGATCGCCCTCGCCGACAAGGTCGACGCACATTTGGCCGAGATGATTGTCGCCGCCGACGAGTACGACACGCGGCGACGCGGGATCGTTGCACAGCAACTGGAGCAGCAACAGAGGCACCGAAACACGCACTCTTTTTGATTGTATTGAGCCGGCAATATGTCGTCAAGCCCCACGAAGGAGAAATGTTACAGCAAAGTGGGGAGGATGGAATTTGGCGAGGAAATGTTTGTGAAAGGGAGCAGCTTTCTCAATCACTTCACTCGTTGCTCGGCCACGCGTCGGCCGACTATAGATACAAAAAGGAGCGTGTAGGTCTTACAACTTGGACGCACCGCTTGCCTCGTACGACACGATGTGCGGGTAGCACGGTAGCGTCAAAAACTCGGGAAAGGTTGGGCCCGTTAAAATGTCGGCCGTCACGTCCTTCGCCAATGCGTACTTGTGGTCGCCCTTGGCGCGAGCAAGGTGCTTGTTTGTGCAGTCGTCGAGAATGTTCAGCACAAGATCCTTTGTAATGCGCTGGCCATTGGCGGTGGACGCAGCATGCTTGAGCCACTGCCACACCTGCACGCGGGAAATCTCAGCAGTCGCGGCGTCTTCCATCTTGTTGTGAAGGGGAATGCATCCATTGCCTCGTAGCCACGCCTCGACATACACGAGGGTCACGTCGATATTTTCTTGTAGCCCAGTCATCGAGATCGATCCTACTGGCACCTCAATTAAGTCCTTCGCTTCAACAGTCGCGCTCGCCAATGGAGCGGTCTTGTGGATCTGGTTGGGTGTCGTCATGTTGGCATTGAAGACGTCCATGGCGATATTGACAAGACCAGGATGAGCTACCCAGGTTCCATCGTGGCCCGCGACCACCTCTCGCAACTTGTCGTCATACACTGCCTTCATAAACTTTTCGTTGAGTGCGGGGTTGTTCTTCACTGGGATTTGGGCCGCCATGCCGCCCATAGCGTGAGCGCCGCGTTTGTGGCAAGTCTGGATGAGCAACTTAACGTAAGACGCCATAAATGGTGTCGTCATTGACACGGCAGCACGGTCGGGCATGACGAACGACGGGTGGTTGCGAAACTTTTTGATGAACGAAAATATGTAGTCCCAACGACCGCAGTTCAACCCGCTCGAATGTTCCTTGAGCGCAAAGAGAATCTCTTCCATCTGGTACCCCGCCGTGATTGTTTCAATCAGAACCGTCGCCCTGATCGTTCCCACGGGGACGGCTAGGTAGTTTTGCGCGGCAATAAACACATCGTTCCACAGACGGGCTTCGTTGTGGTGCTCCAGTTTGGGCAAGTAGAAGTATGGCCCTGATCCACGTTGAACGAGCTCGTGGACGTTATGAAAAAAGTACAGCCCAAAGTCGAACAACGACCCGGACATGATCTCGTCATTCACCGTCAGGTGAGCTTCGTCCAAATGCCAACCGCGGGGTCGCACTAGCAAAGTCGCGATTGTCTCGTTCAAGGCATATGTCTTGCCCGTCGCAGCTTGTGTGAACGAAATTGTCCGACGAACGGCGTCACGAAGATTGACTTGGCCCTGCACCAGCGTGCGCCACGTGGGCGATGTCGAGTCTTCAAAATCAGCCATGTAGCACTTGGCCCCTGAGTTCAAACCATTGATAACCATCTTGCGATCGACTGGGCCAGTGATTTCAACGCGGCGATCTTGCAAGTCATGGGGTATGCTCGCCACTTTCCACGCGCCGTCGCGAATGTACTTGGTTTCAGGCAAAAAAGTCGGGAAATGGCCCGCGTCCAATGCAACTTGGCGATCGGCGCGGTCACGCAAGAGCTGCCGCCGTCGCGCTTCAAACGATTCGTGCAAGTGGGCGAGGAAGCGCAGGGCGTCGGGAGTGAGAATGTCAAGGAACTCGCGAGGCATCTCACCGAGGACGCGGACTTGATTGATGCGAAACGAGGACATGTTGGTCTGCGGAGTGGCGCGCAAATTCCGAAATGCCGATGCACGGGGAATGGCGGGCTTTGAAACAGTTGCGAGAATGTTGAGAAAACATAAAAGATTTCCTCGGGCAAAATTCACGCCATGTGATTGGCTAAATGTAGCCAATCAGACACAACTTTCGTCGGATTGGCTGATATGAACCAATCATTGGATACAACAACTGCCACGACTGCCGCGTCATGGTGATTCTTCGGCAACTTCAACTCGCGGTACTGCGGTTTTGCCGCGCCAACCGGTGCGTCCTTGCTTCGGGCCATTTGCTACCGATCCAAGGTACGTTGGTTTGCGTGCGCTGTAATGGATTGCATGGGACGCTCATGGTTACGGGCGCCACGGACACGCGCCAGTCATCGCCCAAGCACCTTGCGATAACGGGAATCTCCACGATTGCGCAATGTCTTGACTCCCGTGATTCGCACTCACTTGACCGCGGGCCGAGACTCACAACGAGCGCCAACCTATGGCCAACATTGAATTCGTGATGCTTTCTCCACGGTGCTGTGTGCGTTTGGAAGGAGGAGCATTCCCATCGAGGGTTGTTGCGACGTGTATGCTCAGAGTGCTCTCGCATAACCCGCCTCCCTCGTGTAATGTATCTGTGGCGCGCATGCATGCTTCACGAGCTTTCGGCAGAAAATGTACTCCCAAGGAGGTCGGTATGATGTGCCCTCTTTCGTTCAGCACGACTAGTCGACACCAGGACATGAAACTGCTCCATCTCCCGAGCAACGACCAACGCGTCGAGAGTACGAGCGGTCCATACCTCGGGTACCCCTTGCTGTGGTTCCACCTATGCAGAAGTGACAAAGATGAGTGCTGAGCCGGCATGGAAGGATTGAGGCATTGTGGTCGCCTCCGACAATAAAGGATTAGAGTAGCGCTCCTCAACAGTACGGAAGCCACGCCAATATCATTATCCTGCAACGTTTAAGAAGCTCGTCGATCTCGACGACATATCTCGCAACCGAGTGCTGATACCTCAATAGCTTCCACTGCGCTCCCCATCCATGTGAACCAAGACGGCCAAGACGTGCTGCTCTTTCAATTGCATGCCCGTTTCCATCGAAACTCCTGGACGAAATCTACGCAGGTAGCTGCAAGTGGCACTTTTCCGATGCGTCGTGACGTCCAGCACATCGCGTGCATGGCTGGAGTGGCGCTGGAGCGGGCGTTCCAAAGGTTCGTATGAACCCTGTATATTCACGAGTTGAATCACGTCTCGGTGGTGGCCGCGTTCGTCATCAAATGGACGCGTCAAACGCGTCCGAGTTTATGGGAAGGACGTGATGCCGTGCATGAGGGATGGGATAGTCCATGACATCGTCGAAGGGCGAAGTGGATTACGACGTAAAGATATACACGCGCATGAGCGCCATTTCATCGTGGTGTGAATGAGCTGCGGGGCACTTACAACAAGCCGAGCTGCTTAATAGTCTTGAATTGGTCTGTCGGACAATCGTCAGCATGCGCGGGGTCGACAGTTCACGCGATTACCTGGCACTTCCATGAGAGCGGCGGTGGCGAACCCGACCTCGGGGGTCCGTGGGTTCAGTCGCAGCACCCTGGAATACTCGACAAACTGAAAGTTGTCGAACCGGCGCGTGGGCAACTTGTCGTCGAACTCTTCCATCATGTCCTATGCCCACATCACGTGCCCATCGAAACAACTGCGCTCCAAGCATACCCATGGCCCGTCACCAACGCCCACCATGATGATAGCTACAAAACGACATTGTCATGGGCTCGTGGCATGTCCACGCAACTCACAGATCGGATAGTTCGAAGCAGCCACGATCGCATCCCGCGTTTCCTTTTCGCTCGTCACTTGACCGTCCGCCACGATGACCAAAATGTGGTATTGCCGCGTTTCCTGCACGATGCGGATGGTTTCGTGGATGACGGGGGCAAAGTTGGTGGGTCCAGACAGATGGATCGTTGGCGTGAGCTCCTTGTATCGCGCGAGGACTTCATCGAAGCCGTGGCATGGGCGATTGTTCACGCCAAGGCTGAAGAAGCCTGTCGAACCGGATTGAACATCTCCAAACCCCAGGGCCGGGATCAGTTTGTCGTCGTCGAAGACCTCGAGCGTGCGTCCCATGATGTGGATCACAGACTGCGCACACGATGAGCTGATCCTTCTACCATACAGCGACTCTGAGCGATGGAGTAGTACCTGATATGGGTTCACGTTAGCGCCGGTCGGGTCAATGTAGTGGAGGCTCTTGCCTTGGAACGACTTTTCACCACTCCACTGTCGCAGGCGTCAGTCATCATGCTCGTGTTCCACACAGGACGCACCTCGTTGGATTTTGTGTAGTCAATTGCAACGACGAGGTTGGACGATTCGAGCCCCGCCCTGCGCAACGCTTGTTGCAGTTCCGCTGGGAGGAGACACAACGGCTCAGTCGGCGCGAGTTGCATGCCTGCAGCGCAAACCTCGTACCATACGTTTCGTACTTGTCAGCGATGGCGGTAAATGTTGGGGGAGCAGGCGCGGACTGATGGACAGCACTCGGCAAGGTTGCCGTGTCTGTGGAAGGTCCACACCCCATGGCAAATGTGCGATTGTCACCCCCGCTCGTGTGAAGTCCGCTGGACACAATCCGACCATCTCCCCATCTCACAATCCACTTCGGCCAAATTTGGAAATTCCTCCAAAATTTTGTGAAAATTGTGGCTTGTTTCGATTAAATTTTATTACCTCATCTGGACTGACGTTTCCACACTCTGAACTTCTATGTATGCTCGAAGAGCTTGGAAATGACCGCGTTCGACATGGAGAGCATGGTGAGCTGCACACACCAAGCCACGCCAGTGCTCGTTCGAGATAGACCATTCTTCGCAAAACAAACTGCTCCATGACCGTGATCTTGTAGGAAAATTTGAAAGCGAAGTTGCGACCGGTGTCCGAGTGGCCTGACGATGATTCTGCGTGCGAAGCCAAACACACACTGAAGGCACGCCCGATCGCTGTTGTTTCGCAACAGATGAATCAACAAGACTATGAAAGCGCCCACGGTGATGTCCCGCCGCCTTGTACGGTCGTCTACAGCAGCATTCCGAGCTGCTTGATCTTGCTGTATTGCTCTAGAACACCGTTTGTCCAACAACCACCAACGACGCACGTACCAGGGATTTCCATGAGGGCAGCCGTGGCAAACCCGACCTCTGGGGCCGTCGGGTTTCGAAGCAGCACTTTGGTGTACTCGACAAATTGAAAGTTGTCGAAGCGGCGTGCTGGCAATTCGTTGTCGAACGCTTTCATCATGTCCTACAACCTCGTGCGACCGTGTCCAAGCTGTTCATTCACGTACCCACGGCCCGTCGCCGACACCGACCATGATGATAGCTGTACAAGACAGAACCAAGTTACGATCACGATGCCCACGAATGCCGTACAAATGGGATAGTTGGATGCGGCCACGATCGCATTTCGAGTTTCCGTCGCATTGCTCACTTGGCCATCGGCAATGATGACCAGGATGTGGTACTGCCTAGATTGCTGCACGATGCGAATCGTTTCGTGAATGACCGGGGCAAAGTTGGTAGGTCCCGACAGTTGGACGAACGGAGTCACTTGCTTGTACCGATCAAGGACCTCCGCAAGGCCGCGGCAAGGAGCGCTGTTCACGCCGAGGTTGAAGAAGCTCACACATGACGTGCGAGTATCGCCGAATCCAAGTGTTGGGATGAGTTTGTCGTCGTCGAATGCTTCCAGCGTGTGCCCCATGATATAAATGACAGACTAGACTTGTATCAGTCGCGACCTTGCGGCTTCGAATGATGTCGAGTAGCGTACCTGGTACGGGTTGACTACAAAGCCTGACGGGTCGATGGAATGCAAGCACTTTCCTCCAAACGACTTTTCTCCACTCCACTGACGAGACTTGAGGATGAGCATTGACTGCCACGGCACACACACACACACACCTCATTCGATTTCGTGTAATCGATCGCGACGACAAGGTTGGATGATTCAAGGCCAGCCTTGCGCAGGGCTTGCTGGAGCTCCTCTGCCACAGCCAGCATCATCAAGACAGACATCCAGCCATGCCGCGCATACCATACGTTTCGTACTTGTCCGCGATGGCATGGAATTTCGGCCGTGTATGCTCTGGGGCAGACCCAGCACTGCTCGAGGTATCGCTCGATGGTGCACACCCCATCGCCAAATCGATTGTCCAGTGTAATGTAACTTACTGTGAGAAGGACGCCAGTTCGCTCAAATAAATTCTCCACTGTCTTGTTCTTGTCTATAGTATAACTTAAAATATTTTGTTTCGATGTATATCCACATGTCGATAATATGAACGAATAGCTCTTGAGCAATACTTCAAACCGTGCAAGGCGTGCGATAAGGTCCATCCATACAAGCTTAATGCACGTCGCAACCGTGCTTGGATTTCCCAGGATGGACGGGCCTGGGAGCCGTACACTGGCCGATGCCAGTCTATTCTCGTGCAACGGGAAATATATGTCGACTTTGGGTGTAGTTTGTGTCAAATGCACGAAACGTTGGGTTTTCCTACATATGCAGTAGTTTAAACCTTGAGTGCAGCGTGTGACGACACAGCCATGGCATAGAAAAATGCGCACACCTCAGCGGAGATCATCGTTTGAGTATATTTCTGCACGTAGTGCCATGACAAAGAGTGAGCTCCAATCGTGTACACTGCCAACAGTTGAAACGTGTCCTGTTGTCGGGAAAAAGCGGTAGGTTGGCTGAAGCGTATGTTTGTACCGACGAAGGTAGTACTTATTCTAGGTAATTGCTTGCACGCGACGAGAATTCACGCGCAGCAGAAAAACTGTGGTTTGACATCGGAAGTTGTAGCGAAGGTCGGTGTGTTGTAGGACTTGGATTGCTTCAAGAGATCGCGATACGGCGGCCATGAATCTTTGCATCGAGTGCATGATCCACCTCTGGTCGAACAAACTGTGGCCATCCTACCAACTTCACATCCTCTCGACTGGAAGGCATTCGCCCATCACTTGATTCCATGCTACAACCAGCGGTCGTGCCATCCAACTCATCGGCTCTAAACGTCGTGTTCTTGAGCGTTTGGCGTGTACAGGTCGTTGACTGACTGCTCCTTGGCATTACAACGACCACCGTCCAACGTCCATGGACGTTCCGTTGCCAATATCCACTGAAACGCGTGGTGGGATGCATGGATTCTTCTGCTGGCCGTGATTCAAGGCAACACGTGTGTTGGTGCATTCGAGGCCGATGCCATCACGACGCCAATATTTCCTTTCTTTTCTTAGTGCAGTTAAGACGTGTCGACGCGAGCTTCTTACAGCAGCCCGAGCTTCTTGATAGTCTTGAATTGATCTGTGTTTTGCCATGACGAATCCACGACGTTGCATCGTCCGTACCTGGGATTTCCATGAGGGCGGCAGTGGCAAACCCGACCTCGGGGGCTCGTTGGTTCAGTCGCAGGACCTTGGTGTACTCGACAAACTGAAAGTTGTCGAACCGGCGTCGAGGCAGTTGGTCGTCGAACTCTTCCATCATGTCCTATGCCGACAAAAACACACAATCAAGTGATCCTATCGTCGATATGGACGTACCCATGGCCCATCGCCGACCCCGACCATGACAATCGCTACGCGATGTGAGACTCCGTTCAAGGCCATCGAGATATGACACGTACAGATCGGGTGATTCGACGCAGCCACGATCGCATCTCGCGTTTCCTTTTCGTTCGTGACTTGCCCGTCCGCAATGATGACAAGTATGTGGTATTGCCGGGTGCTTTGCACGATCCGGATGGTTTCGTAGATGACGGGGGCAAAGTTCGTTGGACCAGAGAGCTGCAGCGTTGGCGTGACTTGGGCATATCGATGCAAGACTTCGTCAAAGCCTCGGCATGGTGCGCCGTCGATGCCCAAGTTAAAAAAGCCAGCCGACCCAGTGGTTGCATCCCCAAACCCAAGCACTGGAATAAGTTTGTCGTCGTCGAATGCCTCCAACGATCGCCCCATGATGTGAATGACAGACTAGGTAGATAGGTAGCCCGATGACGTTCAGGGTCTGGCGGAATGCAAAGAATCTATACCTGGTACGGGTTTACAGTTGCTCCAGTGGGGTCGATGTCATGCAAGCATTTGCCGTTAAACGACCGCGCGCCGCTCCACTTCCATGCAAGTTTGAGCTCATATTTCAGGTGCGAATGGTTTGCGGTGTGTTCATGTACCTGGTTGGACTTTGTGAAGTCGATTGCAACAACCAAGTTCGACGACTCGAGACCGGCATGTCGAAGCGCGTGTTGCAGCTCCTCTGAACAAATATACCATGGGTCAATGCATCTCGACAACGAAGGGAAGACGTACCAAATGTCTCGTACTTGTCAGCGAACGTGCTGAACGTGGACGATGGCGCATCGGGGTCGACGAAGGCGGAGAAGAGCTGGCCCATAAACACAAGATATTCAGGAATGCATTGAAAAAGAAATGTTTTGGGAATGCTGGTCAAAAATGATGGTCGGCGATGATGTTCGCATCCGGAGTCTCGTTCGGTATCCGGAATGTGTCTCCTCACACGAAAACGACACAGGCATGGGAGGTGCCGTGAGCACGGCAGCATCCGTCGACCCGCCACCGAAGTCACCCGCACGCTTCCAAAGGATCCCCGACACATATGAGACCTACGGTAGGATCAAGGAGGCAAGAGCGCGCATTGTGAATATCTGACTGGACCATTAGAGGAGCTCCAGCGTGCCTTGCGTGCTGCCGGCTTGGAATCGTCCAGCTTGATCATCGGGATTGACTACACAAAGTCCAACACAGTACCGACTGTTTCTCCATGCGTCCCAACATGCAAGGGTGTGTGCGTCTAGTGGACAGGGGAGAAGACGTTCCGCGGCAAGTGTTTGCACGACATCGATCCAAGCGGCAGGACGGTGAACCCATATCAAGTACACTTTGGCTGGTTCCCGTATGGTTCATTGTCAAGCATCTCTGTGTGTCGTAGCACGTGATTGAAATGATGGGACGGACGTTGGAAACGTTTGACGACGACAAGTTGATCCCGGTCTTTGGGTTTGGGGACGCATCGACGGGGGGAAGCCGATGCTTTCCGTTCTTGCCCGATAACCATGCGTGCCACACATTTGCCCAGGTCTTGGCGCGCTACAATCAAATCACGCCAGGCATCAACCTCGCCGGTCCGACCAACTTTGCTCCAATCATTCGGGAAGCTATCAGGATTTGCCGCCAACTACGGACATACCACATCCTGGTCATCATTGCCGGTGCGACACTGCCACATGCGACGTCCCCATGGCTTCACATGGGCCATAGATGGGCACGTGAACAACCAAGAAGACACAGTCAACGCGATCGTCGAAGCCTCGGCATATCCAATATGTACGCCTTGACAGGGTTACCTTGCCAATCATTCCACATGTAGCAATTGTCATGGTCGGCGTTGGGGACGGCCCGTGGGTATGACGGCACGCCCTTCCACTGTTCTCCTTGACAGCAGTTCCACGTAGGACATCATGGAGCATTTTGACGACTTCTTGCCGGCGCGCCGCTTCGACAACTTTCAGTTTGTTGAATACCACAAGATGCTCAAGTGCAATCCGAGGAACCCTGACGTCGGGTTTGCCACGGCCGCCTTGATGGAAGTGCCAGGTACATCTCGAATCCGATGACTCGTGGACGCTCGCGTGGCACTGAGTGGAGACGTAGCCCAATACAAGCTCCTTCGCGAAGCGAGGTTGCTGTAAACTGACCAGTGCTGATACACCTCCGACGTGTGTGACCTGGCGGTCAGTTCCTTCACTACGTGGAGCACGTGCGTACTTTTGCTTCCCTACGTTTTGTGAGGCAACTTCTGTGGCGACGCCGTGCCGTCGAAGGAAATACGATCGGAGGCGAGGAGCCACCGTTCTTTATGCCGTGGTTGCCTGCATGTTCAACTACGGCGGCGCCAGCGCACATCACCAGACGGCGTACTCGAGGTGGTCTGTCCATGAGTTCTCTCCCATGCCATACACGTGATTGCAAAATTGCGCGTCGGTGGCGGCGCGCCATGTCAGCGTCGATCGTGCCTGTCTTTACCGCCCGACACATTACAGAATGATGGTAGCGAGTAAATTAATGTTCTTAATGCTGCGGGAATTCCGTCGAAATCTGGAATTAAATTCAGTGCGGTTTTGACTTTTCAGTCGGGGCATAGAAAAAATATTCACGAGACGACCAACATTCCAACATTGTTTTACTGTTGTCGTCAGGCATTCCAACTGTCGTCAACACGATCGTCATCGTCATGGGAGGAGACCAGAGCAAGGCGGCGCAACCACAGCGAGCCCCCTCCGCGTATTCCCAAGCAAAAGCTCCCCAAAGCACCTTCCAAGCTATCCCAGATACGCACGAAACGTATGGTAGGCATGCAGTTGTCGCGTGGTTATGATGTGCTCACGAACACCCTTCCCAGAACAACTGCAAGGAGCCCTTCGTCATGCCGGGCTCGAGTCGTCGAACCTCATCCTTGCCATCGACTACACAAAGTCCAACACGGCAAGTATTTTCAATCGTCCATTGCAGGAATCATGAAACTGAGTTTGTCTCGGTGTGTACGTGCAGTGGACCGGCCAACGTTCATTCCAAGGCAAGTGTTTACATCACATCGACCCAGCCAGACAAGTGTGGAATCCCTACCAGGTGCGTTTTGGTGCTTCTGGCTTGGTCTCATGTCCTCCGCAGTCTGTCATCCACATCCTTGGACGCACGCTGGAAGCCTTTGATGACGACAAATTGATTCCTGCGTTCGGGTTTGGCGATGCCACCACCGGGGGGCGGGCCTGTTTCCCGCTTCTTCCGAACGGTGACGTTTGCGTCGGGTTCAATCAAGTGCTGGAGCGCTACAACCAGATTACACCAGGCCTTGCCTTGTCGGGTCCGACAAACTTTGCTCCAGTCATCCACGAAGCCATTCGAATCTGCCAAGCCGAGCGCTCGTACCACATCTTGGTCATTGTGGCAGGTATGCTGTCCGCCTCGCTCATGTCGATCTGAGCTTTTGTGTTTCAGATGGACAAGTCACGAGCGAGAAGGAAACTATCGACGCGATCGTGGCGGCATCCAACTTTCCGCTGTGTAAGATGTCGTGCATGAGATGGACGCTCATGTGACGCTGCTGTAGCCATCATAATGGTGGGTGTGGGCGACGGGCCATGGGTACGCGCGCGTTCTCTAAAGGTCGCCTCGTTTTCTGACCTTGACGGACCAGGACATGATGCAACGCTTCGACGACCAGCTGCCCACCCGCCGCTTTGACAACTTTCAGTTTGTCGAATACGACCGCATGCTCCGATTCAACCGTGCGAATCCGGAAGTCGGGTTTGCCACGGCTGCCCTCATGGAAATCCCAGAGCAGTACAAGATCATTCGAAAGCTGGGCTTGCTGTAACTCGACCGCCACCGCCACCTAAAATCCAAACGACAAGTGTTCACTTGGTCGAGCTGTCGTCGTCCCAACCAGTATTCGTCCCGACATGACATGCCAGCCACTGGCCCCGCTTCACTCGTGCAAACTCCTTCACAAAACCAAGCTGAAGTGCTGAGTCGCCCACCGCTCGATGGGGGCTTCTACGTCTCCAACGCTGCCTCGTCTCGAGCGAACGATCTCTTGTGCAATATGCCACACACGATGCGGCAGGCAGACGTACACGAAGTTGACCTCGAACGCAGAAGCGCTGGGATAAAATTCAGAAGGAACCAGTTGATGGCAGCGTCGAGAGCGGCGCCGCTGGGAGAGCGAGCGGTAGTTTCCACCAAGTGCATGTGCTCCAGAATGATGTCCTTGCATGTCATTCACCTTGGTGATGTTTCATGCGATGGTTTCGACGGCCTGGAGGGATGCGTTCTAAAGATAGCACTTGCAATACGTCCCTTATGACGGGATGACGCCGCCCGTGCCTTCCGTCCTGGCCCCCCCAATGCATCACCCGATCGAGTTGCTCGACCAGCTCCTCGGCACACTCCTCCTGGTGCTCAGCCTCGGCTTCCTTGTTTTGTTAGACCTCACCAGGCGGCGGGTGCTGTCCTTGCATCAGTTTACGTTTTGCCTCGCTAGCGTCGTGGCGACCCTGACAATCGGCGCCTTCATCGAGCACAACATCCCGAACGACGTGCTCGATCTCGCCCTCTTTGGGTACTACACACAATCGTCCACTGTCCTGCAACTGCGGTACGCGCCCTTCCTAACAGCTGCCTTTGCGACGGTCGCATTCCTCGTGGTCACGTCGCTCTGCTCCTGTACGTGCTGCTGCTTGTGTGTCGCTGGTCCGTCCAAGGACGCTAAGTCTACTGCCGATACATCGCACCAACGATGCGTGTTGGCGAGGTTGCGGCACGCCCTGTCTGTGTATTGCCTTTCGATCTTCGCTCTCTTTCTTGTGCTCGGCATGCGCCTGAACGCTCGTATGCGTCTGAGCGCTATCAAACCCGTCGGAGGGACGTTGCACTGGCAACTTCTTCAGACGCCGGTTTGTGTCGCGGCTCTGCACATCGCGAGCCTCGCCCTCGTGGTCCTAAAAGACGTCCTTCAACACGCGGAGGCCCCGCATGGGGGTCCGTGCCAGCCCTTGTCGCGGGAGCTCCGCCAGCTAACTTCCCCTCCAAACGACAGCGCTGGCATTCAACCTGTCCATGGAGCCCCCACGACACCAGGAAAAAACTCGATCAACCACCAGGTACTGCCTGCTTCGAGCTACGCACTGCGAATGTGACTGCAACCGTCTAGACAAAACAACAAGGAGCGCTGGCGCAGTCCTTGCGTCGCCTGCCGAGCAAGTCCTCCACAACGCGAATACGTCTTGAATCGACGGACGACGACGCTCGAAGCAAATCGTCGTCGTTGGTGGACACCGAGCCGTCGTCGCCACCCGGCTTCGTCGAGCGCGCCGCCTCGTCTCCTAGATACAGCAAGAACTCTCGAGTGCAGCGAGTGTCCCCTGTCCGTCGCAGGGCCGTCACTGACGGCGACTCGATCCCTTCACCAACGCGACGACGCGCCACCCCTTTGACTCCTCGGGATGCGTCCCCAGCCTCCCCAGTAGTGGAGGCAGCAGCCCCCGGCGACATTTCCAACCTCATCAGCAGCGAAAGCGAAAGCGACGACGACGTGATTGTGCCGTCCGTCGTGCGGCAGTTCACGTCGGAATACGCCATGACGAACCGTCTGGTTGCGGCACGCAGTGAAAATCGTGCCATGCCTCGAGGATCGCCGAGTGTAGGACGGAGCGCCACGGAGCAAGGAGGGAATCATCCGCACCACGCGCCACCGACGGGGAGTCCATGGGTGTTGTGCTACGATGCAGCGACGTCGGCGCCATATTACTACTGCCATGACACGGGCGAAAGCGCATGGGAGATGCCGGGGGGGCACGACAAATGGGAGTAAAACCACAGCTAAAGTCATCCATTCCACGACTTGTCGAGAGTTGTGCACACGAGATACATCGGTCGACGCATGTGTTACTTGGACGACGACCCCGCCGGCGACTTTCGAAAGTAGTGATGGAGCAGCGAGTCCACAAACCCGGCAATCTACGACGACGTTGGCATCGAATGCAAGCTCCACGCACGTACCGACACCATGCCGCCGACGATGGCGCACACGCGCATGAGAAAGTGGGTGAACGGGACCGACGTCGCGTCGACCTGCACGACAAACGCCGACATCTCAAAGATAAAAAAGACGCCGGGAAGCACTTGCATCGTGCCCCACGGATCCAAATACCGCGTTTGACGCGTGTACGAAAACTACCGCGCCGGGTGTGTGTCGGCTTTTTTCAACCGATCGTCGTACCTGGTTCGAATACCGCGTCGACACCCCGTCGTTGTAGATCGTGGGCACGATCTTCAAAAAGTATTGGAACACAGCCCCACCTACGCATGAGTGACGACTTGGTTTTGAAGGCAACGGTACCGCGATCGGCGATTTGGACAGTGTTGTCCAGCGGACCCGACATCCCAGGATACGGCTCGCCAAAGTACAATCTAGAGGCGTGCATGGTGGCCCCTGTCTCAGTTTGTGGAGGGATGGAAGGTAGCGCATGACGCACTCATGAATGATATGGCTCGAGTTGTACGTGAATTGTTGCCCCGGTAGAAACTGGTGCACCAACCTCCCTTGGCGGTGGAACGTGCGTCCGAGCCCGACGTGGAAGTTGCCCGCGACGCGATTCACGAGCATCGTTCCATGCAAGCGACATCCTTCGCCTTCCTTCGAGTCCGCTTCCTCCTTGCCCCGCTCTCGTAAACATTGCTCCGTCAACTCAGCGTCGTCCAGCGTCTTTTCGCCCGTCATGAACGCCTCCTTGACCTGGTCGCACGTGTTGCAGCACGTCAGCCCCGCTGGATGCGTATTGCCGTAGCAGCTGCCGCAGTAATCGGCCGGAAGAGGTTCCAGGGTTTCTGGGTGGGCGTTTGGCACATGAGTCATCGCTTCACCAATGCGGCTGCCGTCCGCTGCAAGTCGCGTCTTGAACACGGTGTGGTGCATGTTCACTTGGAGGTCGCCCGCGACGTCCATGGCGTTCATGTGCGCCTCTGCTCAACAAGTCAACGTCAAGCAATGCCCGCCAACGTTTCGAGGTGTACCGCGGCAAGTCAGGGCGGGGTAGCTGATATCGAATGTAATTTGAAGCTTTTCGGTCGTCGACGTGTCCACGACCATGTGCTCGTGCTTGTTCACGGTCAAGAAGTCGCGTAACTCCGACAAGAACAATATTGCCATGATCACCATCGCCACGAGGGACACTACATGCCGCCGTCAAGGCTCGTGTCACACATCTTGGCATCGCCTTGGAATCAAGTGTACCTGTAGCGCCAGCCTCCGTTTGGACCTTGAACTCGCGGTGAAGTTTCGGGTAGACATCTACCTTCTTCAGCATCTGGCGCGTGCTGAAGGACGATTCCCTCGGTGTATCGCCTCCATCGTCTCGTCCAGTGTTGCGTTGCCGGAGCATCTTGTGCGGGGCCGCCGTCAATTCGTGCGTACGTGGCTTGAAAGGCTGCCTCGACCGGATGCTTTATCCGAATATTTCTCGGGTGGGCGGGTGCGGTTCCAACAATTTCAATGTTAGAAATTTCCGTGTTCGTGACATGATCCGACAAACCAACCCTTCCTCGGATCTGGCATGCCACCAACAGCTTCCTTTCTTAGCTTGGATCGCCAAGAACGATTGCTGCTGAAGCACGGCCGTGCGAACGTGATCCTTTTAGTGTTTTTCCTTGGTGTTCTCGTGTAGTCAAGCTCGACGAAATCATACCGTTATTCGCAATCCGATACAAAGTCGGGCGGTTTGGTTGCGGTTGCATTTCACCAATCAAATTGTAGGAATTCAAAACCGCGATTTCATCTCATTCGAAGAGTTGATGTCTAGACTGATGGCGACGTCGGTGGTGCGCGGGCATTTGCGCCGCGCGTTCGCAACATCCACATCGCGCTCGACGAGGCAATCGCTGCGCACGAGCTTGGCATCAGGACCGTCCTTGGCACACTTTCTCAACGCAACACCTGGCGACAACCTGCGATCGACCACGGACAACAACTTGGCAGTTCTCGAAACGCTCATGGCGCAACTGCAGCACGCGGTACATGAGCGCATGTCGACCTTATCGAATACTGATGATCTGAATTGGTGCAGGAACGCGAGGATCATCTCGTTGACACATATGGCAGAGTCCACAACTACCTGCGCATTTCCCTCACCGAGCGATGCAACTTGCGATGCCAGTACTGCATGCCGGAAGACGGCGTGCCGCTGCAACCGACGTCAGACCTGCTTTCGACCCCAGAGATTCTGCACCTCACCAACCTATTCGCACAATCTGGCGTCTCCAAGCTCCGGTTGACCGGCGGTGAAGTACGTGCGTCGACTACGGACATTTGCATTAAGATGGCAACTAAACAGTCCTTAATGTAGCCGCTCGTCCGGCCAGACATTGTGTCGTTGGCGACTTCTCTCCATGCAATCCCTGGCATTGAATCGCTCGGTATCACGACGAATGGACTGTCGCTGTCAAAGCACCTTGCCGCACTGTGCGCTGTGCCTGCGCGTCTTAACATCTCGCTGGACACATTGAATGAGGCCAAGTTCGCCAAGATCACGCGTCGCAAAGGATTCCAACGAGTGTGGGCAGCGATCGAGGCGGCGGTAGCGGCTTCACCCGTCCAAGTCAAGCTGAACTGCGTTGTGATGCGCGACTTCAACTTGGATGAAATTGTCGACTTCGTGCGACTCACCACAACTCTCAACGTGGATGTTCGCTTCATTGAGTGGATGCCGTTCGACCAGAACCGGTGGAATGACCAAACATTTGTCCCGTTTGCCGAGATGTTGTCGCAGCTGCACGCCGAATTCCCCGTCATCGAGCCCCTCGAGAACCACCTCAACGACACGTCCAAGTCGTTCAGGTTGCCAGATTCACCTGGCCAATTTAGCTTCATCACGAGCATGAGCGAGCACTTTTGCGGCGGGTGCAACCGCCTTCGGATCACGGCGGATGGAAACCTCAAAGTATGTCTCTTTGGCAACGCTGAAGTGAGTCTTCGCGATGCAATGCGCCATGGATATTCGGATGACGACTTGCTCTTGGTCATCCAAGCTGCAGTCAAGCGAAAGAAGTATGCACTCGGCGGCCATCAGAACATGCACGGGATTGCCAAGGCCCAGAACCGACCCATGATCCTCATCGGGGGCTAGTCGCGTCAAGACAATTTTGCGCACTTGGTCTTATGGCGAACCACAGATAGCAAGCAGCATTGGAGTCATGGCACCACGGTGAAGGGAATGGTTCCCTCCCTTGCGACAGAGGTGGCCTCGCCTTCGGCTTCTACTTTATTCTTGAGCTTTCGTTCAACAGCCCTTCTATCTTGCGTCATGTAGACGTGTGTTGCTTGCGATTGACCCTTCTTAATTCCCTTCATTTGACGACTTCCTTCAACACCAAGCGTTGACTTCGAGATCACATTCGTTTAAATGAATCTCCCTCATGATGAAGTAGTTGAGGTAAACGTTGTGGCTGGGCACACATCCTTGCGCGCCAGTCCACGGCAGACGCTCTGCAACGACACATTAATCTGCCAAAAGGGTGAGAATCCCTGGAGAAGATGGATCAAGGGAATTAAGATTACCTTCGGAGCCGTGCTTGGGGCTCGCACTTTGACGACGCGGACTGCCACTGCTGCTGCGTCGTTGACGTTTCTTCTCCGATGGAGAAACAGATCGAGAACGACCATGAGATGTAGATCGACGGCCACGATCTGGGCTGCGTCTGCCACCACCTCGTCCGTTTCGACGCTCTTCTTCTTCTTGCTGACGCATTTGCTCGGGGGTCTTGCGTCGCTGCTGAGCAAACAGCACTCCAATTTCAACACCGTCGATTTTCGTGCGGTCCATGGCTTGCTTCACTTCTCTCGCGTCACGGATGTCGTTGAACTCGAGGAACGCAAAGCCACGTGGCTCGCCGGTGAGGTGGTCCTTGGGAATGTATACGTCTCGAATGTCTCCTTCGCGGCGAGAAAACTTGTCGCGTAACTGCTCCGCTGTGATGTTGGGCGTCAAGCCACGTACAAGCAAGCTCTGAGGCACTGGGCGGTCGCGATCTCCACGTCGCGAGCTGCGATCACGACTTCGGCTTCTATCGCGACTTCGATCACTGCGTCGCCGGTCACGGGAGTCACGGCGGTCTCGCGAGTCACGGCGGTCTTTCGAGTCACGGTGGTCTCTCGAGTCACGGTGGTCTCTCGAGTCACGGTGGTCTCTCGAGTCACGGTGGTCTCTCGAGTCGCGGCGGTCACTTCTGCGTCGTGGGCTCCGGGACGCGCTTCGGGACGTGCTTTGGCTTCGTCGGCCCATCGTCGATCGTTGAATTGGCGGATTTGGAAATGCAAAAATGTGAGGGGAACTGTGTGCGGTGGGTAGAAATTCGAATGATTCCGCTTTGATTGGCGGAATCTTTCACAATGCATATAATAGACCAATCAAGCGATTCCAGTTTTCACCGCACGAAAATAGTGTGGAAAATTTCGAAACCTAACACTATTTCATGATTTTGTTCGATGATGTCGAGAAACCTTCGACTGCATGCCCGGTCCAGTGCGACAGGATCGATACCCGCCTGGTGGCGACATGCATGTGGCGGCAAAGCCCTTCGACCAGGAAAGATGCTTATACTCCTGGTTTATGCTTGCGGCAAAGTCCACGTGCGTCACCACGTTTTTCACTCAGCACTGCCCGCCTTCATCTTGATGTCGACACTTCGCATTCCAGGAGCTAAAGCAGGTTCCACCGCCTTTGGTCCACGATGTCGCGGGCAGTGAATCGTGCCGCAGCTCATATTGGACGTCCCACAATTTCTTGCAGCACTTCAAGGTGCATGCGGGGACAAGAAGTATATGCTGGCCATGCGAAAAGGTTGTGAAAAACAGGCTCAGTCGGCCTGTGTGATCAGTGTGTCAAAGGAATCACCATGCCCATGAGAGGTCGCTTCCATGGCATCGTACCAGACATCTTGAAACGAAGGACACTCTGATGTCGTAACTCCTGCGATGCACGTGGTTGTCCTCGAACGACTGCATATATGTGCCAAGTCTGCACATAGTCCGACCTTCCTCAAGCATCCATCGAGATTTCCTCAGAATGAGAATGCCCATCAAGTATACACGATCAGGTTTTCCACGGGCGTGGGCGAAGCAAGCACAGGACACGACAACTGCGCGCCAACATGCGCAAGGGTCGCCACATTCCCTGGAGCACGCCTACGGGACATGATTTAAAGAGCAGCCACCTCATGTTTCACTGAACTCAGTTACAATGGCTGCTGCGCAAGTGAATTGCGAAGCACTCACGTCGCTTGCTGTCCACAAGGCGGGTCACGACAAATACCCATGTTTGTGTAGCTGGAGAGAGTTATTTTACATCTGCAAGGCACCGTCATCCACGTGCGTTGGAACAATCATGGCCATGGCCTCTCGACAGGTCAACCTTCCGGAGTCGACTTCGTCCCATGTTGCATAGTTGACGGCTCGCGAATGGCCGTGGCGACGTTCCAAACTGTCGGGGAGCGCATACCGAGCAGCGCAGGAGGAACTCCAGACGACCGGACAAGGATTCGACGAAACGCAACGGGATACACGTATGGGCTCGAGGTACGTGCGCGAGATGAGACCGAACGCTCCACATGAGAGAGTCCACCACGAGCTTCATCATCCACTTCATGGTGAGTCGTGGTGGGCACTGAACGGCCGTGCACGGAACGTCTCGGTGCACAGATTCACAGTTCGTCATCTCAAGCGGAAACCGTTGAGAGCACGACGAACAACGTGTAGCGGGTGGAAGAATAGCGGCCATCTCGACGACATAATCCATCCGCTGGTTCATCTCGGGCACATCTCGATCTCGTCCGGAACGCTTCCGAAGCACATTCGCCGACCTCCGACCGACCTCGCCCATACAAACGTGCATATGTAGATCAGTTTTCAGTTGGGTGCATCGTCGCAATGCATGCGAGCGCCGACGGCCACACTGGCCCCGACGTCGAGCTAGGGCGCGTGGAAGGGCCGCGGGCGTTGTCGTTGGACCAGATCAATTGCCACCGCCACACCAGCATGGACTCGGATGACGACTGCCGGCCTCGAGATAGCACGTGGCTGTACCGATCCACTCAAGACGCGGAGAGTCTCGCCAACCTGGACGGGCTCGATTGGGCAGAGCTCCGGGGGACGGACGTCGATACGTCAACGATGCCGCGCACCTTCAGCCGCACCTCCTGCGCTGCTATCGTTCACGACTGCCCCTTGCCCAAGCTCAAGAAACACCCTTCCAAGAGCAATGTCGTCGACGCGATGTTGCCAAAGGCACACCCGAAACAAATCTTCGTCCAGCAGTGGACGACATGCGTCACCCCCGTGCCAGGTAAGGAGATGATCCAAAGCCACGCCGCCGCGCCGCTGATCCCGGTCGGTTGGGTTGTCGGAAGCGTCGCGGCCGTCTCGTCCACCCTCGTTGGGGCGGCCTTATTCCATGCAGACGACCTGCGCTCCAGTCTGTCTCTCGATGCGTTCCCCCGTGCGACGCTTATCCTTGTGGTTCACGTTGCCCTTGGCGCGCTCTCATTCGTCGGGGGGGTTGTGGGCGACCGAGCCGTCCATCGAATGCATGTCGTGCGTCCAAGTGTGTGGCTGTGGTGCGTCGGCACGTTGTTCTTGACCGTCGCCGGCCATCCCTTTGTAGCGTCGAGACGTCTTTACACAGCTGGCCTTGTGCTGGTCTTCATCTCGTCGGGAGGACTGCTGCCGAACCTTGTCGCCACGTCGTCGCTGGTGAGTTCCGACGCCAAGCGACGTGCATGACTCACTCATGGATGCTTTGTTCGACAGGGCCCCACATTCCTCCACTGCGCCCTAGCTCAACTCTCCGCCACTTCCATCATCCACGGACTCTTTAATGCGCTCGTCGCTGCTTCCACGGCCGCGTATGTCGTTTTGGCCGTCCTGGCGGCACTGTCCACAGCCACACTTGTCGGCATGCACATGACCATCTACCGTCGGTGGCTGGACCCTGCCCCAACCAACCTTGCCAGTCTCGGCGTGTATATCTCAGGGATACCGCTGCTCTGGAGGGGGTACTTGGCAGGAGTAGCTGGGATGGTCCTTGGTGGCGCCCTGTGCGCCATGAGTCTCATCTGTTCACACGACGACGTCCACCTATATGGAAAGCAGTTTGCTGTCGCCACAGGGGGCGTCGTCCTGGTCGTTCTCGGGTGGCTGTGGACGATTTTCTGGGGCGTGGCGATGGTGCATCCATCCGGGGCACTCCGAGCATGGGCCGTGGCGCCGCCACCTCCCGCAGACCTCGTCTCGCCGGCATCTCCCGACAAGGACTCGCTCCCTTCCGAACCAGAAGTCGCCCCCGTGAGTCCCATGGAGTGCATGGCGCCGACACTGGCCTTGGTGGTCTTTTCGTCGTTCGTGCGCGGTCAACTGTATGCCATGTATGTCCTCCAAGCGTGCCAATGCTCCCTCCAACTCGTGGGCGACGTCACGTACAATCCCGAGTACACCGCCGTGGTGACGCACGTTATCGCGCTGGCCGTGGCTCCCGGCATCCCTCGGCTGTTTCCAAGACTGCCAAGTCGACTTGGCCTTGCCATGCTCCTCTATCTCATGGCGTCGTTCATGTCTGGAATCGTGGAGCTCTACCGACGAAGCAGCAGTCGCTTCAGCGATGCCGACTTGGTCGACCGTACCGGCCCTCCCACGTGCCACAAGAACCCAAGCGCGTACAGCATTATATGGACAGGTCCGCAGCTGGCTCTCATGGGGATATCCGAAGCAATCGTTCAAACCACGATGGGGTATGTCGTGCACAGCGCATGGCCGCCGACGTTCCAAGGGTTGGGCCATGGGCTGTTGGCCTTGTGTAACGCCGTGGGGTACGCCACCGCACTCGGGATGTCAATCATCGTGATTCACTGGTACACGGCCCCTGCTCCAGCAGACCTCGTCCTGGTTTTCCTTCTTGTCACATCCATGGGATGTGCTGTCATTGCGTGCATGAAGCGCTTGCTAGTGTTAGACGAGCACCACCGAATATGGCCCAACATGATGTCGTCCACCTAACTAAGTCAATTGACACAACCTTGCTCATCTTCGCATCGCTCGATTCCTCTTCCACACTGCACGCATGACATGCCGCCGTGCGTGGATGCGCGGCTCCGGGTGATTTTGTTGCCAAAAAAAAGGAGCGTGTCACGATTGTGCGCATTGATTGGTGAAATGGTGCTATATTATAGCCAATCAAATGGGGTTGCCACGTAAGATTTCCATTTCAGCCTGCGCGCAGTCAACTTGTCACTGGCATGGCGGCCCCGTGGTCCTGGATTAGCTTGGACGGCAAGAGCGTTGCGGCGATTCCAAGCCATAATCGTATCGATGTTGTGGACACACAAGACTTCTCCCTCCTCGGACGAATCCAAGGGAACCTCATGTCGTCGGAGCCGTTCCATGAGCATGCGATCACACGAGCAATTTGGAACTCGCGCCGTGTGTGTTTGCTGTCTCTGTCGTCGACGGCCTTGCTCCTGCACACCCCCGACCGTGAAAAGAAGATTCCGTGCAGTAGTTTCACGTTGCAATGGCATCTCCAGCTCGACCCCGACTCGGTGGCCGACGTGGCGTTCTCACGGTGTGGCCAGTCGTTGCTCCTCGGCGGGACCAATGGCCTTTCTGTGTGGAATGCCACATCGCCCACGGACTTTCAACTGTGGTGGGAGGACACTGCCCATCCTTGCGACTTTGTTGTGTTCTCCCCCAGTCGAACGGTGTTTGCTTCGCACGAAATGCTGTCCACCGACGTATACGTGTGGCGGCACGCCGGTCGGGCTGGAAGCGTCCCTCGCGCGCAAGTGCTCGGCCACGACGAAGAGGTCGAATACATCAGCTGGAAGCCGACGCATTATCAGCCTCAAACGAGTGACGACCATGACGGGACGCGGTCATCGCAGTGGGACGAACCGGCCTGTGTGCTCCTGACGTTGACGCGGTCCAAGACCGTTCGCATCTGGACAGAGCAGCCATCGTCAGATCGGTCGGACGGCAGGAGTTCGGACGTTGTCATGACGTGCATCGTGTTTCTGCAGCCATCGCTGGAAATGGACATTATTCATGCGCAATGGATCGTCCCTCGTGCGCAGAACATCAGCCAAGAGTACTTTGGGCCAGCAGCGTCGGCGGCGGCCTTACCACGCGAACGACTCCAAGACTGGCTCAGTGTTGTGGACTCCAAGGGCGTCCTTCATGTGTGGACAGTGGACGCCCTGCACTTGCCCACCCAGAGCCAGCTCCTCCAGACTGGCTTTGTCTTTAAAGTGGACGGCGAAGACGAAACCTTGGGCGGCACGTCGACGTCGCTCGTGGCGTCATACCAGATCGCAGGGTACGCGTCCCAGGGATTCCTCTCCAGTGTGTCCATCCTCCTCGAGCGGACGGACCAAGTGCTCTTGAGTTACCAGGTGGCATGGACTCCCCGCCATCCGCCCGTACTCAAGGAGAAGAGCTGGTATCGTGGCCACACGGCGCCGATTGCCGCGCTGGCGACGCATCCGTCGTTGCCGCTGGTAGTGTCGGTGAGCCACCCTCGCGACGGCGTGAGCGAGCTCATCATTTTCTGGCTGTCGCTGTCCATGTTTACGAGTGAATCGCATTTTGTTCCGTCTTGCATTCTGCAAGGCCCTGCGATTGCTGCCGTGCATTGGATCCCGACGCGGCATTTCCAAGCGCGGCCGCTTCTGCTCGTGTCGTACGCTAGCGGACGATGGGAAATTTTCAGTCCGTACGACTCGCAGCTCAACACGTTGCTCGAGTCGCCGCGCATTCGCCATCAGCACTCTGCCGACGCCAGCAGCTACAGCTTCTCCCGGCTTCGAAACGATACAATGGTATATCCATGGACGTACCACGAGCACGTGCTCGGCGAGTCTGGCTTTGAATACGAAGTATCGTTGGTGCCGCACCCCGAGTTTGGTCTGGGACTGACATTCACGCTCGTCAACGACAAGATCGTCGTCGCGGGTTTCACGACTGGAAAGAGCGACAAAACTATCGACGACGGCGGCAGCGGCGACGCCAAGGACGAAGCCAAGGACGACCGTGTGCAGCCGCCAGGTTTGGAACTCCCCGCGGCCGCGAGTCGACAGATTTCGCTCCACGACGAATGCATCTCGGTAAACAACATCTCGATGAAGGGCAAGCTCCCCATCGACTTAAAAGCTGCTGTTGCTGCTGCGCCACCGCACACTCCGGTCATGATGCGGTTCCGAACGCCGGGATCGCGACCGGGGGTGCACGATCCGTCGTCCGCGATGGCAAAGATGCAGCATTGGTCGATTTCGTCGCAGGACGGCGAGTCCGATGACAGCAATCGAAGCGAGCAGGGCGATGTCGACGACGTTGACGACGTACACGATGTTCCGGTCAAGCCGCATGGCCGCGGCAACACTACGAGCAACCGCCGACCTCGACCGAGACGATCGACGCAAGTCGTTGTGAGTGGCGGGTGCATCACGAAATTTGGGGGATGGTCGTCTTTGGGCCACGTTGAGCTGCCTTGCACGTACGCCGACTTGGCGGTCGCCCCGCTGTACTCGGACAAAGGCGGGTTCGTCTCGGATGCGGTGGTCCTCTTTGGCGTCACCACCGACACGCGCGATCTGCACTGCTGGATGGGAGTCGAGTATCGCAAGGGCGAGTTTGAATTTTTCCAGCTCAACATCACGGCACCACCAGACAGTTTGACTGGCATCACGGCCGTCGGGGCCGAGCGAGACTACCGCCAGCGGGCGTTTGAAACGTCCTCGACCCTCGACAGCAAGACGAGCGCAACTCCTGTCTGGAATGCGCTGCTGTTCATCGGCGACGACGCCGGGTGCATTCACCACTGGAGGTGCCGTGTGTCTCAGCACTGTCGAACGATGGACATGTCGCTTGTGCATTCGTCGACGACGCAGGGACTGCCCGAGGCGGCGTCGACCACGGCAATGCTGCATCCGTCTGCGTTCTTCCGTCGAGGGTATGCAATGCCACCGTCGACGAGCTATGCCGATGGACTCGACGCCGCGCGTCGTCCAAAGGGAGTGTTTCACATGGAACTCGACGACCCGAATCGACTGGCAGTCGTGTACACGGACCAGCCGGAATCGCTGTACATTTGGGAAGGCGAGTCGGGGCTCGGGATGCTGCGGCTCGAAGCCATCATTGCGTCCGAGGGCCGCGGGCACATTGTCGGGTTTTGCTGGTGTAGCGGCCATGTCGAATTCCACGTCGACCCTCTCGCCGTGCACTTTGCCACTAGCTTGGTCATCTACTCGTACGACTTGCACCTCCAGACGTGGGTGCCCGAAAGCGAACAGTCGGTGTTTTACCCGCTCTTTGACTGTACGCGCGATGCGTCCGCGCTGATTCTGGCTGCCGGGTCGCCGTTCCCTGGCAGCACTGTGTCGTACCACGAAGTGCCGACGGTGCTGGGCAAATGGGACGTGCACCGCCACGCCGTCACGACGGACCAGCCCGACGCATCCGCGAACGACCAAAAGCACTGCCCAGTGTGGCACCCGTACACGGTTTTGACCACGTTGTGCGGGATGCCCGCTCGCGTCGGGCTCACGCACACGACGCTGGCCGACTACCGTCCGGCGTACGACGTTCAACTCGCGTTCGGCGAGGCCGAGCAGATGCTCAAGTTGCTCGCGCATGTGCTGGAAGACGACGCGTCCACCGACCTCAGTGCCGAAAACGGCGTGCTCGTATATCTCCATGAGAAGAAAACGTTCGGTCGGCGGGCGTCCGTCGGTCGGTTCACCACGACTGCAGGCGCCCCGACCGGATTGAGTCGCGCCGAGGATCTGTTTGCTCCGTCCCACGGGTCGATGCCGTCGACTGGCAACACGTCGGCGGCGGCGGTCGCGGCCAGTCCAACACATCAAGAGAGCTTGACCGCTCGAGAAATCGACACGCTTGTGACTGCCCTCGACGCCGTCCTGCGGAAACATACGCAAAAGGTGTCGGTGCGGTATGAAGAGCAGGAGCACCGCAACGCGTACGTTCTGTTCGACTCGTTTGAGCTCGAGCACGTGCTGGAACTGAAAAGCTTGATCTTGTTTGTGCAAAAGATGCAATCGTGCCTCCTCAACGGGTACGACCTCCCGGCGCAGCGATACTTTGTCGCGTACCTCCTCACGACGTGCCTCCAAGAAGTGGTGCAAAAGACCGACGACTACGTTGCCGTGTCGAACGATCCGCTTGCCCAGTACGAAGACAGCACGTCGAGCTTTGTCCCGACGGTCGATTCATATTTGCACGAAATTCCGTCGTCCAGCGTCATCTGGGCGCTGCATTCGCAGTCGCAGAATCTCCTTGTCGACCAGTGCATCCACCCGCAGGCGCTCTGGGACGACTTGCGCCCGCTTTGGCCTGGGATGTGGGTGCGCGACCCCGTGAAACTTCGATCCATCGTTGAAAAGTACGCGTGGTGCGTCGAGTTCGTGCTCACGTGTGGTGTGTGTGTGTAGGGTGGCGAAATGCACCTTTACCCGCACGAAAGACGCGATGAATGTGAGCTTGCTGTACATTGCGCTGAAGAAGCAGACAATTCTCGGCGCGCTTGCCAAGGTTTCAAAGGTCGAGTCGAACAAGGTCCGTCGTGCGATCTTCACAACCCGACGAACGCCCGGCATGCGTAAAAACTTGTGTGTGTGTTTGTAGACACTGGCAGAATTTCTCGCCCATGACTTTACCGACGAGCGATGGAGTGTTGCCGCCATTCGGAACGCGTACTCGCTGTTGCGGAAAAAACAGTACGAGCTCGCGGCTGCGTTTTTCCTGCTGCCCACGCCGCCGCGCCTCCAAGAGTCTCTCCGCATCATCATCGGGCGGTTGCATGACCCAAGCTTGGCCATGGTGGTGGCCCGCCTCGTCGAATGCGACCAGGCGCCGCCGACGGCCTATGGCTTAGACGACGGGTCCGACATTTTCCACGTCGGCGAGCAAACGACCGAGATCCTGCGCAACGATCTCGTCCCGCTCTTTCGATCGCAGCACAACCGGTGGCTCGAAAGCGCCGCGCTGTGGTGGCTCCACGAATTTGACCAGGCCGCGGCGGTCCTCCAGCCGTCCAGCCAACTCGTCGACGTCGTGGACAAGTCGCTGTTGGATACGATGCAAACGCGCGCGTCGGCGGCGCCCGCATCGTTGTCGCTCGTGCTCCGCACCAAGATGGCGATGGATTTCTTTATCAACTTGACGTCGCTTCCGCTGTACTTTCAGTTTTCGTACTGCGAAGTCCAGCAGCCACTGCTCAAGTTTGCGTATGCCAAGCTCGTGGACATCCACCCAACGCTCACGGAAGAGGAGGTGCTGACGACCAAAACGGACATCGACCTCGCGTACTCGTTCACGGCCTACGTGTGCAAGCACACCGGGCTGAGCGACACGGCGCTGCTGCAAATGCTGCAAGCGCGCCACTTGCTTCAAGTTCATGTCAAGAAGAATTTTCTCTACATGCTCGACACGCACCACTCGTCGTCGTCTGTGCTGTCGACGGACCAGGGGCCGATGCGATCGAGGCTCAACAGCCAACACAGCCAGGTGATGTCTCCGCGCGCCCACTTTTTTGGGTCGCCCCGCATCGCGCGAAACAATCTGGCGCGCAGGACGAGCTCGACGCCGTTCTCGCTCGACTTTACGGCCAACGAGGTTGCCCCAGATACGACAGAGTGCGACTACCTGCTTCTCCCGGAACACGAGCATCATGGCGGCGACTCGGACAAGGCCCCAACGTCGTTGTGGCCGAAACCTGAAATTGCAGACATGGAGTGCCGGCGGTGGTCGTCGTCGGCATTTGTCGGCAAGATGATCGGGATGCGCGTGGCGCGCGAGATGATTTCGCACTTTCGCTTGCAAGTCGATCCGTCGGGCGACAATCACCACGGATTCTTAAAGGAACTGCTCGACCCGCTCGCGGTGCAGTTCAAAGTGGACCGCCAGTACATTCTCGAAGCCACCTTGAGTGTGCTCCAACCCCACGCGCCTCTCCACTTGGTCGAGTGCTGCTTTGTCCTGTCCGAGCTGGATCGGACCCACGTCATGCAGGAATGGATCCAGTGCGTGAGTTTGAGCATGCTCCACGCCACGTCGCACTTTCCAACCGTCGACTGGACCGACGACGTCCTGCGCGAATGGAAGCACCTGACGGTGCAACTCCGCCACCTCCAACTCCTCTGCGACGACAACGTGCTCTCGTTTGCATCGCCGATTCGGCGCACGATGCAGTGGGCGATGCAACTCGGGTTGGTAGTCCTCGCGTGGTGCACCAACCACCCCGAAAAGCTGCATGACGTCATTACCACGGGTACGTCCCGAAACATTCGATCGAGCGTCCATACGACGCTGATGGCCACGATGTAGACAACTCGACTGTCCTCGACGCGTTTCTCGTCCAGCCCGTGGACGCCGCTGTCCACCCGTGCCACCCACTCAACTTTGGCTACACGTTCTTGACGCAGTCGACGCACCTCACCAGCCATCTCCTTCGCGTCCGACAGCTCTACTCGACGATCCTCATGACCCAGATAGTCCGCACGGTGTACTGCAACGACCAGCAGGCGCTCCTCACGAGCCCCGACAACTTTAACGACGTCACGGACAACGGGTGCAATGGGCTGTACATGCCCAAAACGTTGTGGCGGGCATGGACGCGCCATCCGCTGGCTGGGCTCAAGCGATGGTACCTCGCGATGGAGGCGCATGTCCAACTGGAGCTGCATCGCATTGTGCTCGCGGAAGCTGCCTGCGAGTGCGGCCACTATGGCATCGACTTGGCGGTGCGGCCGTGGCAGTCGCTGGCCGTGGACAACGCCGTTGCCCCGCTCGACCCCAACGCGGTTGCCGACGAGGACGTTCTCCTGTGGATGCAGCATCCGTTGTCCGGCGTCCCGACCACCCTCCGGAGGTACCGAGTCGATCCTCGCGTGTACGTCCAATGCTTCACGCTCAAAGACGCGTACGTGTGGCTGCACGACCGCGGCCTGTGCCATACATTGCATGACACGCACGTGTGGCTCGGGCGGTGGTGCAAGAGCCACAAGGTGCGCTGGCTCGTCCGGCGGCGCAGCGCCATGGCATCCCACGGCACCCACTCGAACGGGGCAAGCGCGATGCCGCTTTCAACTTCGCACCATGGCCAGAATGGAAAGATCTCGCTCGAGTTGATTCCAGACGAAGCATTCTGCTTTGTCTCGCCGTGGGAAGTCGACGCCGAGCTCAACGTTCACGTGTACATGCATGGAGAGACGATCAACGGCAATGGAGGCGGGCATCACGACCACCATCATCTTGCCGAACCCCATGGCATCGTGCCAGACGCTTCCCAACGCCCTGCCGCCGACCCTGCTTGCGAGACGACTCGCCTCGACTTGGGCTGGGATACCTTGCTGCCGCTGACATCCCATCTTTGCGACGATGCAGCCAAGGTTATGTTCCCCAACGCAGAGCTCAAGGAGCTGTGGCAAGCCGTCTGCGGAGAGGGGTGGCTCGTGACTGCTGTCCAGCACTTCGACGCCGACGGGCTGTACATGCGTCAGAGCCAGCATGGCAGCTCGTCGACGAAGCAACGGTCGCGATATCTCGCCAACCTGTTCAAGCAAGTCCAGCGCAACCGCTTGTTTCGGTACTTGGGGCTGCCCCATCGCCTTGTCGCAGTCATCACGGTCGAGTTGGTCGAAGGCAAAGACTTGCTTGCGAGCGACATCCTCTCGCACACGGTACAGTCCATGCTTGTACATCAAGTGACGGCGTCTTCGTCCGGGACATTGGGCATGGTGGTTGGCAAGTTGCTCATATTTGAATGCCTTGTAGGCCGACCCATACGTTTTCATGACGCTCTCGACCGAGTCACCGACAAGTCCGCCGCCGCCGACTCCGACTGCATGGAGCATCAAGTCGTACCGGAGTCGCCATCTCGTTGCGACCCTCAATCCGAAATGGGGCACGGAGCACGACAGGTTTCCATTTCGGTTGGCGCTGCCAGTCCACGAACCCCACGACGGCCTCCCCAAGACGTGTCGAGAAGCGCTGCTCCAGCACGCGTACGACGGCCCCCCCACGGCACTGCATTGTGCCGTGTACAACAAATGCAAACTTCGTCAACATCCGTTCATGGGGAGCGCCAAGATCAACTTGAAGCGACTCACAGCTGCCCAGCCCATGGACGGCTGGGTCGACTTGGACAACGTGTCGACGGGGTCACTCCATATCAAGATCTCGCTCAAGTACCAGCTCATGTCGTCGTCTTCGTTTGACCTGGACTTCGGCATGGTACGTTGTCCTTGACGAGTTGGACTTGTGGGATTGACGAATGCGGTGGTGGGCTTGCGTAGGGGCGCGAGATGGCATGTCAAGTGTGAGGCTTCTGCCGGCGGAATGAACAGTCCATAAATATCAGTAAAGGTGCATTATTGATCGCGTTGACGGCGGAGGGTCGTCGTGCTGGCGTCGCCTCGTTGGGGAATGTGGAAGAAGACGTTGGCAAAGTCCTTGGCGATGCCAAGCGACATCTCGCCGACGCACACGATGCATGATCGCAGCTCCTACGAGGACGACCAGTCGTGAGATGAAGGAGGACGAGATGGATTCGATGTGCCCGTACGACATCGTTGGGACACTGCGACGAGATGGATGGAAAGGCCTCGCGAATCGACGTGACCGCGTTTTCATCCGTCTGCCCGAGAGGGTGTGAAGTGAACGAACCAGGCGCACTGACGGTGCATACCAGCATCGACGATGTTTCAAATTGTACGTAAGCTCCCGTCGAAGGCGCGCCTTGCCGTGCTTCGTCCGTAAGTTGGATCGTGCAGAAGTCCCCTCCAGTCTTTTGCACACTCGTCTTGGCTTCCTCGTTGGTCTGCTCGAAGAAATGACATTGTACGTCAACGCATGCACGCACATACTTCGTAGTTGATCACAGTCAATTCGTACTCGCGATACCCTCCGTGACAACAGCGCACACTGCGCACATCGCGGCGGATGAGGATTAAAATTGGAGCTCTTGACGAATGTACCAGTCGTCAACAGGAACTTCCTCGCCAAAGAGACCAAGCGTCACAGTATGCTTCTCATCATCATCTCTGTTCCTAGCTTCATAAGCGAAGTACCCCTGGAACCAATGTCCATCTTCAGGAAAGCACAGCATGGCACGGCCGGCCGTCTCGACTTCCATGACGCACTTTCAAGACTTGTATTCTTCTCGTTTTTTATTCATCCAATCAAAACGCTTCATCTCACAGAGTGGCCAATCATAATGCAGAAACCTCGAAATTTCGGGAAAAAGTCTCGCCAATCGAAGAATTGAACGAAGGCGTCCACGATGGAGATCTCCGCGGTCGACGACGCCTCCATCGCGGGCGTGCGGCGACTGAACTTGGCGGCGTTGCCGATTCCGGTGCAAGATCACATTTATCGAGAGGCGATGTGTCCCCCGATCTTCAGTCAGGTTGCTCAAAGAAATGGCAAAGTCCTCGGCGCGGTCATTGTCCACGATGACAGTGGCGACGCGCGGTGCATTCGAACGATTGCGGTCGACATTCGATCCCGAGGACAGGGCATTGGACGAATGCTCCTCGAAAAAGTCGTTCAAGATGCCATGCTGATGAGGAAGAAGCTGTACTTGCACGTTCAAGTCGACAACGACGACGCAATCCGCCTGTACAAGAGCGTTGGATTCACTGTCGACGAGCGCGTCGCCAACTACTATCGTCGTGTGTCATGTGTGGATTGTTTCGTCATGTCCCTCCCGCCGGCAGTAGCATCACCACACGAGCGACCTCCGGGCGTCAGCGGCTCAACCTGATGATGAAAGACTGCACAACTATATTAATACCGGCGCTGAACGTGGCTCATAAATTCCGATCGGGTGCGCGGATCTGACTGAAAGTTGCCGAGCACGCAGCTCGTCACGGTCGATGCGCCGCTCTTTTCGACACCTCGCATGCACATGCACATGTGCGTGGCTTCGATGACGACGCCGACACCCAGCGCACCGACAGCTTGCATCAACCCTTGGGCGATTTCGTTTGTCAGGCGCTCTTGCACTTGTAGTCGGCGCGCAAACACGTCCGAGATGCGCGCGAGTTTGCTCAGCCCGAGGACTTTGCCGTTTGGAATGTACCCGATGTGAACTTTACCAACGAATGGGACAACGTGGTGCTCACACAACGAGTACAGCTCAATGTCGCGGACAATGACCATTTCCGAGTAGTCTTCCGTGAATACGGCTTCGTTCAGGACGTCCGACAGTTCTTGGGCGTACCCCTTGGTGCAGTACATGAGAGCCTTTGCCATGCGCATGGGGGTCTTGAGGAGACCTTCGCGTGTGACATCCTCGCCCATGCATTCCAGCAGGACTTTCACGGCCGCCGCCATCTTCTCGAGCTTTTCCGTGTCGTTTGTGTGGTCGTCCTTGGTACGGTTGTACTTTTTCTTGGTCGTCGTGATATCGGTGGCAGTGGCAGGGTTGTCTTGCGGCGCCATGGTAGCTTCGGGAGTCGGCAGCAAGTTGGGAAGTGCAGGTGGCAGGTAGGGTGGCGGGGACAGCCGCGGCGAACGTCGTTGGGTTTCGGTTCCACACAAAAGTGTCGAGATAGTTGACAAGAGATATTTTAATTCTTTCCACTGGAACCACTTGACTTTCGTATGTACAACCATTTAAATGTCGAATGGCCACTCTCCCATACAAATTCCAAGTAAAAGCGCCATCGAACAATTTCAGCACGACCATCCGTCGTCACTTGGAGTTTGTATAGATCGTTACGCGAAGTTCCAGGGACCTGTGATTGGTTGAGTATCAGCCAATCACGTGCTTTCAAGAAATTTGATTGGTTTATGAAACGCTGCGACAGATCATACCGTCGTCGAGAAAGGCGGCGACCACGGATGAATGCAGCGGGCGCCGGATGCAGTCCACGGCACAGCTCGATGGATTTGCGCAAAGCCATCAAGTTGTTGCCACGAGATATGCCACGTGCCCTTGTTGAATGTTCGCAGTGGAGAGGATATGTCGAGGCGAGGAAGTGCAAGGATGAACCGGGTCGGGAGGGGACCACCTGGAGCACCATCGTGCGACTCCACCTCCCCGATGCGCCCATCGGAGCGCAATGCACTGGGTGATATCGTCGACGTGGGCAGGCAGTTCTATCTCGACCCAGCTCGTCTGTCCATGAGCCAATGCACACATCAAGCCTGGCAGGTGGATTTTCCTATAGTTTTCTACAATTTCTGCGGCGGCACTTCCCGAACGGATGCCGTTTTTACGAATTTGGCACAGAAGAACCCCATCGTGTCGCTAGGGCTGGCCGGGTCGAACCGTTGTACTTTCGCAGCTTGGTCCGGCGTGAGCCCTTGGTTAGTCAGTCCAGGTTTGCCGAGTACAGGACTCTGTGCCACCAATTCGAGGGGGTACGAGTCAAGAGCATGCCGCACCATTTGCTCATTCTCCTTTGGGTTGACGGTACATGTCGAGTACACGAGGGTGCCGCCCGGTTTGAGCAGAAACACAGCGGCCCACAAAAAATTGCGCTGCATGTTCGAGTACTGCTCCAGTTCGGACAAATTGCACGCGTGCAGGAGTCGTGGGCGCAGGCCCAGCGCCGAGCACGGGGGGTCAAGCAAAATCTGTGGGTGTATGTTAGCAGTAGTGACGATGATGGCGCTCCGCCTTACCTTGTCGAACGTCTCGGCTCCGAATCCAGCGATGGGGAGGAGCTTGGCTTGAGGGTCCTTGGTCCGTGCATCCAGAATAACCTGCTGCACACTCGGCACGATGTCTTGCTTTGGAAGCACGGATTGTGTCGAATCCAACTACGATACAAGTGTGAAAAAAGTGGTCGATCGCAGGGGGAAATATGTCGACGAACTTTGATCGGCACGATAATGGACAGGTTGACTGCGTCGAAGAACGCTTTCATTTCAAGCACTTTGCGACGGCTGCGATCGCATGCGACCAACGTCCCTCGATTCTGCATGAGGGTCGCCAAGTGCGACGTCTTGCCTCCTGGCGCGGCGCACATGTCGAGGACCGTGTCGCCTGGCTGCGGGTTGAGCACGTGCGCCACGACGCTTGATGGAGTATTCTGCATATACATGTCCCCGGGCAAGACTCCGTTCAGTGGAGGAGCGTCCGCGCACAACTAGGTCAGGGGAGATGATGTAGTTTCGAACGACGTCATCGTGGCATACCCGCGACTGGACGGCGACTGCCAGGCCCTTGAGCGCTCGAAACATTTCGCTGCGAGGCATGGCCGCAGTACCCGAGCCCAATAGCACCTTACGACCGGCGTGGAGCTCGGCGTCGCTACCTCGAGTGGCGGAATGGTCCAAGTCAACGTAAACTAAGACCTGGTCGCCGGCGTTCAACGCACTGCTGGCGCACATGACGCCGCGAGCGAAAATGTCGCTTCCCCGAAGAACAGCTTCTCCGCACAGCCGATCCACGATAATCTTCTTGGTCGTTGCTGTGTCCACTGGGACATTCACACGTGGAGCCGACGGCACGATCACAACGTCCGACAAAGTCGGGTGCGGTTCGGCAACAATAGCGGGACGGCCTTGAGCATGCAGTCGCGCATTGAAGTCCACGAGAGCTGCGTTGAGATTCGCGACAAGCTTGCTTTGCGTGGTGACGAGGGTGTTGACGCGGACTGACGTGTAGGCTGGCCTACGATGCGTAGAGTGGACAAGGAAGTGCCAAGGAGCAAACGTACGGGCGCGCGAGAGCTCCTTTGATGGCGCCCCAGTGCGCTTCACCATACGCAGACGTGAAGAACTCTTCGACGTCGTCCGGGAACGAAAGGAAGAACTCGTCGAGCGGCACGGCCGCAGCGGCGCTGGTGGTCGTCATGGTAGAGTTCAAATTCGATCTGATTGGTCCACGATGATTGGTCATCAGACGAGCTAATGAAATCGCACGATTTCGACGTGTGCAATGTGGACAACGGCTCTCGCTGTATGGGTGGCCGGCCATCAACGGCGCGGCGGTGGCCTTCCGTCCACGATGGTCCCATCGGTGTGAGCTACATTTGGAGCACGCTTTGCAAGTGGATAGGGGCCTGATGGACGAGAAATGGAACCTGTAGCTGGCGCAGATCCAGTCGAAGCTGGAACTTGGATCCAAGCCATGTTGAAGGCGTTGTACATGACGAGGATGAGATTCGAATCTGAAATGGCCTCTCACCCGACGCCTTGGCACACATCCAGGCAGCACATCGCGTGGTCTGTGCTCGCCTGTTGATGGTTGGGGCATCGGAGCAATGTTTCATTCGTTTGCTTTATATAGTCCCTCTGTCGACAGCATGGCCCTGACGGCATGGACGATCACCCGAGGGCTTCTTTCGATCTTGCTCGTGTTCAGGCAATCCACTGCATCAGTGCATATGGCAATGCCCATCTCGTCAGGACGAACGCGGGGTGCTCCCCCAGGATGGCCCCTGAAAGCGTCTCGGTGTGACGGCATTTCGACTGCAGCAAGACAAGTCTCGCCGTCTTCCAACCACAAAATCGCCCAAAGCCACGGGAGCCACTCGTCGACGGCGTTGCGTCGGGTGGACTCTGGTGCGAGCAGCCGCCTGCGTGACCCGGCTATGCAGAACACGCCCTGGACCGACAGCAGCCCGCAACAACGAGAAAAAGAATCCAGCTTCTTTTTGCATAGGAAGGTGGCTCGAGCTAAACATATAGTAGTCCACAGCACCATGTTGTAATAACGCAGTGCACTTTGTCCGCACTCGACATCGTTCCCTCACGAGAGACCTGGTACGGTCGCGCGAGCAGTCGGCCCAATAATGTGCTACTGCCGTCGGGCCGGAGATGGCTGCAGACAAGCCGTTGGTGGTAGTGCGTTCGTTTGAAAGCAGCTCCCATGGCCCTCGGCGTCTCGTTGCATTCGGCACCGTTCGGCTTGACCTGCGTGTGCGCGCGCGCGAGTCCGGGTGCCGTCCCCGCAGGTCCCAACCCGTCATTTTCCGTGCCACCACATGGCGAAGTTTTCTTTTTTCCTTCGAAAGATTGCCCACGTTCTGTTTTCGCATTTCGTGGTTGTAGCTCCAACGTAACAACCCCCATGGCGTCTGCCGCGAATCCGCCGCCCGCGCCGACGTCGGACTCGCTTCGAGTCGTCATTGCACTCTCCACGCATGGAAGTCGCGCCCCTGCCCAAGGCGCCGCGACCCTTTGCCCTGCGAACGCCGCCAACCTCAACACGTACTCTGTCCCGTTCGAGCAACTCACGGACAAGGGCATGCAGCAAATGGTGCACGCAGGCGCTCACACCCGGGACGTCTACGTTGAATCCAAGCACTTTTTGTCCCCTACACTCAAGAAGAAAACTCACTTTGACGCGTACTTCCGCGCGGACCCGTCGCAGAGCTGCGGGCAGAGCTCCGTCACGTTCGGGTACGGCTTGTACCCGGACTCGACGTCGACGACGCTCGGATTTCCTGTACCAGTCCCCGTCGTCATGCAACTTCTCTCGAACGAGCACGACATTGCCGTCACGCACGGGCCATGCCGCGACACCCTCGACGCTGACGTTGACAACTTTGATGCGCACAAGGGCAAGGACATGTTGAATGCGCAAGCGTCCGTGCTGGACCAACTGAGCACCGCTTGCGGCCGGCCCTTCGACGTGACGACATCTCCCAGCAAGGACTTGTCTGTGATCTCGGACATGATGCACGCGGATGCCAGCCAGGGGCTGCCGTCCATCTTTTCCCCAAAACTCGCGATCGATGTCCAGACGTTGGCGCTCAACCAGATGCTTGGCCGCTACCTCGGCAGTCCTCGGCAAGTCACATACTACCTCGGGGGTTTCCCCAACCTTATGCTGTCGCAGCTGAACCAAGCGGCCAGCTTGACGGAGACATCGCCATACAAACTGTACGCGTACACAGCCCACCGCCATCTCCTCCACGGAATGGGATTCCTCCTCGGCTGGAACTTCCACTTTGACGGAGAGCCCAAGGCGGACGAGTACAACACAACGGCGCTCCCGGCTGGCACGACGCTTTTCATTGAGCTGCATACCGCCAACGATGGGGCCGACCCTGTCGTCGAAACTCACATTTGGTCGCCAGAGACGATCCGCACCCAGGTGAAACTCACCAAGTGCAGCGCGCTGGCATGTCCGCTGGCCGAGTTCAATGGCATCATCGACCGCCACATCCAGCTCACGACCACGTGGCAAGAGTTGTGCCAGTACCATCCCATCAACCAAGGGAGCGCGAATGGCGTCGGGACGGCGGGCGACGACCTTGCCTCCTCCAACTACTCACTCGTCCTCGGCGCCGTCCTTGTGGCGCTCACGTTGTTTGCCATGCACTCGGCCTACACTCGCATCAACCAATTCCGCCGTCACAGTCAATACCGCCCTTTGTAACACCCCCCACCACTTAATGGAACTCGATGTCATTGTTGTGCTGGGTCCCATCTTTCAATGACTTGTGCTATCATGCAGGTGAATGACGACGAACTTCATGCGATGCGAACATTCATGGCTGGGTCCGCCACAGCGCAAACGTCGGAGCTAGTTGCAACGAAAAGGGATATCGTGGCTAGCGGACGATTCATAGCAATGCTTTCATGGAGAGGAGAGGAGCGTCTGGCGGAGCGACTCGTCGGCGGACAGATCCGAGTCGGACTCGTCGTCGTCGTCCATGATGGCGTCGGCGATGAATCGGTACGGTGCTTTGTGCGGGGCTGGACGAAGCGGGCTGTTCGAAGAGGACAGAGCGGCGCTTGGGACTGTCGGGAATCGACGGTGGAAGTGAAGCAGCGCGACGATTGGCACGAGCTCGAAAATCGAGTAAAACAGAACGATCATGAGCCACGTAAAGTGGTCCTGCAGCTGGACATGCTCGTGGGCCAGGACGAGCACCAGGAGACACCTGCTCGTGAAGCACGTAAAGCACACAGTCGTGAGCAGCGTGACCTCGCGGAGTTTCTTCGATCGGATGGGCAAATCCACTGGCACCGCACTAAGACGACGATCGTGAAGGGAGGAAGAGGGTCGATATGCCCCAATCACCTACCGAAGTTCAACGAATGCGAGGCGCGCGTACACGAGGAACGCGACGGACACCAGTGCGAAGAAGGTGGCCGAAAATGCAGCGTAACCGCGCCCAAAGTAATGATCTAGCGCAAGCAACAAAGGCGTCAGGGTATGAAGGAAATAGCGTGGAAATCGCACTTTCGGATCGCCAGGGGTCTGCATACAGCACCCAGAGCCCAATTTGCAATAGATACGCCGCCACATGAACGACCCTTGAAACAGGCTTGATAACGTGGGTGAAGATATCGAGCTGGTCCGTCGCGTTGTAGTAGATTTCGGCCCAGAACATGCTGATAAGCACGTACATGGAGAGGAACAGCATGTTGGGCAACTGATCGACGATATAAAACACTTGGCGTTCGAACCCGCGGGTCTCACATGTCGACGACAGAGCTCCAGTACCAGCTACATCACACCAGTTGAACACCCCGACAGCGATCAGAAACCCTGTGCGGAGCAGTGTGAGCAGGAATAGCAGTGCGTGGATGGTCTTCTGTTGAGTCCACAAGTTGTAGCTCCTGCAGTTTCGAATCAACTGCACCAGCGACGCGCCGCACAAGCACATGTAGACGAAGCCTGTGGCGCCGAACGCACTCCGGTTTGCATGTCCTTCGTCCGCGCCGATTGCGATCCAAACTGCACTCGGCGGCATGGCTCCCTTGTCCCAAATTTATCTGCAATTTTGTTGCAGAAGAAAATTCGATGTGGTATCCGGACCTATCGGATAATCTTCAAATTATCCGGTAGGCCCGGATACCACATCGAATTTAACCAAGCGGAAGGTTGCCAGTGTCATCATTCGCTCCTGCTAAGTCCCGGCCTTGGTGGATGGACATACGCGACCCTTCCCGCCGCCGATGGCAAAGTATGAAAGCAATGACTCCCCAACCTCCAGATCTAAGCGATCTTCATGAAGTCTTTGCAGCGAGAAGACGGCAAGGATGTTGCCATGGCACTCGGCATGAAGTCCTCAGCCAGCAAGCATCGCAATTCCAACAACGTACAATGGAGGACAGGATGAAGGCTTGGTCCATTTTCTACGATAGACACAACACGCCGAGCTACACAAACGTCGTGATGACCCACAAAATGATGCCGCATCCGATCATGAGGACGGGAGTGTCCATCGTGTGGGGTGCAATCGCTTCCGCGTACGCCATCGTCGGCGGCAGCACGATCATCGAGACCAGGACTTGCGCAAAGCTGTCAAAGTCGGCGTACTGCAGCGCGGGGAAGATCATGCCCGACAAGAACACACACGTCGACCCTTCCCAGCTGCGCGTGTACGCGCGCGTCGAGAAGCACGCAGTCGTCTTGTACTTGTGCTTGCCCCACATGATGCCGACGGGCTCGGCCAAGCCGTCGCCGATGCCCGTGATGAACACGATGATGTAGACCAGGTCGCCGTTCTCGGCAAAGAGCCACTTGAAAAACATGAGGATGAACAACCCCGGCGCGATGTTGCCGGCAATGATCCACTTGAGCGTGTGCGGGCGGTCCTCCGGGCGATCCAGCGAGTTGAACTGGAGCATGAAGAACGACAGAGACTCGCGCACGGGCTTGATAAGGACCAGGAACCCGATCATGGTGAAGAAGTCGCCCCACGCGAGCGCGAGCGGGCCATGGAAGTTGGTGTGCATCACCAGCGGCACCATGTACGCGGCAAAGTGCTGCAGCTTGCGCGTGTAGTTGACCTTGAATGCCGAGCTCTTGTTTGTGATAATGTACCCATTGCTGTCAACGGAGCAAAACATGCGGCAGATGAGGCCACCGATCATCGACACGATCATCATGCACCCGACCTTGGGGAGTTGCGACCACCAAAACAAGGGCGTCGTGAAGTACTCGGGGCTGTACACCCACGTCAACGCGACCACAACGGCCAAATACAGCACCATCCCGATCAAAAAGACAAAGTCAAACGTCTTTGTCCAGTGGTCTTCGTAGTCGCCAGCGACTTCACCTTCCTCGATGGGGCTGCCTTGACTTGTCGTGGCGCCAGTGGTGGCGCCGTAATGCGGGACGCTCGACGCGAGCGGGAGCGAGTACTTGGGGTTGGACGCCAGTGGCTTCCACACGATGCGAAGCAAGATATAGATCAGCACGAACGACGCAATGGGGAGCCCCACGAGTGTGATCGCTTCCACCGACGTGAGCTGCTCTGACCACGCCACAGCTGGCGCAGGAGCTTCCGTCGCGGCACTCGTGTTCATGCCGACCAAAATTGAGATGTGGCAGTCCACCGCGGCCAGCCCCAAACCACCGCACTTCGCCAACCTGGCAAAAGCCGTCGGGAGTGGGAGGGCGACCATTTTCCTTCGAACTTCGATGATTATCCGGATCATCGCACATGACGAGTGTGACTGGTGTGGGAGGCCGGCAAGCACCGCGATGGACGCAAATGGAGGGGAGCATGAAGAGGGAAAGGGAGGGTGAGAGGTGCAGTGCATTTTAGAAGACATCCGTTTGTTCTGGGGGGTTGGAAGGTCGGCGTGTCGATGAACCTTAGCGTCCGACGCGATGGGGTAAACACACACATCATGTTGACCAAACGCACCGACACGGCACTTTTACCCATGAATGTGTCAGCTGCCACGAATTGGAGCTGTGGCGGAGGTGTCGCATCTTTTACGGCGGCTGCGCCAGCCAAGGGCTGCAGCAGGCTCTGGTTTCCCATCGCACATGTCACTTTTTGCGACACGTTGCCGCCGTCCCGTCCGTTCATGGTCGGGCAGAGCTGGCATTGGACTCGCCCGCCACCGCAGGTCGTACTCGGTGCCAACAATGGGGTGCCATGGTGTCGTGGCCAGGGTGGCATCGTTTGCTCTCGCTGGGGGGACATGTTCATGGAGCAATAAATATGGAGTGGCACCTTTCCCCGCGTTCCCTCCATTCGCACCTACCAACACTTCTGGTACAACGAAAACCAACGATTTCACTGTGTTTGGTGGTACGCGCGATTGGCGCCGGTGCTACTGCTCAGGGACGCAGTCCCGATTTTTCCAAGGGCGACGGCATACCTGCCAAACGGCATGTCCTGCTTCGCTCGCAGTGGAGTCGACGACTGCGCCAGCAGCGACGGTGTGTTGGTGTGATGCGGTGTCGACATGGGGGACGTGGCGTCGGATATGCTGTCGAGATCCAAGGAGGGCTTGTATGTGACCCACTCGACGTCGTCTTGGGTTACCCACTCCGTCCGCATCGTGCTGTGCGCATCGAATGGGGCCGAGTCGTCGAACGCAGCACTTGAGGGAGGACCGACAAGATGAAGATGCGAACTCATGGTCGTTGGGACGTGGTGGTGAAGGGACTCTTGATAGTCGTCTGTGCTGTTGGCTATCGACAGCGATGTTTCGACGCTGTCGTTCGACTCCGGTAGGTTTAAAGTCGCGCACGGACAGCACAGCCGCACGTGGACACGAATGCCCGACGCCATCAGCTTCCACATCGTGCTACATGGACGGCCACACACCACCTACGCACGAACCACGTTAGGATTTGTGGGCGAAGAAGCCCGGCAACGGACCTCACCGCACCGGCGGCAGTTGTGGCGCCGCCTGAGGTGTCCAAATTTCTTGTCGCAGACGTGGCAACTGGATCGAGCACTGAGCGACACGACGGCATGGTCCGGGAGAAATTGAAGCCGACTGAGTTTCGCGGCGCGGAGCTTCTGCCCGAGCAAGTTGAGGTTGCCGCACTGACTCACGGCCGACTTTGTCACCAAGTAGTCGCCGATCGAGCCACGAATCGACCCGTTTGGCTGCACATGTTGCAGCTCAAACACCTGCAACACGCCCGGTTGGTCGCACTCGACGTAGATGAACCCGGAATGCAGCATCTTGCCCCGGACGATGCCGTATTTGAGCTGCAGATCGGGGCACGCCGGAACCTCGACATGAACGAGGGCGCGAACCCATGCGCGCTTGCCGCCAACAACGAGATTGTCTTGGTACTGCCGCATACGAGATGAGGACCACACCCAGACGATTCGGTCGGTGCATACCTCGAGGTAGCACAGGTCGCGACGCTTCACGACAATCCCGGCTAACGGCGTCGCAAGAAGACACCAGTTGATCCCGAGGTAGTGGTGTGGCCGTCTCGGTGTCGGCATGGTGATGTTGTACAGCCGAACGATGTCCATGATGTCAGGGAAGAAGGTAAACGCAGATGCGCGGACGCTGGGGGTGTCGAAGGTGAGGAAATTTGGGATGATGTCGTCGAGCGTCGCCTCGATCTCGGTGTGGGCGCAAAAGAGCGGGACGTTCTCGTGACGTCCGCGGAACAGCTTGACTTTGTCGTCTTGAGCATAGAACGCCCAGTTGATGGACCCGCCGACGAGTTGCGTGAACTCGACCTGCGTGCACACGACATGAGATCGCATGTCGAGTTCGACAACGTACCAAGTCCTTGGCTGCCTTTTCGCCCAATGCTATGAAGCGGGCGATGTCGGTGGGAGGCAGCGGCGGACATTGAAAGAAGTCCAGAGAGATGGGCACTTGCAGCGTCATGCACGACTAGGAAATGGTACGAGCGGGAGTCGCTTCGTGCAGCCTTGGAATAGGAAGGGATGGAGAGGCGTGGTGCGACCAGCATCCTCGCGATACACCAAATGATTTTGTCCCAGGTTTGTCCCTGCGCTGCCAAACCAGACGGTTTTGATTGGATCGAGTACGATCGAGGTGACCCCGTACCCAATGAATACGATTGGAAGGGGCACCACGGACTGGGATAAACTCGGTTCACAACATAGCACACACAAGTCACGTGGCTGCTGGTGCGCCGCCGCACGAGAATGCTGCCCACTGGTGACGAGAACGCTGTACGAACGGGGTGAAAACGCCTGAGCAAGCCACTTTGCCCATCCACACGTCCACGGGGACCAAAGGGTTGAGTGCGCTTGGTTCGAATGTGCTCATCCATCCATCCATCCACGGGGACCAAAGGGTTGAGTGCGCTTGGTTCGAATGTGCTCATCAAGTCTGTGACGAGAACGTGGATTTCAAGCCGCTGGTCTGATGGACGAACTGTAGCGACCATGACCCCACTGCTTCCATTTCGGCATGCATGAACTGCCTGTCAACTCTTTTCCCTACGGGTCGAAGAACATATCCCTATCTGGTTGGTGTGTGCAGCGAGAAGACGGCAAGGATGTTGCCATGGCACTCCGCATGAAGTCCTCCACCAGCAAGCATCGCAATTCCAACAACGTATTGGAGGACAGGATGAAGGCTTGGTCCATTTTCTACGATAGACACAACACGCCGAGCTACACAAACGTCGTGATGACCCACAAAATGATGCCGCATCCGATCATGAGGACGGGAGTGTCCATCGTGTGGGGTGCAATCGCTTCCGCGTACGCCATCGTCGGCGGCAGCACGATCATCGAGACCAGGACTTGCGCAAAGCTGTCAAAGTCGGCGTACTGCAGCGCGGGGAAGATCATGCCCGACAAGAACACACACGTCGACCCTTCCCAGCTGCGCGTGTACGCGCGCGTCGAGAAGCACGCAGTCGTCTTGTACTTGTGCTTGCCCCACATGATGCCGACGGGCTCGGCCAAGCCGTCGCCGATGCCCGTGATGAACACGATGATGTAGACCAGGTCGCCGTTCTCGGCAAAGAGCCACTTGAAAAACATGAGGATGAACAGCCCCGGCGCGATGTTGCCGGCAATGATCCACTTGAGCGTGTGCGGGCGGTCCTCCGGGCGATCCAGCGAGTTGAACTGGAGCATGAAGAACGACAGCGACTCGCGCACGGGCTTGATCAGGACCAGGAACCCGATCATGGTGAAGAAGTCGCCCCACGCGAGCGCGAGCGGGCCATGGAAGTTGGTGTGCATCACCAGCGGCACCATGTACGCGGCAAAGTGCTGCAGCTTGCGCGTGTAGTTGACCTTGAATGCCGAGCTCTTGTTTGTGATAATGTACCCATTGCTGTCGACGGAGCAAAACATGCGGCAGATGAGGCCGCCGACCATCGACACGATCATCATGCACCCCTCTGTGGACCAGGACGCCATGGGCAAGTGACCTTGGGGCACGGGCGTCGAGTTCACGTGGAGCAAGGTGTAGATGAAGAAGACGAGCACAGCAGGAAGTCTGTCGATGACCCAATGCTTGGTGGCGGTCGTGAACACTGTTCACGACACTTTGCAACGGTGGACTTCATAGCAAAGTGAATTGTGTGGACCAGGGTCGACTCCACCGACAGACCATCTTGGGTGAGCCCGATCGGTGAGTTAGGACTTGCACATTGTGGCGTACATGGTCGTCCAAGGAAGCAGCACACATCACCACGTTTCAACGCCACCCATAGCCCCTGCCGTGGTTGTCGCCGTCGAAAAGTGTCATGTCAAGGTAGGTCGATAGGTGCCGCCTGCGCTTGTCGAATACGCTCCTTGCGTTCCCCCATGTTGTATTCGCCACACCACCGAACGAAATCGACAACGCGATCGATCCAACGAGCGCCAACTCCATCGTCATAAATGGACGAAAGTGGCGCATCGCGGAAAAGACACGAATGAATGGGTGGTGCCCTTGCCACATCCGCCGACACCTGTCGGTTCTCGTGGACGTGTTTTCCATGACGATGTTCGCCATGGCGCTTGTGTCGGCAAATTTACGCTCATCCGGTATGTATCCGGATAACTGTCCCCACCTTGCAGGTTCTCCAAGAATGAATCGACAGCCCAGGCGCGGTGGTAGCAATCGCCAGGCGCCGCGTCAACGGTACAACCCGCCAAAGTCCACGGGCGACAATACGGTGAACTCTAGCATTGTACCAGGCCTATCTGTTGCGATCGTTCAGAAGCATGACCAACCCACGGGACGCTTGACGTATGGCGTTGTCGCGGAGACGTTGACCGGGTCCGCCGTCCATCCTCGAGGCATCAAAGTGCGGTTGATGGATGGGACCGTGGGTCGAGTGCAACACATTCGGCGGGAAAATGACAGACACCTTCCCACAGCGCAATTCAAATCAGACAATGCCGAGGCAGAGGGCTGCCAGGCACAACCTCCACCCACATCGTCGCTACTGGACTGGATACAGCCTTCTCTTTGCGCTCCCAAGGCTTCGCCCTTGACCAGTTCGGAACAAGGTCACGACCACGCTTTGGATGCACGTGTCACGGACGATGATGATGACCGAGCCCCATGGAACTGCTCAGCTTGCACGTTTGAAAATTCAACGTTCCTCATGGCATGCGAAATGTGCCAGACACCCAAGTGATTCACGGACGATATGCACCCGCTCTTGCATGGCTCGCATGGCCAACGCAGCTTTCAGAGGGATCGCAGATTTTGACGTTAACACTCATCCAAGTTGCTCGTTCTCCATGAGGTTGCACCTACGGGCAGGTCGAAGCAGCGATGTCGGCCCCACTGACAAAGTCCCACGCCCTGTCTTGTTTGTAAAAGGTGCGAGTATCGCCAACGTATACGACTGCATGCGCAATGCGAATTGCGCCGTGGACGAGCGGCATTCCATCCACCACCACGACTGCGGTGCATCCGCTGCCCAACCTCCTACATCACACACTTTGTCGTCAGGGTCTCCGCACATATTGCGGGCATTGTGCTAGTGTTCGCTTACCCCAACGAATGCGACGCTTGGAAATGAACAAAGCCAGACGACAACGAATGCGCGGTCACGTGCGTCGCGATGGCGAGGAGTCGCACGTGGTCGGGATTTGGACTCCATGGTGGCAGGTCCAGTGGACTAGATCGGGCAATGGAATGGAACGGAAGCAACAGCACCACGTCTGTCATCGGTAGCGCCGAGTGATTCGTGATGCAAATTTGGCCCGTTGTTGCCTGTCCCGAAACGACTGGGGCAGACGCCGCCCATCGCGCAGTCACGGTCGTCGACGACATGGTCTGGACATGAAAGTTGATGTGTTGAACTTCGGTGGATGGAGGTTGCGACGTCGGTGCAAGGATCGCGTGGTTCGATGTGATAGTGGTGAGCTCCTCAACCAGGTCGCGGTCACTACCGCCAACATCCCCGGCCTCTTGCTCCATTCGCCACGTCACGAAGGCCCTGACAGTCGACGATACTTTGGCGCCCCATTCGGCGACGCTCCACACGACTTGGAAGGATTCGCCCGGGCCCACCGTCACTGGATACACTTCGTTGGGAGGGTCCTGAACTATGCCAGCAACCGCTTTGTTGTCGTTTGCACACCCAAGTGGGCAGTGCAGCGCCACGTCGATTAGAGAGATGCTGTCATCCACCGAATTGTTTGTCAGCTGCAACACAATCGATGTCGGCGGCGCCAGCGGGTCGTGATGGACGACATGCGCCAAAGCAAGTGGGCGCACGAGCACAACAGACGGGGTGAACACAAGCTCGCGCTCGACGGGGGATCGTTGCAACGACACTTCGGACGCCATCGATGCCATCACAATGGCATCCATCACGTCGTAGTTGAAATTGGATTCCACAACGTGAAATAACTCCAAGTGGTCGTCGATGTGGAGGTGTACTGATAGCTGGAGTGGAAGATTAACGTACGCTGCATCGACGTGCAGAACGCAAGATGCGCGGAGGACGAAACTCGACGCTGTTGGCTCGCCATGGCACTCAAAGGCAATCGACTCATGCATCACTGTCGTTGACGTGTCCATGGCACGAAGCAAACAGGTCGTTGTGACGCATGATAAATGTTGGCGCCATGAGTTGTCGGAGAGCAACGACGAAGAGTCGATGGCGTGCACACGAAGGTAAATCGATACGTTTCCACCTACACGTCGAAGCATGTCACCAACGACCGATTGACAAAGGCAGCGGGATGTATGTACCGTCTAGGAGAGCCACGTTTGGTCTCGAAGCACTTTGCCTGCGCGGGACGAGTACGTCGATCTCGGCATGCCTCCATTCTTCCATCCAACTCATTGCAACCTTGCGAAATTTGCTCGGAACGGGTGAAGTCAAGCATGCAAATATTCATTTTGTATGCAATTCTATATTGAATATGTATATATGTTTTGAAGCAATTCATTTGGATTCGCATTATATTCCGCATCCGCTTCATTTTAGTACTATTTTTGAATTTGGACGGTACGTTGAAACATTCTTACGCATTTTTGAAACGCACATACTGACACCGTTTTCCATGTTTAGTGCTCATTTGCGCTCCATCGGTGTGACGTCAACGGGCACGGAGGACAACGGAGGAGGAGACGTCACAGCCATGGGACCAAGTGAAGCAGTAGAGCTCGCTGTGCCTGCCACCACCGCGAACTTTTGCTGCTGCAGCATGATCTGCTGCACTTCAATGTCATCCGCTCGGTCAACTTCCTTGGCAGTGAGTTCATCGATTTGTCCAAAGTACGTGAGAGGCACCTTGTACTTGATCTTTGGAAGCAACCACATGAGCGCCCGAGGATCCGTGTACGATGCAAATATTGGGCTATTCTCCGCGGCATACGTGAGAGCCGACGTGGGGTCGATGAGGAACGCGCACGACGGATCCACACCAGCTTCTGTGTACGCCATGATGTCCGTTGGACGGTTGCCAAACCCCGCAACGAACACTGGGAAGGTCGACGTGCGACCAGCCGCTACCATCGTGTCTTGCACTTGCTTGAGCACACCGGCCTTGAACACATGCGGATTCTTGTGCACGACCTGAACACACAAGAGTAACGAGGATGGAGGAGAGGAAGAGCATATGAACCTCGACAAACAAGGCGCCAGCGAGACCAAGCGAGTTCGTGATTACGGGCCCAGGAGGAAGCTGCTGGTCCACATCTTGACGGGCCTCCTTCAGGTGTATGCGGGAGCCGCCGGCCCAGTTGATCGGTCGCGCCGTCAAGTAGAAGATGCGGGCGCCGATGGAGTGCAGCTTTGAGAAGAACGCGCAAGACCCAGCATGAATGTAGTCATACTGGCCAAGGCGAAGAGTGCGAATGTGACCGCCAACGTCGTCGATTGTGATGGTACCGTCCAAGTCAGCGATCACGGCAAAGTCGTCGGGTCCCCATACGTACCTACGACAAAAATCCACGCGTTGCAACGGCATGTCGAAGAAATGGCAGAAAAATCATCGCGAAGGCGTACAGATTGCATTCGACGGTGCGAATGTACGTCCGAGACGCACGAACGTGCTCAAACCGGACAAAGTTGGGCTGGCCATCGAGCACGAGAGGAAACCGCTCCCATGCCGACGGTGGCGGCAGGTAGTTTTCAGGGTCGGTCGGCGAGAAGGAGCACCGGCCGTACTCCATCAGCGTCATCGAGTGGGCGAGCTGTCGGTCGTTCACGTACACGTCGATGGTATCGCCGACCCCTGCCTGGGCATTTGTCTTGAATGACGACCATGAGAACATGACATGCCATGGTGTCGAGTACAAAAGGCCGTCCGTTCCCTTGACCAGGATGACATCAATGGCATTGCCACTCACACGTCGTTCCTTCTCGATACCGCTCAATGGCGAATCCGACGACGGTCGTCTGGCCGTGGGAGCAGATGCACTGCGAGTTCGGTCCAAGTTGTTTGACGTAGGTGCAAGGACAGCCGCTCTATCCTTACCTGTGCCTTTCATGGGCGTCAACACATCACCTTGAATCGACAGCGACGAAGTGCTCCTGCCTTCCACGGCCATGCTTGCCGCTGTCGTCGGGTCGCCAGCGACCTCCATCGCGTTTTGACCAAGATCACCCAAGGTGAAGTTGACAGCGACCTTTGACATTTTATTTTCTCTCCTGCTCGAACAAGAAGCGAATGAGAGAGCAAAACGTATTGAAATTGAGAGGTTTCGTTTTAACGCAGCCCAAATTTTTAAAAACATTTTAAATACTGCTCAAAACGGACACGATCATTTAAAATCCAATTTGAAATATGGCCAACCATCGTTCCTTCAAACCAGCATGGATGAGCTCATGTCGACAATCCGATGGGACTTGCTGTGGCAAGCGATCACGCAGCGCATTTACAAAGACATCATTCGGCCCCACATCCTCTTGAATGGCGACACAGACGAATGGATCGGTCGCGTCGCTGCATTCGTTGCTATGGGCGCCTCGCTCCGATTGCTCCTAAGCATTCAAGCATCCATCGCTGCAGGGACGTTGTCCGGAGTCACGGCCGCCGCTCTCGTGTACTTTCGTCGGCGATGGTGGGCCAGCCGCCGCACCAGCAGCAGCGTTCAGCACCTTACATCCGACTCGACGTCCACGTGCTCCTTAAGGCAGTAACACAGGTATATGGTCCATGCACACTTCTGCCTAATGGACGACATGATCCTCATTAAACAATACGACAAGCTCTCGTCTACGCGACGGAACTCCTGTCGACTGGACGGTGTACGTCCATTACGTCCGCCGTCTCTTTCTGTCGCTTCATCGGTGCGTTGTCAATACCGTCCTGGCATTTTCGCTTCACTGGTGTGCCGTGGCTGCCACAGCCATCTTCGCTTCCCTGCTGTCGCTTTTGTAGTCTCAGGGCCGCGCGCTTGTGGGCGAGCCACGCATACACTTCCTGCCGTGGAAGGCCTTGGCGATGCCGGAACGTCTGCGTAAGGTCCATCGCCGTCGTCGTTGGGCGGAGATGCAGGGTGGACGCCACGGGCAAGAGAAAGTAGAAGTAGAAAGCACCGACTTGAATAAGACTCTGACTTGCCAGCGGCTGCGGCGCCATGCCAAATGACACTTCGTGGCCATTCACGGACAACGGCGTGAGAACACTGAGGCACTCGATCACATAGCGCTGCCAGCGCACATCCCATCGAATCTTGACATGTTGGGCGGAGATCATGAGATCATCGCCGAGGTGGCAGTCGACATCACCGCCAGACAGCCCTCGGTGAAGGTCAAGCCCCATTGTCCTGTACCGCTCCTTCCACTCCGAGCCGACTCGGCCGAGAACGGCTTGAGGGCGGAGCATATAGAACGACATTCCCGGTCCCTATGCACAGACCATTAGTTGTACCGCACGCCACCAAGGCCTCGCGTTGTCCAGAAGGCGCGTACCACTAACTTGGCGTACCCCACTGGCTCAAAGTCGAGTGGTTTCTTGCGTCGAGGGTCCGTGGCGATGAGGCTGTACTGAAACTCGATCGTTCCAAGCCGGTCTCGCACAAACGCGCGTTGCCACCGTGGCACAGCAACGGTGTGCTGATGGACGACGACATCGTGCAGCGATTTGATGCTTTGGTTCAAAAACTTGGCATTGCATCGAAGGCATGTGATCTTGAGGAACCGATTCAACTGCGACTGCATGTGTAGCAAAGGCGCGAGGACGGACGCGGCCTCCGCCATCGTTTCTCTTTCCCACAATGGCGTTGTGACGGCCATTTTGCCTACTGACGACGACGTAGAACTCGCACCAGGCGTCGCAGAGGTCGACGAGACTAACGCCGAGAACGACGATGGCGTCGCGCTGCCGCCCGCGCTTGATTTCGGTGTGTGCTGCTGCTCGTCGTAGAGGATCATGTCGCTGTTTTCGTCGTCTTGGCCTTGATTCAGCATCACAACCTTTGGGGTGACGCATTTGCGGCTCTTGCACGACTGCTTTCGCAGACCCGGTCCACCATACTTCTTCATGTCTTGGCAATGGCGGCACTTGAGGCAGTCCCCGGCCAAACATCCAACGCATACGCCACATCGCATGACGCGCGTTCGACTGCTGGCAGCTGCAGCCGCGGCGGCCCGACTCGCCTTGCTTCTTCCGCCCTTGGATGACTTGATTGGGGCATTATCATCATCGGCGGCATCGTCCGAGTCCATGGAGTCGACTTCGTCGTCCGAGTCGGGGGCAGGCACAACATGTCTACTCGTGTCGTCGTCGACTTCGCTCTCGGACGTGTCGCCGCCAGACGAATCGGAAGACGCGTCGAGGAACTCATCGGTCGGCTTTGTCTCATCGTCGTCCCCGCCGACCGACCCAAGAACTTGGGGATTCGTGCACTTGCGGTTCTTGCACGATTGCTTTCGCAGGCCTGGCCCGCCGTACTTTTTCATGTCTTGGCAATGGCCGCACTCCATGCAATCGCCCGAGAGACACCCAGGGCACTTGCCACACCTTGTCACACGTTTCTTGTTGCCTCCTCCGCCAGTCGATCTTCGGGTCGGTTTCGGTGGCGCGGACGATGCGGACGACGAGTGGGCAGGAACGCCACCAGACGTGCAAGTGCTGCCCGATGTGTGGCTGTGGTGCGATGCGCCCGAATTGTTGTTCATCGTGGATTGTGCTGCCGTCTACAATATTCATCAGGGGTGGCCACTCATAGACAAATCTGTACCAGTTCAGTGGGTTTGTTGGACGGTGTGATCGATTCATCGTGCTCTTGGCGCTCGTGGGCGTTGCGTAGAGCCATTGTCCCGCAATCCACGCCGCATTTCCGGCATGTCCACGTGCCGGCGGGGGCGTGATCCGACTTAGTGTGTTTGAGGAGACCACTCGACGTCATGAACGTCTTGGCGCAATGTTTGCATGCAATCTAGATACCTCCCTCGTGAGTCCCTTCGATCGCGACATTGAAAGTACCAGCTTTGGATCGACGACGGTGGGCTTTGGTAGCGAGAGCGCGATCGGGTTTTCAAACAGGGGGGTCGTTGGCGTCCGCAGCATGAGTCGTTTTGTGTCGACAACAATCTTGGCTCGGTGGTTGAGCCGCTGGTACTTTTCCAGGAGGTCCATTTCCGACGGCCCAACCATAGTGTCGTCCGGGTTTGCCAGCACGTATTCCATCACGGGGGTTGCATCCAACGCCACGAGCTCTGCGCGCTCTTCGGCACTCAAGGCGAGCGTGTGGTTGGTGGCTTGGTCGAGAGCCGATGCCTCGGATGCGCCGTGAAAGCCCACGCAGACCCTTTGAACAATGGACCGCAGCGACTGCACAGCAACATCGTCCAACGCAGCAGTGCCCCACGCCTAACAGGTTCGCCGTGCGTGAGTACGCAACCATCTATCGACGGATTTGTCCTTACCATGGCCTTTTGCTTTGAATCGAATAAGGCGGGTCCCACAAAGTGCAGCAACAGCCTCAAGTCGATGTCGGCATCCGTTTCCAACATGAACCAGCGCTGGCGACAACGAAGACCCAAGGCAAGCCCTGCCCATTGCGAGTACCCGCCATCCAGCGCGGCTGCGGCTGTGCATGCGGCATCGAATGTGACTACCTGCCACAGCATATGCTGAAAGTGTGCAGCATCTTCAAACAGCGCCCGGTAGGTAGTCAACACCACGTGGAACGCGTCTTCATGGCGGTCGTGGCGTCGAGTCCACTGTTGTCGAAGGGTTCTTCTGTCTTCTGCGTTGCCCCAGTACGGCAGGACTCGCAGGGACGGACACAACGACGAAATCGCACCTTCCCAATCGTGGAAATGGGGCGTCACAATCAAATGCGGACCCCACTTGCCTTCCACAAATGCCACGTCCGCCAGTAGTGCCGTTACTTGATGATAGGCTGAGATGGCGTTCGACACTGTCGGGATCAGGACACCATTCACGCCTTGCTTATACAGTCCCTTCATCCTTCGGTGGGTATCTGGGGTCACTGCCGGCCCTTGCAGAATTGCTTGCACGATTCCAGACTTGTCTGGATGGTCCTCCATGGATGCTTCGTTTTCCAACCACGTCCACTTGGAACTGCTGCTCTCTTGAAAAGGATTCGATATCTCGACGGCAATGGGAGAGCTCAACGTGGAGCCATGTGAAAAATACGGCGACTTGCGGCGCGGTTTGCGTCTACAGGACATAGAGGATTCTGAGCGAACGAGCCCTGGATGCCTTGGTCTACCGGTGGCGAAGGTTCCAATCGGCGTCGAATTCCGCCAGCGCATCGATGTGGTCTTGATACAACTTGCTCGAGCTCGTCTCGGCGAGCCCGACAATCTGCGAGAGATTCGCCACGGCCCCAGTTCGGCCATGCGACTAGACTCAACCATGACCAAACAAGCGTTGCCGAGCATGTTGCACGTACTGCAACGGGAAGGCGGTTCCCCAGCAACAGATCGACGAACGTGTCTCCTTCTTCCATCAGGTACTGGATGAGTTTTGCGTTATCGGACAGGACGTCCCTCGGCCGAGCAATCTACCACAAAACAAGTTGAAACATTCCAAATACGTCCAAGGGATTACCATGATGGGGTTGCCAGCCGCGCCATTCTTCTTGGTCTGACGGGATAACGCGGCGGTCTCGTCAGCATCTTTGACGTGGTGTGCGTCGGTGGCAGATACGTGTGTCGCCGAGGAAGATGACAATTTTTTGTCTCCAAATGCGTCCTTGGATTTGAGCCTTGTTTGTCGCTTGAGTTGCAAATCTCGACACCGCGTCACCAGTTCACGAAGCTGCGCCTTGCGACGGCTGCAATGCTCGTCCATGTTGGTGGCCGCCACGTGGACTGCGCACGTCCCTCTGACGATGTCGTCCCGCCAAATAGCAGCGGCATTCACGCCTTGCTCGAGCTTGCGGTTTCGTAGCGCGTTCAGCTTCCTACAACCATACCATGATGAGCACGAGGATGGGACTAGGTGAAGTTTGCAAATACCGTTGGTGCTGCTGAATAAAATACTCCTACGGCAAACCAAGTTAGGATCGCACGATGACGTGGACGAAGGGCGTACGCGGTAGTCGTTGAGGTCGTCCCATGCTTTGGTCTTGAGCACGGCAAAAAACGCTTCCTTCCGTCCTTCGAGAAGGCGTTCCTTCCACGCATTAAAGCTCTCTGCTGAGCACTGTCGTTTCTGAAAGGGCCGCGAACGATGGTGGACATGGACCTTCGTGACTTGCTCGTGGAATTTCCGGTCGCGCTCGACTCTGTCCATTGTGCTGTTCGAGAACGCAGCGTTGTACGCTTTTTCCAGCGCGTCGTAGACGACTTCGTCCGATTCGTCGGGGATTTCGTCGTACACATCCCCAAGCAGTGCGCCTTGGTCGGGTAACCGGCCATGCAATTCTGTGCCGACCAAGCATGCCTCGAGTTCGATTTTGCCGCATTGCTTTTTCCGGGCAACCTCGTCCATTCCAGGTTCCGTTTGAGATGGTCCTACCGGCAACACTGCTTCCGCATCGACGTCGTCGACTGCATGGGGGTCGAACTCGACACGTGGGGTCCGAATTTCGAGTGACTCGATTTCCGTCAATTGCAACGCCATCATCGGGAGATGGTCCACCCGCAACAGTCGCCGTTTTAGATCCATCTTCGCTCGCGGGTCCAAGGTCGCTGGATGTGTGCACACGTGGCGGCCGTCGCTACCTTCGCACGGACCTCCGAGGGCCGAGAAAGGCACAAATTAAATTCCCGTGCAATTTAATTGCGGAAACGGCGCAACGTCGAGCGCCCGCCACACAAAACGGAAAAAAACTCTGGAAATGGATTGGATTCGCCAGTTTGAATGCGATGATAGAGGGATTTTGATTCCAAAGGACATAAAGCCACAGAGGTTTCCGAGATCTTGGGCGGGCATGGAAGTGGCCGTCGCGGCGTACGTTGCGCAGTTTGGAACTATCGAGGGTATCATGGTCCTGGAGAAAGGTACGAGGAACCCATTCGAATGGACGACAACTGGTTTCGATAGTCAGTCAGCAATGGAGACGGTGGGCGAGACACCATCGCTTATGGCGCGACCGATTCCGTCGCATGTATTACGATGAGTTTGCATTCCTTGTGGGCGACCAAGGCGAGCATGCTGACTCGCAAGGTTCGATACTCGTCGCAAGCATGCAGGGATTCAGTGTTTGCATAGAGTGGAGGTTGTTGTGCGTCCAACACAACATGGACTACTCATGCGGATACCACTTGGGTGCACCACAACAGGTACGGCATGTGCCTTCAGGTTACCTTGACGACGAAACTTGGAATCAGGACGAGGCATCCATGCTGCGATGGATCTTTGTCACACGACAGGCAATCAACCGAATGTCGAGAAATGTGGCGGATGTATTAGAGTCGTCGCCACCAGAGTGCAAACCGCTGGATGAAGCCACGTATTGGCAGCGTTCCATGGAGCACCTGAAGCGTCTACAAGACAACGTACTCGTCGCTGCATTGTACGAGTGGGTTTCATGTCGCTCGGGGTAGGTGGGCGAGTGGACGGCTGGGGAGGGAGGCCGCCACGAGCTCCATGCCAAGCTCGCGGACCACGTGCAGACCATCAAGAAGCTGCACCACCAAGCGCAGTGGAATGCCAAATACTTCAAAGTACGCAAAGCCCTTCTGTGAGCTTTGCGCCAAGTGGATGTAGGTCCTAGAGAGCCCGTTTCGAGCGATTCTGTTCACCGACATGAAGCACGTCCCGTTTGTCGTGACGCCGATGATCAAGACGCTGAAAATGATGTGGTTGTCGAGCAAGTACTACAACGATTGCTTCAAGATGGTATGTGTTTTTGTGTCTGGTGGTGGTCCTGACCAGCGCAGGGAGGGTTGCTCGGTCGTATTGCACACGCACTGAGTGTTCGTGTGAGCCGCGCCATCTCGATCACGGCGCTTCTCCACGTAAGCCCCAGGCACCTCAGTTGGTCGACCCACCTCTCTCATGCATGGATATAGGGCGACGGCGACTTCCAAGACACGATCGACATGGTGGAATGCGCCGGCGTGATGCTGGAACGGTACTGACGTCTGCCTCGATCTGAGAAGTGTACGCATCACGTTTTGCGAATGCAGATGGCACCAAGTTTACGATCCGTCGTCGACTGTGTGGGGCCCGTTCGACATGTACATGCTCTTCCATCGGGTCGACTTCGTGGCTCAGCGGTGCTCCGAAGTGCGCAGCGCGCTCGTCCTCCTTCGACAAATTCGGACGGTCCTGGTAATGAACGACCGGTCGTTGCTGTGATGTGCCGTCCCCCCTCACATGAGATGCCATCGTGACCAGATCGAGAAAGTCCAGAATTCCGACGACGCGAGCCAGATAGATGAGTTCGAGGAGATGCTGCGGTCGATGGACACTGACTTGCGTCGCCACTGGGAAGGCATCGACGACTTGTTTGCCGACGAGCACTCGGCAGCGTGGGCGCACGGCATACAGAGTTTGAGAAGCCACTCGGACGCCCTGCTCCAATTTGTCCATCGGCTCCAAGACAAAATACCTATTTATTGAAATCCAACAACCCAACTTTGCAGACGTACGTTGAGCCATGGGGTGCCTCCTTTTCTGTTTCCTTCTGTCTACTAGCACGCAAACATGGCGGTGTCCTTGCGCGTTTCGTTTATAAGAAATAGTCTGGCGCAGGCTTCTTGGAAGGCACCCCGCGCGCGTCTTGCGGTGCCGCTTCGAAAATCTAATGGACAGACATCAGGTCGACGGAGTTTTGAACCGTCGTGTCGGATGAACGCACTTTGAACTTCTGCTCGAGGCTTTCGTCCAACTCGAGGATCGCTGCCACGTTGCCGCAGCGATAGCAATAGTTGGGCGCCGACCACACCGTCACCAAAGCGTTGTTAAACATCGACTTGTGCCCTTCCATAACGAGCTGATGTGCACGGCAGATCAGCTGGATGTCGTTCGTCTGGTTGAACTTGTCGACAACGTCGCCGCCGAACAAGTACCCTGCGCCGCGCGGACTCAATCCCCACCCGTCAATATCTACATCAAGTGAGAATCAGTACTCTGAGGGTTTGAATGCAGAACATGTACCTTCTGGGTCGGACCACATGAGGTCGCACATGGCGCCGTCGTGTGGTACTTCCTGTTTTCGGTCGATAATACGAATTTGGTCCAACGTGTTGATGGAGGGAGAAAGACCACCGTGGACACAGAAGATCTTGTCTTCGATGATAGCCGACAAACTCAAATAGTCAAAAATCTCTGTGCAGTAGCGCCACACGTTCACAGACCCATATTTCCGCAGGCATTCGTCGTAGAAACCATACACTTGCGTGATTTGGCGCGATTCGTGGTTGCCTCGGATCAGCGTGATGCGGTCAGGGTATCGCACCTTCGTGAGCATTTCAGATCATGAGCGCAGTTAGAGCAAACATTACCTTCAGCGCCAGCAAGAGGAGGAAAGTTTCCACACTGTAGAAACCACGATCAACGAAATCCCCCATGAAGAGGTAGTTTGTTTCGGGGCACTCTCCGCCGACGTTGAACAGTTCCTTCAAGTCGTAGAATTGCCCATGGATGTCACCGCATATCTACGATCGGTAACGCTATGAGCGCCACGTGCATGACATAGCACGCATCACCATTTCCCAGCACACTCCATTCTCAATTTCATGGTCGGCGAGAATCTCGACGTACGGTGACAGGGGCGTCGATGCGCTGGACGTTACTCTCATCCACGAGAATCTCACGCGCTTTTTGACATAGCGCCTTGACTTCGGACTCCTTGAGGTACTCACATCGCTTGAGCTGTTCGATTTGTCTGTCGAGGTCTCCCATAGGCGTAGCTCCGGACGTGCCGCCAGTACTGCTGGGACTCACAGGCGTGCTCATCGTGGTGATGGGGAACCCAAACTATTCTGAGGTGAACGAAGGGCCGAAAGAAATGCACGTCGGCGTCGATCCTGTCACAATTGATACTTTTTCTCTTTCCATGCACTGGATGTTTTTTCCCACCTCGGAGGCGCCGGATAAACCTTTACAAATATATACAGGTCCACCCGGGATCCTGACCGGGCGCCGCGCACACTATTTGCCCGAGTACTTCTCACACTATTTCACGGAGGACGTGGTTGACGGGGTCACGTTGGAACTTTCCCATCGCCGACAATGCCAGAGGTGTTGAGGTCGGCGGCGAGTCCACACGTAAGACGAAGATGAGGCGAAGCTGTATCCATGGACTTCGTCAAATCGGCGCTGGAGCGAGAGCCAACCTCTCGGAAATACCGCCGGTGATGGCTCCAGTACTCCAACCCCTGGCAACAAGTGTGCGACTCTCGTCTGAAAATGTACGTGACCGTGCCGTGTACGGTCGAGATCGGATGAGATGCGTGCGTCCAGAGAAAAAGCTTCATGGTTCAAAGGCTGCAAAGCTGCAGGAATAAGTCGTGAGCCCGTCTGTCTTCCCATTCGTCCCTGTTTGGGCAGATAAGGTGGCGAGTGTGGGGAATTCATGTACCTGGGTGTGATGGGCTTCAGGCGGACTACTTGTTCGCTGCCAGTGCTCCGCAGTTCCCACGGAGAGGGATTCTCCTGCTGCGCGTCGGACACCTATCGCAGACGCATACGATGGTAGGGAGATCCACGAGGCCACGATGGTCACAAATGCAAGCACAACCTGAAAAGGGCGTTGGTCTATGTTTGGTAAGGGTGCAAGCGCCTGATCGGTGTTTTGGATTGCAGGAAGAAGTGGTGTGGATTTGGGTTTCGTCAGCGATGGCAGGACTTCCAGCTCAACCGACGTCGATGTTGTGACCAGGCTCGGCGTCGACAGCGACCTATATGCCTGCATTAGCCATGAGCAAAGGACTGCGAAACCTACTTGAGTGACGGCAAAAGCTTCCGCTTGTGCCTTTCCCTGAGCCTACGACCTTATGTCATTCGCACGGCCGGGAACATGCAGCTACCGTGTGTGATTAGGAGGCGTCATTGGGTTGTAAGGATTGCCTTGATCAAAGCTGCGTGGCAATGTCTTGGTTTTGTGAGGTTTCCGTCGCCGTCTCGTCCGATCGAATGGACCATCGTCCGTCCATCCACTGCATGTATTCGTTTCGATAGCTCGTGAACAAGTGTCGATCTGCGGTGTTGGGGCGAACCATCCACTTGTGCATGCGTCGCTTGTCGTTTCATCAGTCGCAGAGATCGCCGTGTAAGTTTGGATTGATTTCGGCAAGTTTGGTGCAATCGTCGCTTGACAACGCAAGGCGTGGTTTTCCATCTTGAGTTGCTCGATTTCTACCCTGAGCTGCGCCACCAAGTTGTCCTACTCAACATGGAATGATCCGGTGCACTGGACTTGCTTGACTACAGGCGAGTACGTGTGCATTCAGTATGGCTGTCGGGCGGTTCCGAATGCGCGCGACGCCCATTGCAAACTCGAGCGTGCGGATCGTTTCTTTGGCATATCCGACGTTTGCATTTACACATGCCAGCATCAGCGTCCGGCTGGTGCCGCCGAGGCTGTCGATAAGCAGCTACAAAATGGCCGGTGGCGGCAACAAAGAGTGTGCAACCGGTAGAGTGCAAACACTTACAGTGGTCAGCTTGGAGTCTCGATAGGGAATAAACTTGTCTACTTTGCCTGCGTTGAGCGCAAGAATCACCTGGGCAACTTTCGCTCCAGGACAAGTGAGTTTGTTGGCTGGAGGTGCTACCTGGCTCAAGCAGTACAGGCTCTTGTTGATGTGGCCGGACTCCTTGAGCTGGGTCCCGACCGCCCCAGTTTCCTGCCAAAACCAACGTTAGCCTCAGGTGCTTACACGAGAGATCACATACGTGAGCGCGTTCGCTGCCTGCCAAGTCGACCACGGTGAGCTTTCCACACCGCCGTCCCTTTGTTGCGTCCGTCGAGTCGATGTAGATTGTGACCAGGCAGTGGCTTCGATTTGACCTACGCACAGGTACAGTTTGCACTTGAGGGTAGCATGGTCGTGCGCAAAAACTTCCCACCGCTCGTTCAAATTGTGGCTCGAGTAGATGCGTTTGGATGCAGCTTGCAGGATGACAGCCATCATGTCCTCGTACGAGTTGCACGAGGCAATGGTTGCTTCGTCGAGGTGGAATCCTTGATTTCGGTTCCAACGGATGGACAACGTCGAGTTGGTCGCGTACTGGGCTTTGGCCGCCATCAAATCGTACACTTGATCGTTGTATATCTCGACGCAAGCCACTCGAACCACATACGTTGATGTGGTGTTGTTGGCTGCATGGATCGATGCCATGAGCACAGCGACGGAACGAGGCAGTATTCCCTGCGTCGAGTTGGCCAGATCTGACATCGTGCGCTCAACCTAGTGCGTTGCAAGTGCCATGCACACACCTGAGGGCTGGACAAGTGCTTGGTCTGGTCCAAAGATAGTAAACGACTTTCCAGCGCCAGTCTAGCGGGATAATTCAATCGGCATAACGAGGAAGTCGCAGGTAGTACCTGTCCGTAGGCGAACACTGTGCACGAATACCCATCCAGCGCACTTTGCACCAAGGAAGCCACGCCAGACTTTGCAAAAGCTTCGTCTTGGGTCATCGTCGAGTCGATGAATCGGTCACATCGAAACGATGCGGCCGAGTCGCAACTGTCCGCCTGAATGTACAGCGTGTTGCTGCGCCATGTCAAGGACGACGCATCTCCATGCTTGGTCGGTCTGGCCCGGATGGCCACTTGGATTCGCTCGCCGCCTGACGTCCCCGCCATCGCACGCTCAAGCCGTTTCACAATCGGTTACACCTGACTTGAAAGTGTCTGCAACATCACGCAACCATGGAGTGCAACATCTCGTCTCAACTCAGGGCAGTGCAGTGGCATTTCTCGACCCCCGCCGTGCGCCTTTGGTGGCATCGAGCGGCGAGCTGATGTGCGGAATGTCTTCGCGGACTGCACGTGCACCAACCTCAACTGTAACGAACGGTTGTTGCCCAATTAAAAACCGTGTTGTTGAAACTCCTTTAACGCGTTATTTCCTCGACGTAAATTTCGATTCCGAGGAGGTCGAACGAATGAACGCGCGGGTGTTTTCGTTACATCTAGTTTAACGATTCGCGCTTTAATCTGCCCCAAGATCTCTAGGTCATATCCACATGTCGGCAAAAAAGAACAGTGTGCATGCTGCTCAAGGGCGAGCCGCCGCCGGCACAGATGGAGCCCACAACCTCCATGGACCACATTATACTCGTGCTTGCGCTGGCCATGCTCGTGGCAATGCTGCAGTCCATGTCCACCTACTTCAGTCTCGTTGTGATGACAGTTCTGGCAGTTGGGTGGCGATTGGCCGCTCAGTCGCACTCTCGGAGTTCTAGCGCTTCCAGACCTTGTACACCACATCCTGATATGTCGTCAAATCTCCCACCTGATCAAGAGTCTGCGTCTCGTATGACAGGGATTCCTGTGAACGACGACGTCTGTCGTGGCCTGGATACACTGATGGTCCTCGACGAATGCAGCAGTACGAACCGCAGCATCGCCATCAACTCGACGATCCCGGTTCCGATTGAAAACAAATTTTTCCAAGGCCACGTGTTGTTTCTCGTCAGGACGGCCCGTCCCAACTCGACATGGGAGCACTTGTTTGCCGGGCGAAGGCGAAACTTTTGGATCCAGGTGCAAGGCAAGTTCAAATGCCCCCCACGTGGGTCGATTTTCATGGGCGGTGAATTGCCGCATCCCGTGTCGGTGGGGTTTCTCGCGCGGAGTTTGGCACGTGTCGTAGCTGGCATCATGCGCCGATTCCTCGGTACGACGCACGTTGGGTTCGGCGACCACATCGAGCGGCCGCATTGCGTCTTTCCGCTCTACCAGACTGTGGATGAGATGGTAGTGACGTCTCACGGCGCAGCGCCTCCAACGCTCGGTCAAGTTCATTTCGGCGAATCTCCCGTCGCCCGGCAACGGCGCCGGCTGACGCCGCTCGGGACGGAATCGTTCCACGTGAACTCTACGTACACGTTCCAGTTTCACACCATGTACGTCGACTTGGCCAAGTGGACCATCGTGAACGTTCCAGGCATGCAAGACGTGCATTTAACAACGTTTTTCAAGCAAGTGCCGCTGCACCTGACGTGCTACGACGTTGAGCCGACGCCAAAACACGACCACGCATCCAAGCAATACCTGTTTTGTTTTTCCGTGCACTGGACGCCTCCATCTACAACGACCGGTCTGCCCATACCATCCTCTGCAGCCAGACCGCAATCACCCACAACACTAGTGCCACAGCCTACCTCCATGAGATCACCCTCCAACACACGAAGCCGTCCGCCCGCCGCCACCACCACTCGATCCACCCCTGCCGCACTCTGTATCCCGTATTGGCTCGAACGTCTCGACCACACCAAGACGCGTATCGTTGTCTATCTGGCTCGTGATTTGCCTTCAGACACCCTCGCGTCCATGGCACGGCAGCTGCATGAACTGCCGGCCAAGATGCTTCGATCACATTTCTCGCAACTCTCCAACCTGAACGCAAAGTCCAAACTCGCGCGGTACAACGTCATCGACGCCAACCGCTTGCTCGTCCAAGCCAGCGACGTCGACGCGAACGTCGTGGCTCGTTTGGCCGAGCCGTTCGCGTGGGTGCCTGCGTCTGCGTCGTCGCTCGGAGTAAAACTCCACCAATTGGACGGACAACCCACTGGCGGCGTCGTCTTGCAGCAGCAAGTGGTGCGTGCGATCTCGGACTCGCACCTTCGACAAGAGTACATGGTCCTCACCCACACGGCGCTGCACTTCTTTCGAACGTATTCGTCCGCTCCGTGCGCGAGCATTCCGCTGGAGCATATAGTCGCCGTGTCGCAGTGGACACTACCCCATGGAGAAGGACCCGCTTTCAACCATGGTATCCACGTCCATACGACACGAGGGCACGCATATCTGTGCCTTCCCACCGCTTCTGCTCAAACCGAATGGCTGCGAGGCATTGCAACCTACCACGAGCGGCGCCAGGTCGATAGCTACGTACCAATGCGAAGCCCATGGAACGACCTTGTGCCGGCAAGTCGCCCTGGTATCCTCAACACGTTTCGTTTGTTCCGCCCATTCACTCCAGAGCCAGCGCTGCCCCAAGCATCACCAGCGCATGCAACGCTCCCCATGGCTTTGATGGATTGCATCGAGACGTCCTTTGCCGCCATCGAGGCGGCCAACGTGGTGGAAGCTACAACGACCGGCGGTCGCGACTACGAGGCACAACTTCAAAGCGTTGTTGCGTTCCTGGAGACCGTCGCGTCCCTCCAGTGGGTCGACCCGTCGACTTTGACATCGCCGGACGACCGAGTCGCGTTTTACTTGAATGTGCATAGCGTCCTGGCATGGCATATGCGACAAATCGACACGATGGGCCACTCCACCAAGCTACCCCATGGGTGCACAGCTTGCTACCGCATCGGGTCCGACCAGGTCATGACGTTGCCAGCGATGCAAGCTGCCGCGCTGCGCTTTCGCCACGCAAACGCCACCGACACGACGTTGCAGGTGCCGGCAGACTTTCGCGTTCGACTCGCGCTCCACATGACGACGTCGACGCTGCCACGATTCGACCCGCGCCGCGTCCAGTACCAACTGAATGCGCTTTGCACGCGATTCCTCCGCGAAACCGTGTCGACCGACGTCCCACGGCACAGCATTCAACTGCCAAGGCGATGTCGCGAATTCCGCTTTGATTTTGGACCAAACGGCACCGGCATTGAGTGTGCGAGGAAGGTGTTGGGGTTTTTGCACGACTCGTGTGCAGCAGACATGCAAACGATCCTCCTCGCCCACGACGAAGCGCCCGTGGACGTGCAGTACGTCGACGATGGCCACGTTGTCGTCGAGGGCGCCTTGCCCATCGAGTCGTAAGCACCAAAATAGTTAGCAACACAGGTTTTCGATGGGACAGCGGAAGAGGGCGTGGATACATCAAGCTGCGGCCGCAAAGACATGCACCCAGACCACGCGAAATGTTTGAGGCTCCACGGAGGATGCCGCAGCAATCTGATGAAGTGGATGGTCTTTGGGAGCGACGCCACCGTCCGTGCCCCATCCTGCGGTTCTGCCGCGCCACCTCCGACCATGTCGCTCGTTGCACGGTACAACACCACTGCCACGTCGCCATCTTTCGGCGGCTCGTCCTCCATCTCCAAGGGTGGTTGTTTCGTCGATGGAACCACCGCCGCCATCACGTCAAACAACCGTCCCATGCAGGATCGCGCTATCCGGATGGATCTTGATGACGGCGGCAAGTGGCCGCGATTTGATTGGGCAAAATCGACGTTATCCTGATTCATCGGGGATTAAAAACTTGTCGCAGCACTTGAACGCTGTATGGAAGCACAAGCATTTTATTCCGTGGTTTGCTTCAATGACGGGAATTAAACATCGCGTTGGCATGACAGCAGACATGTCTGGATGCCATGTCGAGGTAGAAGAGGTGCCGACGACAGCGCGCCGGATGAGCGTCCATTCCATCAAGAGCGACTCATATTTCATGGGGGAGAACATTGTACGGAGCATCGCCCCCCAACGACTCGTGCTTATCATGGTCGGCTTGCCTGCGCGGGGAAAGAGCTTTGTCGTGCGAAAACTGACCAAGTACTGCCAGTGGCTCAATTTACCCACGCGGATCTTCAACGCAGGGGATTACCGTCGGCAAGCAAGCTTGAAGGGAGCTAGCGCTGCCTTTTTCGATTCGAACAACGCGGAAGCTAAACAAATTCGCGATGACCTCGCCATGACCGCCGTGGAGAATCTCATCCAATGGCTTGAAGAAGGCGGCCAAGTCGCAGTTCTTGACGCGACGAATACGACCAAGGAGCGCCGCGCGCTTGTTTGGGACAAATTTAAGAACATGGAGAACACGCAGGTGATGCACATTGAGCTCGTGTGCGACAACCCGGCGCTATTGGAAGCCAACTACCTCAGGTACATCTCTCCACCGATTCACGTGTCCAGTGGCATGATTGCCGCATTAGAAAGCTAAAAAACGAAGACTACGCCGGCATGGACCCGCAAGTTGCACTCGACGACTTCAAAATGCGCGTCGAGCAGTACGAAAAGGTGTACGAAACCCTGCACGACTCGGAAAACGATGGGAAGGTTTGCTACTGCAAAGTATATAACGTACGACCTCGACTTCCACCACTCGATGTCGTGAAAGGTTGTGTATCTAGGCTGGGGAAAAGGTGCTTGCTCGGCTTTGCCAGAGCTTCCTACCGTCGCAAATTGTGTCGTTCCTTCAGGTGCCTCGTCATCGACGTCGCGCCTCATGCTTGACAACGCTCTCTTCCGTCATAGAACATCCACGTCCACCCGCGAAAGATTTGGCTTGTTCGTCCAGGCCCCAACGAAAACGGCAAGTTGGGCATCCTTGGCGGCGACGAGGAGTTGACGGAGGAAGGCCACGTGATCGGAGCGGCCCTCGGCAAGTTCATGGCGAATGCCGTGCAACAAAACAAGGGTTTTGTCGACGTGTGGTCGAGTCCGATGAAGCGGGCGACGCAAACAGCTGCGTACATTCACCACGACCACGTTACTCGCACAGTCACGACGACGCTGCTCAACGAAGTTGGCGGCGGTGACTTTGCCGGGTACACGTGCGAAGAGCTCCAGAAGGAATTCCCACAGCACGTGAAGGCTCGACACAACGACAAGCTGTACTACCGGTACAGCGCTGCTTCTCGACTCGACCCATGGGACTTGAGACTTTGTGTAGATACCCCGGAGCGGGCGGCGAAAGCTACATGGACCTCATCTACCGGCTCCGCCCGGTCGTGATCGAGTTCGAGCGCAAGAAGCGCGACTGCCTCGTCATTTGCAGCGAGTCCGTGCTGCGCTGCCTCATGGGGTACTTTATGGGGGTTGATGCCCAACAAGTGCCGTACTTGCCAACGAAGAAAGGGGTCGTATTTGAGCTGTCCCCGCACCGCGATGGGTGCGATATCAAGGAGTTTGAGCTCGAGTACTAATTGTTAAAATGTTCCCACACGTTCACCTCGACGCGCTCCCTCGACTGGATTCGTCAGACCAAGGCGAGCTCTTCACAGACGTCTCACACCGAAAGGATCGGGGTAGCAGGTAGGGCTGTTTCATGTGGCTGGACGATGCCTACCTGGCTCATGGGGAGAGGCAAACCAAGGCGAAGCAGTGAAGTAAAGATGGCTGTCCTTAGTTCTGTCAAATTCTGCTAACGCTAAAGGTCTAGACGAGGCATTTAGAACTTCATTTCGTGGACGCGGTCGTTCTTGGTCAAGCTGAACTTGGCGTTCAAGTAGTGCTTCAAGTGCGCCGTGGCGTTGATCTTCTTGAGAAGCGCGGCGTCGACGGCCTTTTGGTCCTTCTTGCGCTGTTCCGACACGATGGCAGTCTATGCAGACACAACGTTAGATCGTGTTAGGTGGGATCTTTGGACAAGGCGATTCCAAGCGCCGTTGGGAACTTGGTCGTCACCCCGTCCGGACGATCATGCCGGCATCGTTCACATCAACTAGATGGGACCGACGGCGGCAAGATCGTCCGAGCGATGGGTTGATGACGCTTCCCCGTGCCAACCAGAGTTTGATCAACACATTGTCACGTGTACATACCGTGCTGGATTGGGCAAAGAATTCGTCTTCGCTCTTCTTGGCGTGGGTCTTCTTCTCCTTGGCGAACGACGCGTCCGTCAATTCGGGGAGCTTCACGTCAGAGATGTCGATCTTGGTCGACGTCGCAATGACAAACGCTTGGTTCACGCGACGAAGCGGCACACCGTTGATCTTGTAAGGACCTAGAAATCGACAACGTCAGCATCGCTGCTGCACGACGAGGGCTCGACTATGTTGTAGGCGACAGCGATTCCTCTGGTCTCATAATCTGAATATCCTCGGCATAATACGGCGACCCCAACCTGGACCACGGATGGCACGACGTCAACCAAGCAGCTGTGAAACGCACACGCTACCACGTTCCCACAGCCGCACGGCCTCATTCGTCGTGGGGCATCCATGGCACAAGTCGAGGCATCCATGGCACGCCTCTCAGGTGTCGTTTTTCATCCTCGGAATCAATGTCGCGTCGCTGATGACATGCACACGTACCAGTGACGAGCAACGTGCCCGAAGCCAATTGCTTCAAGAACACCACACGCTTGCCGCGGAAGCGACCAGACAACAAGATGAGGACGGTGCCGGGGGTAATCGACGAACGAAGCTTGGCAGTCTTGACCGAGTTACGGGCAGTCTTGGCCGAGGGCAAAGGCTTCGGGATGTAGTCGGTGGGGTACCACTTCTTGTTTTGGAGGGTCTTGGCAGCGACCTTCTTGACGCCACCCTTGGCCTTGGCGGCGGCGTTGAAGCGGCCGTTCGACTTTGCCAACGAGTTGGCCGAGATGGCATTGATGCCACGCGCCAACACAACGTTTTGGCGACGAGCGATCTTCTTGGCGGCAGGCTTCGCGGCCTTGGCGGCGGGCTTGGCAGCAGGTTTAGCAGGGGCCATCTTTATTTACTTCAGAAATGACAGTGCCCATGCCGAGCCACCAAATGCCACTCGATGTGCGCACCAGTCATTTTCAAGATGGACCAACCGGATAATTTCCCCATATCCGGATAAACTCCGCACAATGCGTATGCTGTTTGACAGGTTCTAGTGTGCATGTCGATCGGACGCTCAGTTACCACGTCTGGCCGTTCCCGATGGATCTTGCGACACAGCGCTTGCGCAAAGAGTATGTGGCGCTGAAGAAGACGCCCGTGGACAACATCGAAGCGGTTCCGTTGGAAAACAACATCCTTGAATGGCACTATGTGATTCGAGGTGTGGGTCTGTATGAGGGTGGGTTCTACCACGGCAAGCTCAAGTTCCCTCGCGAGTACCCGATGAAGCCTCCATCTGTGTACATGATCACACCCAGTGGGCGCTTTGAAATGAACACGCGACTTTGCCTGAGCATATCGGACTTTCACCCTGAAACGTGGAATCCGTTGTGGTCTGTGGGAAGCATTCTCATCGGCTTGTTTTCGTTCATGAACGAGGACACCGCCACGACGGGGAGCATCGAGTCGAGCGATGAGGAAAAGCAGACCCTTGCCGCCTCAAGTCTCGCAACGAACTGCACGAACTCAGTCTTTCGAAAGTGCTTTCCTCATCTTGTCGAGATGCATCAAGATCTCGAAAGTCGCGCGTCGTCTGTAGCACCTGCTCCCAGCAATACATGACCAGCCCATCGACTAGCCGATATATAATACGATGTGTCTCTTTCCACTCCCACATGGGGTCGCTCCATTTGTTTCGATAGACAATTCTACGCAGGCTTGTCATGATGCCCCCGTGGCCGTCTCGCCCAGCTTCACAGCACGCGACTCTCTACCCTACAATAGTGCTGGTGCCTCAACACGAAGTTGGAACCGACATGAAGTATGCTGGACTGTTTGGTCTGCTTACTACCTGATACGTATGATACCTGAAGAGCAGATCCCTTCAGCACCCGTTGGCCATGCCGTGGAATGCGATCAACTAGTCCCTCCCGTGAACGAAAGTGCGGCGTTCCATGGCCGCCAGGCCATGGACTTCCGCCATCGCGTGCGTCCAGGCGCACTTTGCTATGGTCCCCACGACCAAATGCGCCATTGAAACTTGACGAAGAGTCCGATCGATCCAAACACCAACCCATGAACCCGAATCCCCGCTTGGCGATCATTTCGCTACCTGACGCAATTGTCAACTCAGCACCGGGCAGTATGAAATACATGGCGACGCCTAGTGCTTTCTTGTCGCGGGCTGCCCGATTCCGTGTCGAGAGGTCGACGTCACAGCGCCGTGCTACCGCACTCGAAACAATCTGCACACCGTCGAATGAATGCGTCGTCACCAAACGGCGTGCAGAAAGCACGGTGCACTTGTCACATCCTCGTGGCGGTGCTAACAGTCAACCCTTGAGTGCGTTCGACCCAGCTCAACCACTTTCCGACTCGGATATCACATTCCGGATTTGCCAGTCGTGAACTTGGAACAGAGACTCGCGCATGAGCTCGGGGAGGCCCCGAGTACTGCCGTTTACGTCTGCACGGGCTTCGAGCCATGTGAGGGAAGCTTGTATCCACTGACTAGGTCTGTGTTTGTGGGTTCATCGCGGCGGTGTGCCTTACGGACATGGGCCGATCATGGTTGCGTCACAACTGCAGGAATGACGACGTCGTTCGATCGGTACGCCGAGAAGACGACGTCGCCTCCAACACAAAAATGGACAATCGTTGTTCAGCAAATTTCATTTAAATTCCATTTGTATAATGAAATAAAGAATCCCTCTTTTTGAATTTTGTAGCGGGAGAGCAACATGAGTAAAGAAATTGAACCGTCTTCATCATGGACATCAGCACGTTCGACATTGACTGGACTCAGGATGCTTGTGACTTTGACTTCCTCCTGCCTGAGGACGAAAGGACTGCGACAGTCGTCGAGGCTTCTTGCAACAGCGCTGACGACAGCGTGACCGCGACTTCACAGCCTCAACGACGCCGCCGAAAGCGAACCAACTTGCTTCAGATCGAACTGCTGTCGTTGCACCAAGAAGCCGCCAACTTGGCTCGCCAATTGGAAAACCTACAAGCTCACCGCGCCGCTTGTCTCGATGGGTTAACGGACACTGAGATGAAATGGGAAAAGATTGCGCGCAATCAATTGCAGCTAAAGCTCAAGGCGATCCGCGAGAACCACGACCTCCGTACTGCGTTGGCCGATCAGTCCAAGTTGCAACAAGCGCTGGAGGATGTACTGCTCAAGAAGCCTCGGGTCATGGTACGTTCAACACAGTTCCTGGCGCCATTCCATCAAGTTGTGTCCGTAGCTGATGAAAGTCGAGGACGATCAGTGGCGTTTGCTAAAGTTGGGCGCGAACGGCGAGAAGCGACTTGCAGCCATTCATGCCATTGCCGAGCGTCAGATGGAGCTTATGGAAAGCGACATGTTGTCGCTCGGCCTCGTAGACACCAACGATGACTTGCTTATCGTCCGCCACAACGACGTGGCAATGTTCTCGGAAGGGATACGAGCGACTGCCGTCGCTGGGTCGTTGGCGGCTGTGGGTGTGGCAGCATGGAGAACGTTAGCAATCGTCCTGGGCAAGTCGTGTGCGGTTGGGCATTCTTGTGTACGAATATTCCAAAAAGAATTCGGACCGATGGTGGACATGCTCATCGCCGTGGGTGCGTAGTCTTATGCCATCGACAGCAACACGCTGTACACGCGAACAATATTTCGCCGCCCTGAAGGACGGGCGACTGTGTCGACAAGCGTGATCATGAAGAGGTTTGTACTCAACGACGGGACCACTGTTCGCGTCGTATTTCGCACGATATTCGACGACGAAGCGATGCCAATATTGGGCAAGACGTACGCAGTGGACCAGTATGGATGGTGCGACAGAATAGCTCGTCGATGTAACATGACAGGGGTGCGTCGATGCGGCTGTAGGATCCACATGGAAGAGCACGCGGATGGCAGCGTGTTGTACAAGAGCTTCGTCAAAAGCCACTTCGTCCTCCCCAACCCCGAGGACGTGAACGACCTGACTGCGTTGCTGGGAGAGCTCTATTTGGAGCAGGTTGCGTTGACACCGCCCCAACCGCCGCCCGTCGACAGCATCGCGATGGCCAAAGCAGTGTTCGACATCACGTTCCGGCATTTTGAAGTCGTGCTGCACGACGAACTTGCCAAGGAAAGGACGAAGGGGCATGTGCCAGCATCATCGACAGAGACTGCGTCATCGACCGATGCGGTCATCAGCATTGGCTCCGCCATGCCCACATAATGCCATACCGACTTCACCACGTTCCCTCGATAGATCGAAACTTGTCCAATTCTGCACGGAGCGATGGCTTTGTCATTGCGTTGGAGGGCTATCATACTCACAGGAAAAGCATCCGGGAAGGCCATGCCGTTCGGTTCCATGCTCCGACACAACGCCTTTCCTGCCTTGGCTCGCGTTGCGAACCGTGTGGGTGGTAGCGAATGCGCTGCCCTCTGAAATCGTCGGCATGTCTGGAGTAGCGGCGGACACAAGTAGCAGAGGCGTCATGCAGTTCATGCGTCCCGTACTTGGCTCCTGCAAGCAGCCAAAGCAACGTTTATCATCCTGATAGCATTACAATCCCGCGTTCCGTAGTGACGTTTCGCCCCATTCCACACGCCGCACAACCTCCTCGGCCACCATGCAACTCCGCGCGTCAGTGGCGGAGAACAACCACGTTTCACGAGAACTCGAAGCAATCGTGCTGAAAAACGCGGACGGATGGTCTTGCGCAGCCACCGCCATCGGATGCCTCTTGTAGATGGTGCGAATCGACGAGGACCTGTTCTCACGCGTCGGGAGAAAAGCGACGCGCGGCGATCGCCGATTGCCCGTTGGAGAACATGGAGTGCGAGTGCATTCCAACGGGGGTGCAGGACCCCACCGACGAATCGTTTACGGTCCGCCACGTGATCACCAATCCGTTCGACGCCGAGGCGCTGCGGTGTGTGTGTGGCTCCAGTGTCGCCGCCGTGACAATTGCAGTGTGAAACGTACGTCCCCAAGCCGCCCCGATGGAGGCGGCGGCGTCGTCGCAAGGAGTGGAGGCGCCACAAGGTAGACAACATGGACGACTCGCTGGGGCGGCCATTTCGAGACACGCTGTCCGTCCGAATGACATGCCGCGCCTCGGACATTGTCGCCGAGCGAGATTTTCCCACGGCCATGTCCGTCTGGTCTTTCGCACAGTCCTGAAAAATGCCGCGTTCGAAGCAAGTTGGCTGACAGCATGCTCCACAATTCACTTCGATAGGATGCCGACCTCGTCGACGACGGGATGCAACCTCTCGACAGCTCCATTGAAAGCGCTCAAGCCGTACGAATTCAACTCGCGGATTCATACGACCGCGCTGTCGAAAGCAACCAAACATCGCGCTCACTCGTTCGTCGGCTGTCGTGGTGTGCCCCACCCAGTGCTTCTCCCACGTGCGTGACGAAGGTCGTGACGCTGTTGTGAAGGACAGATGCGATGGCACTGAATTGTACAAGGACGATCCATGTGCGTGGCCCATTCGCCAGGCGTAACCTGTGTGTGCATGCAGCCCGACGTGGTCTCGGCAGATGTGGACACGATGTCCAACCCCTGTCTGACAACACGACCGGCGCTGAATGCAATTGTGCTCCTTGCCGCAGGTAGCCTTCGACCGCCCAGTTCGTGCATGGAGCGAAGCGCGGTCATGGTGTGCCCAGTAGATGAGGCAATGACGTCGCGCAGCGCAGCGGCAGCTCCTGGCACGGCTGCTGCGAGGACAACTGCACCTTCGTCCATGGGTTGTAATCTTTCGACCAATGAAAAATGGGCATGCGGGGGACACTTGTCGAACAACACCGCGGCGGAGCATCCGTCGATCCAGTTCGCCCACATGTCCGCTGCGACTGCTGCTGATGGCGGGTTCGACTTCCTTCCAGACGTCGATGAGTCCATCTTCCATGACCTGGACATGTCGTCTACGGCTAGCAGCGGGTACACGTCGCAAGATGACGCGACGGCGCCGACGCTTCACCTGGTCAAACACAACAAGAAAAAACGACCGAACAAAGTTTTGATCGAATTGATGTCGCTGCAACACGATCAAGTCGAGTTGGAGCGGCAACTGTTCGAGCTCGAGCGTCAGCGGGCGCTGCGCATGGAGCACTCGACGTCGGACGTGGCCAAGTGGGAGCAAATGGCACGGCACCAACTCGCCCTGAAAATCAAAGCAGTGCGCGAGAACGAAGAGCTCCGGTCGATGCTAGTCGAGCAAACAGCGTACCAGCACCAGCTCGAGTCGATGGTGCTCAAGAAGCCACGATTCATGGTCGATCATCTCGTTGGAAGATGTGCCCATGGACATATTCGTCGTAGATGATGAAGCTCCAAGACGACCAGTGGCGCGTCCTCCAGCTCAGTGCGGACGGCGACAAGCGGCTCACAGCCATCCACGCAATCGCCGACCGCCAGCTGGAATCCATCGAGGGCGACATGATCACAAGCGGGCTAGCCGACGCCCCCGACGAGTTTGAATCGTTCCGGTACGCGACAGAGGGACTGCAGCGGACGGCCGAAGCTATGGCGAGCTCCATCATGCATGGAACCCTCTTTGACGCGTCGAATGCCGCGTGGCATACGCTTCAGTTCATGCAGACGCGCGGCCGGTCGACCCACGTGCCCAGTGACACCTGCGTACGGCTGCTGTCGTCGTCGATATCCCCGTGCTTGACCATGACGTAGACGTACACGATTGACGATGACACGCTGTACATTCGGTCGCGATACACCCTCCCGTCGTCCAAGCTCGAGACAAATGTGATTCTGAAACGAACGGTGGCCGCCGGCCGCGTCGTCCACGTGGTGTGGAGAACTGTTCTTGGGGACGACGCCATGCCGTTCAGCGCCGACAGTTTTGTCAGCGACCAGTGCGGATGGTACGTGCGGAGCGTCTGTGCGAGATCGATCGTTGTATGGCTAGGATGACGATTGTGCGAGGCCATGCGCCCCACACGGTCGTGTGCAAGGCGTACTACAAGGCGGTCCTGGCCAACTCGACCGACGACTCGATCCACACACTTAGCCAAATGATGCGCGAGATCCATCTGCGAGATGCTCCGGTCGACATGACGTCGGTGGACGTGATGCACGCCGCGTTTGAGAACGGTTTCCGCGCATTCGCAGCCACCATGCGGCGGTACATGGCGACCTAACGGATCAAGCCGTGCTAAATTCCATCGTGATATCGACCGCCACGGCTCCGCGGGTGCCGGAACAGGATCTGCCCTTCCGACAACGCCACTACGACTAAACACGTCGTAATGTACAATGTCTAGTATGCGAGCAGCAACTTGTCCGCGTCCTGGTCCGCCTTTCTACTGGATCGAGTGTCCATGGCGCTCCACATGTCCTCACACGTTCGACTCGATGCGCCGACACGCAAGCCAAGAGCCCGGCACGTGCGGATTCGAACGAGGCCGCCACGAGCACGAGCTCTCTCGTCCACCATCACCTACAGGCAAAATGCACCACAACAGGAATCGTTTCACGGCAAACGATCTCGTCTCGGCGTCCGATGGAGTTTGTAGCGCGAAGCGGGGGGCGAGGGACGCGATGGACCTCCGGGCATACCCGATCGACAACATCGAAGCTGTGCCATTGGAATCGACTATCCTCGTGTGGCACATATTCGAGGCGTTGGCGAGTACGACGGTGGCAGCCCCACAGACAACGGTCCCACCCAACGACCCGTGGAAACCACCGCGAATCCCCAACGGGCGACTCAAGACGACCATGAGGCTGTGCCTAGGCATGTTTGGATCATCATCGCGACTCGTGGAATGGCAGGACGATCTTGATCGGACTCGTTTCCTTCATCAACCATGACACGCACGGTAGCATGGACTCGTCCGAGAAGCGACCACTTGCTCTGCCTTGCATTCAATCGCAACAACAGAGTGTTCCGGGAATTGTTGCCGCACTGCGCAAGACCTCAACGTGGCAGACGTTGTCGATGCTGTCGGAGACGCGGAAACACCCCACGGGTCCGCCTTTCGCCGCCACTTGCCGACGAGGACGATTCACAACGTGCTGGACGGAGTAGACGCAACCACCAACGATGCAGATGCTTCCGCAGCAAGAGTAAGCAGGTCACCTACGATTGCGAGTGTTTTGTGCGTTTGGAGCTCAACCACGTCGCCAAGGCAGCAGTCGGTGTGCTTTTGGCTGGCCCCCTCCCATGTTGATGACTCGAAAACATGTCGCATCACGAACAGGCTCGAAACAGCTTACATGAAAACTAGTTGGCTGCAACGGGACGCCCCGACGTGTTTGGCGGTCCTTCTCCACGTTTCGAGTGGTTTTTTGACGACGACGTGGCCGCTCCTCATGCCGCGGTCCAACGAGTCGGTCGACTCCTCAGAGATACCGAATCGACGCGGGTTTCGACTGGCCCCACGACAAGCATCTGCCTTTGGTGATGCAAAGACCGAGCATCGAAATGTATTCGACTGTTTGCGACGATTGCCCCGCGCCGAGAACGTCGTCGCATCCGAGCGCGACCTCCACACGTCGATCAAGTTACTGTGTGTTCCAACGATCGACGCCACCGATCGATGAAAGCGTGTCACAGCACACGTTGCCATCTAGCGGTGTGCATTTGAGTTTCCATCGTGGCATGGCTTGATCTTGGCACTGGAACTGTGGTAGGCGGTCGTGGAAGCTGCAGCAGCCAGTGTGTGCATGCGACCTCGTCCAACGAGGCAAAAAAGTGAATTGGGTCGAGATCTACTACTACCTGATCAACTCTCTCCTACGAGTTGGTTCATCACGTCCCGTTGGTGACTCGTCGTACGGCTCGCCGTCCGGCCAAAGCGAACGCAGGGGTCGATTCGCCACTGTCACCATTGCGTCCATGTCGACGAAACATCACATTAGCATCGATGCTTCGAGATCGAGGGTTTGACGCGGCGTATGGGGGGGCGCAGACTGTGCTGCCCCGCCATGCTCAACACCACAGCGATCGAGCAAAGCATCGTAAGGGGGGGGGTACGGCCGCTCTTTGCATGTCATTCCGAATCCATTCTTCAGCAAGCTGCCCATGGCCTCGCTTCCGTCACATGGACTGCTTCCGCCGTGGAGCTGTCGAGGAGCCGCGAGCGAACAAGCTGGACGCGTGGAAGGTCCCCGTTGCCGAGTTGACCGGCGCCGTCCCCGTCCTCACCACGAGCTTGGCCGACCTCGATGTGGCCGACCTCAAGCGCTTCTTGGTCACCAAGTTTGAGATCGAAGCTGCTTGGCAAGTAGACCAAATGGCTGCTTTGGCGATACAGCCAGGGGGGGGCAGACCTGCCAGCGCCGATGGGTCGAAAACGCCCAGCCCGCGCGACCACCGGCGGCGGACGGAAGACTAGCACGTCCACGTGGTCCGTCCGCCTGGGTCACGGGCGTCGCGTCCTTGGCTTTGCTTTCAATCGCCCTGACCTTGAGCTGGTAGTACGAAACCTGAACCTCCTCCATGCAGCACACAGTGCCCGTGACGACCGCGAACGGGAGTCACACTGACCTCGGAGTTGGTCTCAAAGCAGTACGTGGTGAAGTACTCTAAGGACGGAGCCAGCCAGGGTACTGCGAGGGGTGGCACACGACCACCATCGTACACCATGAGTTGTTGCGCCAAGCCAGTGTCGAACAGTCCGCCCTTAGAGCTCAAGAAGACCAGCTCGCGACTGCGTTGGGCCAGCAGCCCGTGTTCAACTAGTCGAAGCAGGCAACTCGGTGTGGCACAGATACAAGAGCGGCGCAGTGCCCAACACTCGGTCCGACTACGTCTCGATGGCTGACGTGAACGACGCTAGTCGTTCAAGGTCATGAACTCGTGTGGCTCGTCACGAGCAACGGCGGATACACCGGCCTCTAGCGCGCACGGCGGCCGCGACAACGGCATGTGCAACGTCGCGATCGTGTACCCGGCATGTCGAGCCCACCATCCGCCAGCCTTTGACCAGCACGACCAAGGTGCCGGTCCCCACCACACGTGCCATCCCAAGTCGAAGGACGGTCGCCGTGCTGGCGTTGCGGCGTCCCTTTCGAACCACTTGATCTCTCTCTCTCGTGTTCCTTTGTCGTCCTCGCGCTGTCTTTGTGTGTGTCCTGGCGTCATCCATCCCATCTATTCATGTTGAACGCCCCGTCGATCCGCCTTGGCGACGTGGTGAAGGTTTACGATCACATCGTCGATGGCGCGTCGTGGTAGACTGCCAAACCCGATCTTGATCCTTGGACCGATGTACACGACCGAGGCGTACTCGAGGATGGTGTGGAAGCCGGTCACTCGGAAGGGTATGCGCTGCGGCATGGCAAAGCAGAATACGCTCCCTGCTGAGTTTCGACGAGGTAGAAGTGCAAGGCCATTGTGCATTCTACGGGAACGAGATAACGACGCCGCCGCTAGATCCAATTTTGCGACGACTTGACCGGATGCTTCGATTCGCCCTGCGTGTGTCCATCGCCTGGTTGATGCGGTCGGCCATGGTGGCAAACATCGCGGACGAAGTTGTGCCGGAATTCACGGACGGGTTTGGCTGCGATGGGCCGCTTCCGAATGTCGACTTTTATGGCAACGATCTGTTTCACATGCCAGGCGACAGCAACACGTGCAAGGAGACGTGCAAGGACACCCGTGCGTGCGGAGCCTTCACCGTGGCCCACGGCGTGTGCTACGTCAAGGCGGACGTGAGCGCCAACGTGGTGTCCAAGCGGGGCTGCAGCTCGTATATTTGCTATCGCCAAGCGCCGTAACCACAAGACATTCGTTCGTACGAGTGGCGCCGCTCGCTTTGTCTAACGTAATGGCTGTATTGAATGAACTCGAAGCTCTGTCGTGCCATGGTGAAGAGCCCCGCGAACTCTGCCGGCACTTGCTTGGACCTCCGAAGGAGGACGTGCAGGAGCAACATCTCTGCGACGGAGATTCCCACTCACAGCATTGCTTGGACGCACGGGACCGATGCATTCGAGCGGTGTGTTTGGATTTGTCGAGGCGCGGCGTCATCGGTGCCACGCAAGGCCAGTGTGTGCGGGCAGAGAGCAAGTCATGGCGCAGACCATGACTGGCACTCCATGGCCTGGCATGACGCCTCCGTGCTGCGCACTCTGCGTGCTTTTCACCTTGGGTACCCCCTCTGTTCAATTGCTGCCCTCGTTCAGCCGTCAAAGGTCTGTCTTCCGCATCGTGGCCCTCTCGCGAAGGTACGTGTTGACAGACTCCAAGTACTGATCGAGGCGTTGGTGGTGCCTGACGTCGCAGACGGCGAGCGCATGCTGCCGGAACTTGCGCTGCATGGTGTCTTCGTCGAGGCCGTGGAGGTCGAGGTCCCAGAATCCTCGCGCTTCTTCGCACAGGGGGGTTTTCCCGTCCTTGGAAAAGCTGGACGACACGATAAACAACATGCGGATCTTGGTCACAGTCGGCGAGATGCGCTGCAAGATGTACCACACGTGTCGGTGGCGCTGGAGCTTCATCGTCGGCGCGTCCTCGTCTTCGTGGATTTGCTGCCCCACGTACACAATGCGGTCGCCGTCGATGAATTCGCGGCTGAGAAAGTTGCTTTGCTCGTACGCGCCGTCGAGTGTCTGGTGGCGAATCGCGACGTGTGGGGTGTCGCTGCAAACCTACGGGACGTCACCATGAGTCGACGCGGTGCGCGAGGCCTGCGGCATACGTGCAGGCGGGCATAATTGATCATGAATTGCCAAATGTCAGCTTGCATGACGCCGCGCAGTTCGTCGAGCGAGTGCTGCATGAAGAGCTCGTGCCGCCGAATGAACTGGTAGCACCCGTCATCGTCGAACACGACATTCAGATCATCTTCGGTGACCGTCGAGAACATGGGCGGAAACCCGTACTGCTTCTGGACGTTGTCTAAGTTGTGGTATAGCTGCTGTGTAATCCATTCCATGCCGACCTTGCGGGACTCGGGGTGCCGCAGCAATGTGAAGTTGCGCCACGTCGCGTTGGCATGACAGGGAGATACCTACGGCCAACGGGATGAGCATCGCGACGAGAGTGGATGGAATGCAGCACCGTTCGAGTCGATTGGACCCATCGCCTCATGTCGTTCATGAGAGTTCGGACGTGTTGGATTTGCTGGTGGAGTCGGTGGTTTTCGACGACGGCGACGTCGCGTGCCTCGCGCATGGTGATCGCAATATCTTCCCACGACAGCATGAGACTGCCTCGTCGTTTCACTCGAAGTAACATCGCTTCCAACTCGGCAACACGGCGGCGCAAGTGCGCCCGCAGCGCGTGCTCCTGTTGGCGGTACTTGCCTTGCTTTTCGCGCTGGTACTTGTTCTTCTGCAGCTTGATGTCGGCGGCGTCGAGCAGGTCCGTGTCGAGTTCGTCCGGTGCGTGGGTGACTTCCATCGTACACGCTGCGCCACCCTCCGTGTTCATGGCTGGTGCGCCGGTCGATCTTTGTCGCAGGATGCGCGTCCAAGGTGCGGATGGATGCATCCAACGCCATATCCATGTGGCGTTTCACGACTTCCATATTCCCCCATACAAAACTCGAGTCAACTTCGTCGTGGAATTCGCGGCACTGCCCAAGAGCGACGGCGATGACGCAGCTTGGACGAACTCGAGCGGTCGTCGTTCTGTGGTCGCAATCGTGTCTGGATCCGCAAAAAGACCGTCTCGGGTGCCTTGATCACGCTTCCAGCGGCGCTGGGCCGTCTCCCACACATCCCGCGACCTGGACACCCCGTCGGGAAGGGCTCGGGAATGCAACACATCCAGTCTGTCGTCGCCGTGACCTTGCCCCAGACGGCATTTCGCTGGCAAGGTCGGCGAGTGGATGGCGACGCACGCATGTTTAGTTCGCTGTCGGCGGCGACGTCGGCATGGGGGTGTCCGGGAGACATGACGGTGCCAACGTAGCTCTCTGCATGACCAGAACTTCTGTCGCAAACTTGTGACCCACTCGACGAAATTCAATGCCACACGCACGTACTGGACGAGTCACAATGACCACCTCGGCGACCGGAAGCGACGCGTCGATGACGGCCGTGCATGCTGTCAGCGCGATGGAAGACCGAAATGCAGCTATACTGTCAAGATGCAGTCCTTTCGCACCGACGACAACATGAAAGGCGTTGCGAAATCGTGGAGCTCGCGAACGATCCGACGATTCGAACCAACGCGCTGTCCCAAGCTCGCATCAAGGCTTTGCCATGCGGACCTCTGTCGTGGAATGATACCGCGAGGGACCTGAAGAATGACGACATGGGCTCGGCAAACGTGCAGCGCCCGCTGAATGAGGACGCTGATCGGATGCCACGCATGTGCCGATAGGTGCAGGGTACAGGTCCATCACTCGGTACACTCCAGCATCCCTGAAATCGCGAGCACGAGAGTGTGCAAAGGAACCCGGCATGTCGCACCATGGGCAAGGACCAAACAAGCACCCTCGTAGATGCGTTTTGCGAGAACGATTTCGTGGTTCCGTCGACGGGGCATTGCCGCCAGCGCATTTGACGAACGCACTCGTCAAACGCTTCACGTGAGCGGCGACGACCGCGTTAGATCATGTCGACTGGACGAACGAACGCCGCCATCAAGGGCAGAGATGTGTTTGTTAGAGTAGGTCATCGTTCACTAGGCAGTCGCCGCCGAGTAGATGACGTCGAACAAGACGATGGCGATTTGAATCATTTGCGCTCGGCAGCCCAACAGCGACGCGCGGGCCAAGAACGCTTGTGCGTGGGCGACGGGCTTGATCGCGGTGGGTTTCGCAGAAGTGTCGCCGGGCGGTGTGTGTTGGAGCAATTGCTTGCGGGATTTGTGGCGCTTGAGGAAGCGGCGGACGCGCTTTTGGATGACCAACACGCCCGCAAACCACTTTTCAAACTCGACGATACGAATGGACTTGAGGATGAAAAAGTTTCGACGGAGCGCTTCTTCTTCGTGCGAAATCATCATCCCGAGCAGCTGCGTGCAGATCAAGAACCCCGTGTACTCGAGCCACAGGTACTCCCACGGGTCCCAGTGCAGGTTGTGCGATGCAAAGAAGATGAAGAGCACGATGAGCACCGACGTCGACCGGAAAGCATAGACAAACCGGAGCTTGAAGCCCGACCGGTGCGCGTACAAGATGGCGTTGAGCAGCCCCATAAAGTACACGTTCGGCTTGGTCGGCTTGGGCTGCTTGTCCTTGTAGTTGTGCATGAAGGCATACCCGACTTGCAGCAGTAGAATCATCATGCTGCACACGTGGATTGCGACGACCGCGATCGAAAATACTTGGGCCGACCGAACGTACCCGCCCTTGGACTCGACCCATTTCGTCTTGATGCGGCTGCGCTTGTCTTGCGCGACGGCCGCGTCCAGGTCCAATTTCGACATGCCCCGGCGCAAGAACACAGACCAGTATTTCTTCCCGAGCAAGTACAAAAAGTAGAATGCCCCCAAGTAGCACGGCACAACGATGGCAAATCGGATCACGGCCGCCATCCCGTACTCAAAGTAAAAGTGCTTCATCAAGAGCAGCTTGATGTCTTGAATACCCAGCACGATCTGGCTCAACCCAACGCCAAGCACGGCATACCGGATCGTCCAGTACACGTTTTCGTGGATGTCCCCACGGTTCGGGTTCTCGTACGGGTGTGGATCGATCAAGTACCAGACCTTGCAAAAGTACTCTTCAATGGCGAGGTTGCGGAATGCAAGCGTCCACGGGTCCAGCAGCTTCTCTTCCGAGTATGTGTCGGCGGAAAAGTCGACGGGCTCGTCGTCGAGCGCCGGGCCCGCAAACGGAAGCTTCAGCGCGTAGTTGCGGCGGCGCGTGAGCTCTTGACGGTAGTGCGACACCATGCCACCGATGATCCCGATGCCGTAGTTGATTGTTTGGTAGATAATGTCGGACACGTTGTCGTACTTCCACACGGACGGAATGTCGTCGATAAAGTTGAGGCTCACGAGTTGGACGACGAGGTAGACGAAGAAGATGCTCCATCCCAACACGCAGCTGTGGATGAATCGCATGCGAGTGATCCCAAAGATAGGAATGATCAGAATCACGAGGGGCAAGACCGGGCCAGCCTGTTGCTGCAGCGGTTTCTTGAAGATCATGCTGAGCGCAACGACTGCAAACACCCAAAACGTAATCGTTTCCAGGTGTTTCGCTGCCCACGGCTGATGCACCAAAATGTACCTGGCAAAATATGAGCTTCCATGGATGAGAAAGACGTACCCGACGGCAAACGCCCCGCACCCACAGCCAAACGTCACGATATAGAGTAACGTGGACACCGTCGAGTGGATAGCGGAAGCGGGATGGCTGCGCGGAATGCCCGTGCGCACCGTGAACAAATCGTTGTGGACTTCGTATGCCAAATACGCTGCCAAGAAGACAAACCCGACCGCAAAGCACAGACGAATTCGATTCATCGACGCTTCTTGAGCCCATTTTAGGTAGCCGACTTCAAACTTCTCGGGCGGGTCGGACGATGGGATATAGCTGTCGAATTGGAGTGTGTTTGGGTTCATCCCGACTTGTTCTTGAATCATTCCAAACTGCTTCACCATGTACTCCTTGGCTTCGTTCATGCGAAGTGTCTCTGCAAAACACGTGGGGGTGAACAAATGAACACTCGCCGCCATGGCGCGAGAGATCGTCTTACCGTCCATGGAGTTTCCCTTGGGCACAGCGCAGGCCTGGAGAACGAGGTCCGTGGGATCTGGAAGCTCTGCTGGGGCGCTGTCGACGCCATTTTCAAGGTTTTCCAAGTACTCTCCTCCGTCATCCATGAGTGCGATGTTTCCCGCATCCGTCATAAGGTTGAATTGGACGCGAGCTTTTGGCGTGACTTCCAATCGCGCGTCGTCCGCTGTCACCATGGCACGAAGTCGCGACGGCCGCCGACGAAATCTTGCAAAGTGACGGGTCGACCACGAACTCGGCCGCCGTATACATCCAGTTTGTTACTGGCCAGCCCGCTCGGGTATACAAACTTCAAGTCAAATCGTTGCCCCGGTTTGAAACGTTCCCGACACGAGCAAAACCGGCGCAAGAGTCCGCCGGCGTCGGTTGGAGCCCTTTCCTTCGCGAGTCGCCTGGCCCTCTGGACCGTCCGCTTTGTCTGTGGCAACACGTATCTGTGGACGTGTGAAAGCATGGCATCCTCACAACCCATGGCACGACCGCTCCCATGTAACGCGTGTGTGCTGCTTGTCCCCGGCGTTCAAGTTCCCACGGATTTTCTGGTAATATAAAAATTTTCTAGATATTTCCTCCGTGTTTTCGTCTTGCGTCAGTTCCTCAACGACCGCGAGTCCTGGGGGCTGGATGGCGCGCTTGTTATCGGCTAGTACAACAGGGCCACGCTTCCCTCGTGATGGCGTCGACTGAAAGCGCATCCCCCACCGAGTGCCGGCGGCACGGAGGGCCCAGTGCACGGGCGCGCACAGTGGTCAGCCTGGTACAGTATCTACACAATTTGCCTTGTCGCGGCTGGTGTGACGTGCGCTCCCAAGCAGCGGGACACAGCAAGGCCGGACCGCGATGGGCGAGGTGGATGGGCAACGTGGCCTCGCCCTGTCGGTGCGTGGAGGAGGTGCTTTATAGGGACGGACGTCTCAACCACCAGCGGCATCCCAAGCATGTCTACGTTATAAATACTGTTCAACTGCTCGATGCCCTAGCTCCCACGCAGGCTGAGTCGCTTTTCCAGCAAGTGATGGAGAAAGTGGCTCTCCGAGACGGGACGGTCGTGCAACGTCATGGATGTGAATCGCGATAGCGCCGCGTCCACGTCTTCGTCGTCAATGCTTGAGTGTACCAACTGGAGGTTCGAGACCGCGAGAGACATGTCGAATGATGGCGACGGCTGGACGTGGCATCGGTCCATGTAGAGGTCCAGGTCCTGGGTCGACGGTGCTTGGAAAGTGAATGAGCTGAATGGGTTTCTCGGTGACGTTGGAAGCGTGGAGTGATGGAGAGAAAGCGCACTTGATCCCATAGACATCGACGTCAGCTCGGCCAGGAGCGCGTCCACATCAACTCTTCTCCGCTTCGTTTTTGGGTTCTCCATGGCAGGCCTTCGCTGTGTCGTTGACGTCTTCTCCACAATTTGGTCGACATGCATTGTATTCTTGACGACAGGCTGAAGATATATGCTATCTGGCGCTGGAAGGTTTGCCGCAGACGACATGGCGGCAAGTCGTTGGCGCTGGAGCCGCGTGAAGTAGCGTGGCCGAGGAAGTGGAGGTTGAGTAGATGTATGGTGCGCTACGTTCTGAGCGACATGGATGTGGATATTGACGGTGATGTTGACAGGTTGGTCGTCTTTGCATTGCTGCCGTTGCGCCGCCGCCCGCGTCCGCGATCGCGTCCGCATCCCTCCTTGCGTCCACCGGTGGCGAATTTGCGCCGGATAATTTCATCCGAATAATTTCATGATCTTCGGACTGGAAAAAATGTTTCAGGATTTCGCGCGAATTTTCAAATTCTTTTGCGAAAAGTGTTCCGCACCTAACTCATGGATATGAAGGGACCTGACGACGAGGCAAAAGGTCGCCATGGGCGGGCCCAGCGAGCTCTTCATGCCCCATGACACCGACAACGTTGATGCGCACACGTAGTATACGTCTCTGGATGCAAAGTGCGATTGGAGAGATGGAACAACTAGTTAGACGTTCTTGAAGTTGGGCTTGCGCTTCTCGATGAAGGCAGCCATGCCTTCCTTTTGATCGTGCGTTGCAAAGCTGCTGTAGAAAAGTCGCGCTTCGTACTTGATCGACTCTTGCAACGTCATTTCGTACGATGCGTTTACGGCCTCTTTGGCCATGCGCGTGATCGGTTGCGAGTACGCAGCGATCTTGTTGGCGACCGCGAGCGCTTCTTCCTGTACACCACATAACGTGAACCAGGAATCCGTTCAATAGTCAAAATAACGTACGAGCAGCTTGTCGGCGGGCACGACTTTGGCGACAAGACCGTCGCGCTCAGCTTGGAGGGCGTCAATCATGCCGCCGGTCAAGATCATGTGCATCGCCTTCGACTTGCCGACGGCACGAATCAAGCGCTGAGTACCGCCGCATCCAGGGATCGTGCCGAGCTTGATTTCAGGCTGGCCGAACTTGGCCCCGTCGCCCGCAATGATCATGTCGCACAGCATGGCGAGCTCGCACCCGCCCCCCAACGCAAACCCGTTCACGGCCGCGATCACAGGCTTTTGGATCTTGGTGATGTCGCCCCAGTTGGCGAACATGGTCGTGTTGTACACTTCAATGAACTCGCGCGTCGCCATTTCCTTGATGTCGGCGCCCGCTGCAGAGGAACCACGTGAGCACGTCCACCCGAGGTACGCTCCCGAAACGCACCGGCGAAAGCCTTTTCACTGCCGGTCACAATGATCGCTGAAATGTTCGGGTCCTTGTCAAAGTTCTTCGCTTCCGCGTTCACTTCGTTGATCAAGCCATCGCACAACGCGTTCAACGCCTTGGGACGGTTCAACGTGATGATGCCAACCTTTCCTTGAACATCGGTCTTGATATACTCCAGGGTTTCTGCAGCAGCGTAAGCACAGTGTCATGACGCATGACAGAAGACACGTACTGGTGCTGAAGCCTCGGACGGCCAACGGAGCGCGGGAGGCGAAGGAAGCGAGTCGCAGCATGACGTCACACTTGCACTTTTCAGGTGTGCGGTTGACGCGGGCTTGCCGCTTTACCGGACACTCGTTTGATTGGCTCATTTATCCGTATGCATTCATTCCACACCGGGCAGGACAACTTAAACGCACAGCACACGAGGGATGAGAGATGAGTCGTTAAGTTAGCCATCGCCCTCGAGGTCGTCGACTAGATAGACTGCCCCGTCGTACGTGAGCGCATCCCCTGTCGCCACCGCAAGCGCATGGATGGCGTCTTTGCATTTGGCGGTCGCGATTGGCACCAACGACTCCACCTGCAACCGACTTGTTGAGATTTGAACGACTTGACTGACTGTACCCATGGTCCGAACGCGTGCATTGGCGGCGCATCGGACGGAATGGGGAGATGGAGTTGGTACGTTTGGAGTTGGCTCCAGTATATCTCGAGTTCGTCCGGCACCAAGTCGGCGTCGACATGCGCTTGCATCTTGGCATCGAGGAGGTCAAGACCAGAGGGCCAGAGAATTTATGTACCGTCAAGAGGGTTTCCCGCATCACAACAACTTCCGCCGCTGCTTCCCACAGGTCGATCGCCGTGTGCAGTAACTCGGCTCCGTCGTGGCTCGCATACTTCTGGAGCATCTTCAGCTTGAGGTGGTACGGCATGCCTAGTCGAAGCCACACCTACACCATCGCTTGTAAGGACGGAGGGGCTGACAAGGGGTCAAAGGGGCAACCTCTTCGAGGCGAGTCTGGAGGGTTTCGTGGCAGTCCACTACCGAGTTGTTTCGAATGTTCGCGGCCGAGAGAGTGCTCGAGCGGTTGGGGCTAATCTTCTCTCGGGAGCGCCTCGACGAACCCAGGGGTGAGTCGTCCGCACCACTCGGCCGTGCAAGCAGCGCAGCCGCTGTCGACAAGTCGGCGTTGGGGGAAACGGAGACCGAGGCCTCCTTGGTTGCCTCGAGAGCTTGCCACTCCCACGTGATGGCGGTCACCTGGCGCCGAAGCACTCGCTTCGTCGTGTGCTGCGAGAGAGGTGCCGCCACTCGGGGGCGGCAACCCACGATCCCTGTCGCTACCGACTGTACTCATTTCAGCGTAAAGTTCTTGCGGATGAATGGCACACCTTCTGTCGACAGGCGTGCTTGTTTTGGCGTTCGTTGAGGATAGTACTGGGCCGCCTCTCTAGCGCCGAGGGCGGCGCCGTTGCAACATTTGGCTCGGTTGTAGGAATGGTTGGATGGGGCGCTCCAGTGCTCACGACCCTACTCAACATAGCCCGGTTTGTTGAAAGAAAACAAAATCATCGCATTTGTTGCTTTCAGTACGAGGCCGAGTCGGAAACGTGCTTGGGCTGCTTTCGCCGCCGACCGATCGCATCTTGCCATTGGCTGTACCGAGCGTTTGCGGCAGCTTTTCGAGCGCTCAGCCGGTCGACCCTGCGGCAGGCAGGTTCAGTCGAGTCCAGGGATTCCGTATCCAGTTGCCTCGTACGGTTCGATGTCGGTCGTGGCTTGGTTGGGGTGGTCGGTTCGCACGACGGCCGACTTGGATTTTGCACGTCTACGATCCACCATGTGACGAATGGACCACGGCACTCGATGGACAACTGCATTCTGCAGTGTCCAGCTCTCTACCTTTCACGCAAACTCGTCGTGAGCGGAACGATGCGGTTCCACACGTGAGTGAACGATGGCGGCACCGCTGAAAAGTCGGCCAGCTCACAAGTTAGTCGTCGCCGCAATGATGCACTACATCGAGCTCCAATTTGGCCAAACAGGTCGACTTGATCCTTTTCCATTCGTTTGGTGATGCCACCGTCGAGTATGGACATCGCAGTCATACCTTCCATTCGTCGACGGCGGTGTTTGGCTTGGCCGCCATGTCCTGTCCAGGTCGCAACGAGACTTTTGTACGTGTTTTGACGACGTTTGCATCGGCTTCTGCCACCCGAAGCGCCGCCACGACCAACGCAATTTCGGGATGACGGCTCATCGCGATGTGCTTCGGATTGTTGTCGGCGTGCGACGAGCGGACAGGATTGTTTGGCGGCACAGGCGGCGGTCCCGACGAGTCCACTGGTAACGTTGCCGATGTTGTTGGTGTTCCTTTGGTCCCAATAGAAGATGCGATTGAACTACTGCGTATGGACTTTCGTCGCTCCAAGACGGGCTCGGACGACGATTTGGCCATGGATGGGGAGCGCAGCATCCGCTGCAGCTTCTTCGATCCTTTGAGCTGGTGAAGAGGGGGCTCCGCCTCTTGCAGCAGCGTCCCGAGTACGTGCACCGGCGCCGCGCTCGACGACGTTTTTTGCCCAAAGGATCCGGCAAACAGTCTAATTCAGTGAGTGCGAACGGTTCCATGCCCGCGATACGTACGGCTGCCGTTCTCGGTCGAATTCTTCGAGGACTTGAGTTTTGAGCTGGTCGATGTTACATCGGCGCTGGAGCTCCACGAGATACATCGTTTGCACGCGGCGTGCGTTGATGGCGGGGTCGAACACGCCCTGCTCACGTTGTGGTGGGTATCGATACGAAGAACGCGGCGGCACGATGATGAGTTCAACAGCACATACATGTTCGTCAAGCTCCTGTTTCTTTCGGCGGTACTTGTCGCCCACGACGTCCGTGATGTGCTCGACGCGGGTTTGGATGCGATTCATCACTTCCTCGCGCTCGTCCATCGAGAGTCGCTCAAACGACGTGTCCAACGGATCGTACAACATGGACGTTTTGCTCGTGCATTGCCACTTGGACTCGAAGGCCATCATCTTGTTGCGCACAATGACTTCGGGGAGGTTCTTCTTTGCAGACTCGCGCGGCGGCGTTGCTGCCGACGTAAACAGATACCCTACGCACAACGACGACAGTCAGGTGATGCTTTCAACCCAATATCTCCACCGTCTTTGTTGGCCATGCGCTTATGCGCTCGCTCAAAGCGGTCCTGGAGCTTTTCTGGCACACGCAGGGGTTCGAGATCCTGCGATGTCCGCAAGTCGGCCAAGATGTGGTCGCTCCGCATCATCATCAAACTCGGGTCGGCATCGGTTACAAATATCGGTTACAACTGGGCAGAAAGGCGGTAATGAAACGGTAGCTGCCATCGACAATGCCATCGTGGCAAGCGCCACGGCATGTTGTCGTGCGTCGGCATGGCTCGATCGTTGACGAAAAGAACCACATTCGACGCCCCGCGATCGTGGAATTCACACCAAACGCCTGCCCACTCGAAAGGTTCATCTAAATGGCAGATGCATCCCGGTGCAGCTAGCGAGTGGCCACGCCCCCGCCTCCATCAAAAGTTCCAACTGCCATCACAGATTCTATAGCGTCCGTCCTGACACGTTTATGACAAGAGGTCCTCCACGATCGAACATCCCAAGTCGCAGTTTGTTCATCCGAGAAGGAGCAGTGTCGATGCCATGGGCGACATGGCATGTCCGAACGCCCCCCGCCAGGTTGCAGCGACTCAACTGGTCCATGGACAGTGGGTTGCCAGGGCGCTCCACATGGAAGGGCGAATATTTACCCGGGATAATGGGGCGACATGGCCACATCTCGCCATGGGACATGCCACCAGAGGTTATCGAGGATCACTCAGAGGACCGTGTTCCAATGTGCCATCGTGGACGTGCGTCTGGGGCGGGTGGCAACCTTCCATGTTTGTGTTGTTTCTATGCTTCCTTCTTCATGCTTGGGCTGTTCTTGGAAGCCGCGGGTCGAAATCCCGACCATTGGCACCGATGCTCTCTCTCCACTGAGGTGAACTACCCCTTCAGTTCCCAGCGAGTGGCCGGCGAACCGCGCCGAACGAGAATCGCGGCGCACGTGCCTCATCACGCGATCGAATCCCCACCACGCTACGCTCGTGGTTGTTTGCACGGCTCGATCCCAAGGTCGCACGCGGAATCGGTCGGACCGATGAATTGAAAGGATGGATGGGCATGGTGCACGAGACGGGTCACTCGGGAGGCCCCGTCAATTCGTTACGTGTTGCACATGATTCGCGACGGCTGCGTAACCACGGTCGTGGCCGAACGGCGCATCCCCCACATGGACGCTCCGCAGCCGAAACTGTTCCAATTCAACCATGCGGTGAATCGTCAACACAATGCGCGACAAGTCCACAGTTCACACCCGGCCGGATGAAGCGAAGGGTCCGATGTGAGCGCCCGGCACCGACGCTTTCGTCCATTCCATAACGCTGCCATGGCCCCACCGGCCCATGGTGCCTCACGTCGATCGCCGATGCATCTCTACCACGCAGGACTTCCACCGTCCCACGTGCTCAGGCGCGCACCTGAGACCACATGGACGACGACAACGGAGCAGCAACCGAATCAGCGTAATCGGTCAAAACAGCGCACCCGACAATTTGGATTGGTGAGCGTGCAATAATTTGACCGACACACTTGTGAATGTATGTTTGAACTGGATCAAAGACTGGGCAGGTGCATAAAAACGTACGACTGGGTGTGGTGTTGGGACCATCATCGCTCGACAGCGACGTTGAAGGTGTCGAGAGGGTCATGGGGTCGGCCTCGCCTTCGTGGCGCAAGGACAAGAGTGTGGAGAGGATCGGAAATCGATGTAGTTTATCATCATCGCTAGAATAAATAGGACGCCGCCGACACCGGATGATGGAGCTGCACGTTAAACCAGCATCGTGGGCACGATCTCGTCGAGGATTTCAATGAGGAAGTCCATGCTTTCCGTGAACGACGGGGACTCGTCCTGAACGGCAAACGAGCTGGGCGCGAAGAGCGAGTGGTGGACGGAGCACGGGGACGACCAGACTGGCAACGGCACGTTATTGCTCATGAATGAGCTCGGGAACACAGCGAGTTCGTCCGGGATCGCGGCTTTGTTGCGAAGCCCACGGTTGCGCCGCGCGAGCTTTTCCCTGTACTTTTGGGCATGGGTTTGCGTCTGTCGGATCGTTCGGGTTTTGATGATGGCGGCAATGTTTTTCCACGGGCCACTCGGGTACAGCTCAATCGCGTGGAGGAAGCGTTCGTGTTCGTCTTTCGTCCACGTGCCCTTGCCTTCGACGGGCTTGTTGTCGTCGGACGAGACCGAGGCGCGCGGGGACAGGTGCAACATGTGCGAAAATTCAAAAATGCGATGATCGTGTAAACGACTGCCATGATTTGCAATGGCCACCCTTTCGTCGTGGCAATCAAATATCTTCCAGCCCAACAGTGGCACGGGCTGGCGACAACCTGGGAAAACCTTACCCGCGGCGGCGCATGGTCGGTATTCATTTCGACAGGTTTTTCAACCACCACCACCATTGCGTGGGCGGTGGGGTCGTCGTACAGTAGCGCGGAATACTAAATCTAACAGGTTTTGCTGGCCTTCGGGTCCCACTCGAGTGGTCGGTTCGAGACCAAACGATAGCGCGGCGATGCCAGCGCCGTCGTGTGGCGAGTGTGTCGAGCGAGGCATGAAGACGCTTGAGTCCTTGCCCGCAGTCCTTCTCGCGACGAGTTGGTGTCCTGGCGGTCGGTGTATCAAGGCGGCCAACATACAGCCGCTCATGTAATCGCCCCAAAGAGTTGGACCATTGCCCCCCCCCGACGAGAACGGACCAAAGCACCTGGCGAGAACCACGTGGCGAATTCGGCGAGTACGCGCCTCCACCTCCCTTGCCCCACGCGCAACGGTCTGGCTTACGCAAACACGGCCGATTCCGCGGTGCATTGTGGCCAGTCATGTAAACGCAGCGCGGCGGCACGCAGCCCCATCTTGCCACGTCCGAGCGGCGAACAAACGCGACCTCGACGGGTTTACTTTACTTGGTGCCGCGAGGGGAATTTCGCTCTTTTTCTGCGCGCAGTCCCCTCAACTTTTACCAGGCACGCGAGACTAGGCGTTGGTTCAAAGCCCTCGGATGCTTTATCAGTCGTGCCCAAAGCGCCCTGCGTGGAGCCGTCAGGAGAATGCCGCAGTCACCTTTCCTTTGCAAGAGAGATTCTATCGTCGGGACCGTTGACGGCGCCGCGCCGACCGCTCGACTGCAATTTCCTGTTGTTGACTATCCGCGACGGCCCTCGGTGTGCAACCGAGTGCCTCTACTACTACTCGCAAGCGACGTTGTGCTGGTTTCTTGGACGTCGGGGGAGGCGAGTTCACATCGTGCGAGGGGACGATCTTTCCTCCAAGTGCCGTCGGCGGCATGGCGTCGGCGTGTATCCTTCTGGGCCGGGCACACTGCGAAGGCGTGTCGGTGTGCTAACGCGATGAAGCCCGCGCTCTCACCCCCCTCCTCTCTCGCCTGGGACATGGACGCCACGGTTGCGTGCAGGGGTGCTTGGGCGGGAGTGATATCACACTCGGGCCCGGAAAGGCGCTTGTGACGTACACAACTTGCCGTTTGTATGGAGATGTCGCATCCGGCAAGTGCCACGGGGGGCGCCATTCGGAACATGCCAACAAACACCCCGCGCGGCGGCGGGCGAATCGAGTCGATGCGGGTACTAGTGATTTCGCCACCACGGTCGCCCGCACTCTCTCGCCAAAGGGCTCCACCGCCGGCGGATGTCTTGTTCGGAGGTCGTTGCACGGCGCCTTTCCCGCGCGACGTCCCTGGATGCGCCAGTCGCCCCGAGGCATCGGGCGGCCTGGCATGCAAACGCCAGCATGGCAAGATCCAACAGTCACCACACACACATCGCATGCGATCTCGCTACCGCATACGTAGTGGTGGCGTGTGTATCTGTAGTCAAAAGCCTTTCGACAGGAGACGTCGCGGCGGCCGTGTCGCCGCGATCGAAATCCACCGAAGGCTGCTCGACCAAGGCTTGTTCCTCGACCCGTCTTGCCCAGACACGCGTTGGGTTCGCATACCGTTGCCCGTGACAAATTACAAACCGTGTAGCACACACGAATAGGACGTTGTCGGGTCCGTGTGGTTGTGGTTGGCGATGTTTTCGCACCCATCCAGGTCGTGATGGGTAGGTGCAGCGATACAAGGGCGTTGACCAGAGTGCGCAGGTGGACTGGGACATGCACCTAGGTGGGGATGCCGGCCGCCCGCCGCCGTCGTCACCCGGCGCTGGAGGACGGTCGGCCTGGCGGCATTAAACTCGAGCGCAGCCCGTTGGATGCTCCCGACCGCGACACCGTCGAGTCACGGTGAGAAAATCGCTGCCGCGGGCGTATCAGCGACCCACGCGGCATCCGTATACCTGGATGAGGCCCCCTCCCGCAGCTGGATTATTCGTGGGAGGGTGCACCAGTCGCCGTTCATTCTCATATTTGAATTTTGCCGCACCCATTCACCCGACGACCGTCTACTACGACACCAAGTAGTAGACACCACCCAACGAGAGAGCCATTATGTTGACCAACATGACAAGTCACAGCGACACGAGTTCGCCGGTCCATGGGGACGCGACGTCCGCGTCTGGCAAGGGCACGTGGACCAAGGACGAACACGAGCGCTTTCTCCAAGCCACGGAGCTGTTTCCGCAGGGCCCGTGGAAGAAAATTGCCGAAATGGTGCGCACGCGAACGATTCGGCAGACGCAAACGCACGCCCAAAAGTACCGCGAAAAGCTGGCACGCCATCACCGCGGTCTGCGCACGCGATCGTTTGGACAAACCACGCAGCCGCCGCCGCCATTGCCGACCGGCGGGATGCACGCGTTGGGTGCCCCGAGGCATCTGCCGACGCCGTCCACCAAATCTGGTAGCAGGAATCCCATGCTGTTGCCGCCGAGTGGACCAAGCAACTCGTTTCACCACTCGCCCCACCACAACACATCGTCGAGCCACCTCCGACCGACGCACCACCACAACCACCACTCGATGGCATGGGCGCCCCCCCAGCTGCCGCAGCTGCACTCCAACTACTCGCACGAGAACACGCCGTCGTACGCCAACAACTCGGGCCATCCTCTGCCGTCCCATTCGTACCACAACGTGTCGCCATCGTCGTCCAACCTGAAACAAGAGCCACCGCTGAACGGAAACGGCCAAAACTTTTCCCAGTCGATGCAGTACCTCATGGACTTTTACGAGCCGGCGAATGCGCCGCACCCGCACTTCCCCATCGAGCACAGCACGAACCACACGTACACCGTGTACAACGATCCCATCGATGTGTACCGGCGCCACAACTACCAAGGCGACGCATAGGACGGCCGGGTTGCCGTGGACCACGTTAGGCTAATAGAACTCCACCTCCTCCTGATCCATCCTGCCGACGCGTCCTACGCCACATGTCACCGCCCCCGGCACTTGCAGATGATAGGCGCTGTGGTTGCGCCATGGGGTTGGGTACTCCGACGACGTGCCACATCATCTTGGGTGCTGCGCGATTTTGGTGTGCGCCGCGTGCTGTCCTGTGCATGGAAAATGTGTGGCGGTCGCGGTGGCACCGACCAGGGTGTGTGTGGGTGCTGCGTTTGTTTCCCGCGCGGCAACGGCTTCCGCGTCACACGGATCAAGTTGAAGCACGGGAAAGGCCTTCACCTGTCGCGAAGCGTCCAACGATCAAGACGACCAGAGCAGCGAGAACCTGCCAAAACACCTTGTCACGTGTTGGGTGCGCGCCGCCGCGACTTGTTTACTTAGCGGCTTCTTGTCACATGGTTACGATGGCGTCGTGTGGTCGGGTTCGTGGCGCCGCCGCGGTTCGCGCCCGGCAGAGTAGCAATCGCCACTCTGGTCGCTGCAAGCACGCTGCGCCGCCAACGCCAAACGTGGTAACGAGCGATGGAGCATTGCATTGCCGTGGCCAACTCTTGTTGCGCCCACCATCCATCCTCCCCCCTGGCTGAAACTGCCGACACGAATGTTTGCGATTATCGTTCACGACGGATTCGCTCCATTTATTTCAACAAGCTATTTCAACGTCGGGGAATAACACTATTTCAAAGTCACACTATTTATAAGTGATTTCGGAATGAATGCGACAATGGGTAGGAAACGTCCGAAACGAATAAAAAACACGACAACTTTCAAATCTCGCAGAACGCGTGACACGTAAGTTGACGCGTAAGTTGGAGACGGTGGCATGGTCAACGCAGGGACGGTCCTCTTCTTTGTGTCGGCCGTCTTCGGTGCCATCGCAGTGTTCCTGGCGCGATCGGGACACCTCGGCAAGGAACATTGTACGTTGCTAACTGCTTGTTGACTGCACAGAAGCCTTACGTTCACGTTTGCTGTGTAGTGGTCGGGATAGACCTCGGCACAACGTACTCAGTCGTTGCCGTGAACCGGCATGGGAATGTGACTGTGATGCCTGACGTCCATGGGCACTTCCTCTTGCCTTCTGTCGTCGCATTCAAGCCTAATGGAGGTGCGCGTCCTTTGGAATTTTGTCACCTACATGTGGTCCATCATGAATAGGTGTTCTCGTTGGACGGGACGCACGCCACTACCGCCGCGTGGACCCGAAGCACACGATTTCGAATGCAAAGCGTTTTATCGGGCGACAGTAAGTAGTGTGTGGCAAACTCACACGTGTCACAGGTTTCGTCAGATTCGACGAGTCGATTGCAGCAGAGGCGGCCCTGTACGACTTTCCATTGCTCGCCAACACGACAGGTGACAGCCACGTGTGCTTTGGGCTGAACCTTCCTGGCCATCCATCCTGCATCTCTCCCGTGGACATTGGTTACTACGTCGTCAAGGCCCTGAAGGAGACTGCGATGGCGTTCCTCGGCCACGATCAGGTCCGTCGACGTCATCTACCCCTCTGTCTCACTCGGTTGAGTAGATTTACGGCGCGGTAATTGCCATTCCAGCTGGCTTTGGTACGTTTTGCCTCGTGCGCGTTTGTGTGACGGAGACTTGTCCAGACGCTTCCCAGCGCAAAGCGACGGTGGCGGCGTTCGAGCGAGCTGGCCTCAAAGTGCGCAATGTCCTGGTCGAGCCCACGGCCGCTGCGCTCGCGTACGGGCTGCACACGAAACCCAATGTCCACTACGTCCTGGTGTTTGACTTTGGCGGCGGCACCCTCGATGTGTCCCTGCTGTACTTGCAAAACGGATCGTTCCAAGTCATGGACACGGCGGGCGACAACCACTTGGGAGGTAGGGAGCCGCCGTCGAGAGAGGATGGTCTCGTGATGCACGTACAGGTGAAGACTTGGATGACCTGTTGAGTGCACACCTAAAGCACGAGTTCGAGCAAGTCGTCGGCGGCCACAGCCTTCCCGATGTGCAGTGCGTAGAGCGCCTCTGCAGTCGACGCAATTACTGACGACGACACGTAGGACTTCGGGGGACATGCCTGATGTGTTTCCATGCACGGCTGCAGGCGTCCGCGGTGTAGCCGAGCAGTTGAAGCGTCGATTGAGCTTTGCCAACGATGGCGAAGCGTCGTGCGTTGTTCAGCAAGCGGTGGGGGAGTACGTCGTAGGCGACACCCTTCGGTTACGCATGACGCGAGCAGAATGGGAAGAATTGTGTCTACCGACGCTCCAGCGCACGATGGAGCCCGTGAAGGAGGTGCTGGTGGGGAACATGATGACGGCAGGGGATGTCGACGAAGTTGTGCTGGTTGGAGGGTCCTCTCGCATTCCGTGGATTCAAGGCCAACTTACGGAGATGTTTGGTCGAGCGCCTAATGGGCACATCGACCCAGACGTGGCCGTTGCCGTCGGCGCCGCGAGGCTGGCGCATTGAGCCCCCTTGCTTGTGATGTCCAGTCTTCATCGAATCCTTCAACGAAGAACCCATCGGTTTAAGACGCTTTTCGCTGGCTCAATTTCACCAAGCGTGTGTAGTGTACGAGATTAACCGGATAATGGCCTGAAAAGTCATCGATTTTTTGCCTGTTCCCTTTCTGAAGCCAAGGCGAATCAGGCATTTAATTGATGGATTCACTCGAGGTTCCCACCAGAGTTGACACACCTTCGTTTCCGGTCCGAGGCTGTGAGGATGCGGCTGCAAGCGTCGCTCCTTGCGTCAATCGCGGCGCTTGCGGCGAGCAAGAACCTGTCTGCTGCCGAGAGCATCAATACGCTTGCCAGCCACGTGACCGTGCCGCTCCCAAATATCTCGTTGGCGGTACTGGAACTGACGTCGTTGGACAACAAAGTGTCCACAAGCATGTACGTGTCTCCATCTTTGTTCGGCCCGCCGCTTCCGGCGGCAGTCACGTCGACGTCGTACCTGTCATTTGCACTGGCCAATCCTCTCACCGCTTGTACACCGCTTCTGTCGTCCGTCCAAGATGAAGCTGTGCTCATCGACCGCGGCGACTGCTCGTTTGAAACCAAGGTCCTGCATGCCCAAGCAGCGGGAGCGGCGCTCGTGCTAGTCCGCGACACCCCTACAGCCGCGCTCAAACAGCCCAATCAAGTGGACTGCTCCCTCGGTGCCGGCGACTTTTGCGAAGAGAGCGCGAGTTGCGTCAGTTCAACGTGTGTCTTTTCGCCGCTTCACCAGGAGCGCTGCTGCGTGCGCAACATTCTGATCGCGATGAATGGGTCGACCGCGGCCATATCGACTGTCACCATTCCTAGCGTCTACCTCACCGTCCTGGATGGCGCGACCATCGAGAACTTCTTCGTGGAGCACCCGAACGCCACGTTTGTTACCGTGTCGTTACCGCAAGACGAAAGCCCGTGGAACTGGAGCATGCTGCTTATCTGGGCTCTCGGAGTCGCCATTGTCGTCGCCTCTGCGTACTATTCAGCGGCCAAGGAGCGTCAATTCTCCCAGCACCTCCACGCGTCAACCCTGCATCATCTCTCGGACCCACACCACGACCCCCCAAGCGCGTCGTCGGCCGCCCTGTCGCCGTTTCATCACGCGTACTCGCCGATCCGCGACGCGCAAGAAGAGCCGCTCAACATGACGCTGCAGCACGCGCTTCTCTTCCTCGTCATGGGGTCGTGCATGCTCCTGCTCATGTACTACGTGCACGTGATCTTGTTTGTCCAGTGCCTGTTTGCGCTGGCGTCGTGGGTGTGCATCACCCACTTAATCACGTACCCGCTCCTGGCCCATTTGATGCCACATCGGCCGCCGCATGGCGTCGGGTGCAACTGGCCCGCGTTTTGGTCGGTGTGGCCGTCGCTGGCTCTCGTCCTCTGGTGGTTCCTCGCGCGGCACGACCCCCTCGTCTGGATCTTGCAAAACTTCCTGGGCATCTGCCTCTGCTTTGTCTTTGTCGATTCGATCCACATCCAAAGGTACTCAAACCATCCTGTCCATCCATCGCTTCATCCGTCGGCGCGCGGACGCCGACATCTCCATCTTGTTCCTGATGGTTTCTACTAGCCTCCGGATCGCTACAATCCTCCTGGGAGTCGCATTTGCCTACGATGTCTTCTTTGTCTACTTTTCGCCGCTCGTGTTTGGGTCGAATGTGATGGTGGAAGTCGCTTCCCAGGGCGGCAAGGTCTCCCTCGACTTGAACGGTACGAGCCACCCACTTCGACGGGCCGCGATATCACCACGTTTTGTAGCGTTCTGCGTCCGGCACCCCGAGTCCGCCACCTGCGGCCACGACACGATTCCCCTCGTGCTTTCGATCCCTCTCATCCTGTCCACCTACGGCGGGAACTCGCTGCTCGGCCTCGGAGACATTGTCCTTCCCGCCCTCCTCGTTTCGTTTGCGCTGCGCGTCGACTACTGCCACGTGCGCCCGTTGAACAACGGATCGAGTTACTTTGTTTGGGCCTGCGTTGCCTACGCCGTCGGGCTGCTCATGGCCAACGTGATGGCGATCGTGCTCCAACACTTCGTCGCTGGCCAGCCCGCGCTCATGTACATTGTTCCGTGCATGCTCGGCGCTGTGCTCACGTTGGCGCGGTCCAAAGGCGCTGACGAGTTCCAAGAAATGTGGGATGGCCCGGCCTGCCTCGCCCTGGATGCGTAGTGCGACAGAATATACCATACTTGATAGGATTCTTGGACGACTTGGTCGACTGGCTTGCGTGGCCGACAGCATCGCGCAACTGTGTCGCAGCGGCATGACGGGGGGCATTCTTCTCCGACGGCGATGGGGAAGCCATGGGCTAGGACGCAATCGAGCGGACCGTTGGGGACGAGGGCTTCGTGGGACAGGTCACCCCTCGTCCCATCTTGTCCATACGTCGACGCCCATTTCCCCGTTGGCATCACATTCCAAATTGGGGACACCATGGTAGGATGGATTGTTTCCGTGGTGTTGGCGGGACTGGCGGGGGCGTCCCCCGATGCGCTCTTTCCAACGGACGAAGATGTGGGCCGCTGGACGACCGGACACGGCGACGTTTTGCCCACCGCGTTTCATCCGTCGCGGGACGATGCCGCGTGGCTGTTGTGCATGCTCTGTCGCAGCTCGACGACGTACATGGACCAAGTGCGCCGGCTGCCGCAGATCTCATGTCCGGCGCTGGTTGGCGGCGTTGACGTCACGTGCGCTTGGCTAGCACGCAACAAGTCATCTCCGACATGCGACAAGTTGGCAGACAAAGTGAGCGCGATCAAAAAGTCTCTGGAGCACGGCGAGTGCGTGGCCAAGATATGCCGCGACCAGATGCACATGTGTGGAAAGCACGACGACCCGCACGGCCGCCCGACGCTGGCAGAGCCACGTGATGCGATTCTCGGAGGCTTCCACCCCAAGTGCATGCAATGCTGGGTGGCTGTGCATTACGTGAACGATACGCGGCGCCAACGCGACTTGCCGGTGAAAGCGGTTCAAATTGGCGCGGCAATTGTTTGCGAGCGCGGGGATTCGCACCGAACGGGGTGCCATACCTTGACCCACCACGTTCCCGCGATTCTCGAAGGCTTGACGAACGGATCGACCGCCATGGAGATGTGTCGCCACATGCATTATTGCCCTGGAGCGCCGCCCCATGTCCGCCTCCCCCACGCTGTCGCACCTCCACCCCACTACCCGACGCCCCAAGTGCCCTTGGTTGAGGGGGCGTTGAAAGATCCGCCCAAGGTGGACCCGACTGTTGGCGTTGGCGTGAGCTGGGCGTGTGCCGTCATGGCGTTGATAGCGCTGCTCTATTGTGCATTTGCCAAGCCATTTCGAGTGGACCCGACAAGTGCCTACATTGGCATTCCGCAGGATGAGTAGGAGGACGAGCAGCCCAACGCACGCCACTTGCACTACACGAGAGTAACGAGTTCATTTATGGCCACGAGGTCTGTCTACTGGCAGGTTGGGCGGCCCTCGTACATGGAGCGAATGCACAACGACCCGACGACGCGCGAGGTGTACTCGAAAGTGGCCTCCCGTTGTCCCCCGCCGTCATGACGGGGCTCCAGGTCAGCTAAAAGGGCTCGATCGGTGCTGGGGCAAACTCGAACACGCAACGATGGGGGTCTTGCCACCATCCAAGTCGCCTCTGTCGGCGGAAGTCCATCCTCCTTTGCCATCCATCCACGCAGGCCGCGCGATAGAACCTTCCACGACTGGTTCGGCCACCCCGAACGTTCCGGCAATCTCGTCAACCGCCGTCGTTCCACCGCCAGGCCAAGCACCGTGGAGGAGACGCGTGCAGTCGATGGCTTTGGTCGAGAATGCCAGCGGCTGCGTGACGTTGGCGGTGGCAGGTATTCTTAGCCGGTGGAATATGCCATGGTCGTGCAACAGTGTCGAAAATTCCCGCATGTCTCTCTTCAACGTCCAGACTTGTGTGGTAGGGGCGTTCCGGGACGGCGCCCATGTCGTGTACGCTATCCAAGTGTGCACGGGCCCGACTGAGTCGCGCGTCCACCGGCGGTACTCGGCGTTTGGTCAGCTCAAGAAGATCGCGCTACGGCTGCTGACTGCTGGACCTTGTTGCCACCACCGGTCGTGCCACCTGCAGCCCGTCCTCCAGCACGTCTTTGATGAGATCGAGATGGACTCGTACCGAGTTCTCAACACGGAAAAGGTCGTCCGGGAGCGCATCGCGACGCTCCACTTTTTTCTCCAGAGGCTGCACGATGCGTTGTTCAAGTGCCCCGAGCCAACACGGCTGCTCACAGCCGCCCACGGTTGCAAGGTCGCCAAGTTGATCAAGAGCTTCCTCGATATGGCGCCTCCACCATCGTGGGAAGAGTCTTGCCACCGACAAGACATGTCCATGCTCTCGGCATCACGACGACGTGTTCGGTAGGATGCATCGTCAGTTAGTGCAGCGATCTAGCAGGGACCGACCACGGGCGCTTGCTCGATGCAGCGGCGGTGGTCCACCCACTCGACGCGGGGTGGAGACCTATCTCGAGCTGTCGCCCGTGCGGCTGGCGGCATCCACGAATCAAACTCGAATTTCCACGACAGGGTGTCGCCGGAGCGAGACATGTGGGACTGACCACAAGTTCAGGATCTGCGGCGCTGCACAGCGAGGTGGCACGGGAGGACGGAGCCGATGGGAGGCCGAGCATGACGAAAGTGATGGAGACATGGGATTCGAATTAAATACAGGGACGACTACTGGAAAGTGAGGCGCCTACTCGACGGTGGCCGGGTTGGGCGACACGATGCCAAGGAAGCTCTTGAGGAGCTTGGAGACCTTGCACCCTTCGTTTTCACATCGCTGGAGGATGCGTGGCGGGCACTTGGCGAGGGCGTCCTGGAGAAGCTGGAGGAAGTCGGTGAGGAAATACACGCGGTCTTGGACGACTTTGGCCGAGTTCTTGGTGAGGAAGTTGCCGTTGGGGAACTCGGTTTCGAACACGCCGGTCAAGAACGACTCGAGGAGGCACTTGCCGCCGCAGCATTGGCCTTCGAAGATGTGGCGGTGCACGTACTTTTGCAGCTGGACAAACGCAGAGTACCGGCGATGCACGACGACGTCGGCATCCAACGTCTGGACGCGGATCGCGTACTCGGTGTGGTTGCCGTCCCGCTTGGCGTCAACGACAGACGATCGGATGTTGGCAAGGCTCATCGGTCGAGCAAGTTTACAAATAAACCCGGTTGGACCTCATGGTCCATGCTGCCCGCCATGTGGTGCACGAGTTGAACCTGACCCGCTCGCACGCCAGAACTGTCAAGACAAGTTCCCCCGCCATGTGTAGCAGTCTCGGCGCGGCCATGACGCGTTCAGCTACATGATATCATGGAATCGAGGCGGCGTGGCATGAGGGCCACGGGCCAGGCCCTCCGCCGCATCGCGTAGACAAGTCCGTGTTCGGAAGGGTGCAACTCGTTGTGCCGTCGGGCTTGCGACTGGACCTTGCCATATTCGCTTCAACTGTCGTCGACCCTCGGCAACGTGCCGTCGCCGACCGGCTCGGGCGCCGGCCCACGTCGCGCCACCCGACACTTGGAGAAACTAGCCATCGTGTCCCATCCCACTGGCAACTTCGCCAGGAGCTTCGGACCCTCGCTACGAAATACGACAGCGCGGGTCACGCATCTGGTCGGTGGCTCCCCAGCGATTGGCGCGATCTCCGACAGATTCGACCGGATGGGCCACGTTGAGCACTTGATGGGAAGCAGCACGCGGCATGGACTACTGGCGCACAGCGCGCGGCTGCCCTCCCCCATCGCCACGTACACCATGCGGGTGGTCTGTATCCGTGGTTAAAGGTGTGGGGCCTGGGAGCCTGTGCAGCCCTGTCACTTCGCGTCCTGTTGCATGAGTCGGGCATCGCAATGCTGCCCCCACACGTCGCGCGCGGATCGTTTCGGCCAGTGGATTCATCCGAGTAGTCGTCGTCGACTCAGACGACGCCGCCGGCTCTCGACGACCCACCACAAATCGCGACCCCGAGCATGACGTTGCCACGCACCCCTCGGACGTCGTAGCCGATGACGCACCATGGGCTTGGTTTGTTCGAGCTAGTTGAACGTCGCTGGGTCGTGTATTGTCGTGCGGCCGGGGATGCCAGGCCAAGGCTCGGCCGCGTCATGTGCCTCCCATCCACCGATGACTCTCGTCCTGACGCTCGACGAGTCATGTGATCGCAATCCATTGTTCTCTCTCTGTCTCTTCGACACCTGGTGCATCCTCGATACGTCCCATGACCAAGCAGATGATCGTCCCCGTGGGCTCGTTGCCCATCATCGAGAGACGGCTAAGACGAGGCAGCGGCGCGCTACTCTCTCGTACCGCGAGTGCCTGTGTGACTGAGCTCGGCAACCACACCCAACTTTGTGGCGGAGCGCGGGTGCCTCCTTCCTGACACCCAAGCATCTCATCCCACAAAGGAAAATATCTTGTAGTTTGTATGTATCGCTCATATGGTATCCAGCAAAATTCGTCGTGAACGATCTGGATGGACATCATGTCATGCACATTTCAATACTGGAAGCAAGAGAACGGAAAGAAAAATACAATCATGTGGTGTATGATATGAAACGTGTCGTCGTCGTCTCGAGTGCCGTTTTTCCCAACTCTGGCAAGGGCCGCAGATTCCACGCCGCCATGTCCATGGACAGCTTCGTCGAGGCCACCGCTCGCAGCGGAAGACCTTCGTCTACCAAGAAGAAATGAAACGATTTGTCCCATTGGAAAAGATACGCGAGGTTACATCGTCAAGCTCGTCGAAGTCAACTAACCATCGCACTCGGGTCGGCAAACCGTGGAACGAGAGCGCTCGGATCTTGTGTCCACCTTGGTCATCCACACGACAAAGCACGATCTCAACGCACAGTTGTGCTCGAAAGACATCTCACTCAACATCTCACTCACCTTGCTCAATGATGCGATCGAGGCTCGCAAGTCCTTGATGACCGCTTTCGACGTATGTCGTGGCACATGCACGGCATCGGTGGATGCATGCAATGGAAGTTCGTGAGTTCATAACGAAGGGTGACGTTTCTCACATGCTTCCGCAGAACTACAATCGCGGTCAGGATCGACGCAGCATGTTCAACCGGGTGCCGCATGACAGGGTTTCACTGGATCCCGCGCTATGAGCACGCACGCAATGGTTGCATGACAAACAGCAGCCAAGCTGGGATCGTTGGCGCTGTCGTTCCATCAACTCCCGCCAAGGCACTTCCGTGTCACTTCCCATTCTAGATCTCTGCAGAATCACCTGGGACGGGAGTCACGGCAGCGAGCTGTTTCGTGAACCCAGCAGCAGTCGCTTGTGCAACTCACTGCACGTATTCCTCACCTAGCTTTGCTCTGCGCCATCTGCGCCTCCCGCGCACACCGTCGCAAGTCGCCCATGCGGGAGGCTCCAATTTGTCGGAGGACGTTATCCGGATACGGATACAATCTTCCAATCGGTGGCAATCCCATGCCGCGTTGTTCCGCGGCGATCGCGCAGCATTGTTCAAGCTAGCCCGACGAGCTTGGCGGCGAAGCTGCCTTCTCCCGTCGGCGAAGACGCACGCTCTTATGTCTACTGTAAAGCACTACGACGCCAAAGACATTGACAGCCGCCTCGCGTACCAACTCCTCGTTGGTACCGTCGTCCCGCGTCCAATCGCTTGGGTACGGGTTGATGAATCTCTCGCGCCATGCGCCGAGTTCGTGTGTGGAATGTCATGATTATGTGGCACAGATCAGCACGCTGAGCGAGAATGGCGTGTCCAACCTCGCCCCGTACTCGTTTTTTACCGTTGCAAGCACGTTTCCGCCTGTTTTGTCCGTGACGCAAGTGAACCCTCGCGTCGGCGTCGACAAGGACACACTATCGAACCTGAGGCAAACGAAGGAGTGTCAAGTCAACTTGGTCACTCAAGACCTCATTGAAGTCATGAACGGGTCATGCGCCAACTACCCCCGCGACGTGAGTGAGTTCGAGGCGGTCGGCATCGAGCCTGTCGAAGGTACGCGCGTCAACGCTCCTGGCGTTGCCAAGTCGCTCGTCCGCATGGAGTGCACCTTGCGCGATGTTGTGTCGATTGGAAACAGCAGTGTCATGTACTTGGACGTGGTGCATTTCGTCGTAAACGACGCCGTGGCTGGTGACGGCCGGATCGTGGACGATGCTTTGTTCGTCGGGGTCGGAAAGGTCGGCGGCGACGGGTACACGAGCGTGAAGGACCGGTTCGAGTTGGCGCGACCGCAGCTGTAGATAGCAACGAAACGTCAATTTTCTCAACCCATGCACTCGCTATCGTGGCCACCACAACTCCACTCCCTCCCACCACACTAGCACCTTTTCCAACATGGCCATCGTAGTCGAATGTTCGTCATCACCCATCGCCGACCTTTCCTCGCACAATGCGCGGCATGTCGCCATCACCATCTTCCACGATCCAAGTCTGACGGACAAACGAGCTGGAATAACGTTGAATGGATTGCTTAGATGGTCGTGGACAGCGCACGAGTCGCCGTGGTCGCTTCCTCCAGACGCTTCATTCGGCCTTGTCGTAAAACTCGGCAGGGTGCTGCGGCGCGTCATTCACGGCATGTTCATCAGGGTTGCCCATGTCTTGGTCGGCATCGTCTGCGACGATCTTGGATGGTACGTCATGGAATGGGACGCTCGGTGCGTGATCGAGTTGGCGCAACTGTTCAAACAGCAATTGCTAGCCACACAAAACGTTCACGTTGACAACGCACTAGGACCGCTCCATGCTACCTTGATCTCGTTCAAGTAGGACGGCGTGTTGAGGTTCTCCATGTTGCTCACGGGCATGTGCAGCCGGTACTCTGGACCAAAGTACTCAAAGTAGTCGTTGTATGGCATCGCGTCCTGCGATACAGTCGATCATGCATAAAAGCGCAGTGCCCACGTACTGGAATGTCTACGTCCAATAGCACGGACGTCTCATAGCACCAAGCGCGAGGGACGTTGCGGAGGGTGTACCCGCCGCCGCCGATCACGAGCATCGGGACGTTGAAGCTGCGCATGTACGCGACGCAGTCGGCGTGACCCTTGACGCTCAGGTTGAACGACCCGAGTCGATCGCCTGATAGCGAGTCGGCGCCGCACTGGAGCACGATCGCGCCAGGGGCAAAGTGCTCCATCACCTTGGACATGACCTGCACACGCACGGAATATTGCGTCAGGGGCCATGGGCGGCAACTCGACATCGCACCGAGCGGAAGATCGAGCTAAAGCTTTCGTCGTCCATGCCGTCGCGGCAGGGAAAGTTGACCGCGTAGTTCTTGCCTTCGCCATACCCCACGTCCTACATCCGCCATGAGAATCGACTCGCAGCGTTCCATGTACTTTGACGTCGCCAGTGCCAGGGAAGAATTCCCCGTACTTGTGGAATGACACTGTCATGACGCGGTTCGTCGTGTAAAACGCTTCCTCGACGCCGTCGCCATGGTGGATATCGATATCGATGTACACAACGCGCTGGTGCTCCCTGCGACATGGCGTCAGCTGTGGACGGGAGGGCAGCACGTACTTGAGGAGCTCCAAGATGCCCAGGACGCAGTCGTTTACATAGCAAAATCCTGACGCTTCCGATCGTTTCGCGTGGTGCAACCCACCCGACCAGTTGATGACAATGTCGGCGCTGTTGTCGTTCAGTCGCGCGGCACCGCCGATGGACGCACTCGCGTAGAGTTGGCAGAATTCGTACAGACCGTCGAAAACGGGGCAGTCTTCGCCCACGTTGAAGCGCTGCAGCTGGCGGAGGTAGTGATGCATGTTGTCCGGTGATATCAACCGAAGAAAGTGAATGTAATCGTCCGAGTGGAAACGAGTCAGCTCTTCCCACCCGAGAAGCTTGGGGCGCTACGTACACGCGCGTGAGATCCACGAAAATGTCGATATGCGCATCGACCGCTCGCCAAACGTACGTAAATTTGCATGTGCTTGGTCAAGCCATAGTTCGTCACCAGGTTGTGCGTCATGCGAACACGGTGCGGCTACAGAAACAACAACAAACCACATATGAGTAGGGGGTATTCCGTCGCATGACCCATCGATAATGACTGCAACACCGACCTTCATGGGATGGTTTGGGCCATAGTGGTAGTTGCCAATCTCCGCTACGCACAGCCCGTGAGCTTCATCACACAGAAACACCCATGCGTACAGTCGTAGAAGTATGACACACGCTTCTTCACAGCCCCGTTAACGTCGTTCATCGTGAGCGGCATCGTCGGTTGCCCTGGTTGCTGACCGCTCCTTCGTGTACCTGTCGACGTGAGCAAGTGTTCAAAACAACTGCGAGGCCTGGATCTAGTTTTAATTCGATCCTTTATTGTGACTTGTGTTTTGTATTCGTATTCAATATTTCCTTAAAAATGCTACATTGGACAAGGCATATGCCTATGTAGGACCGTTGAATCCGAAATTCAACCGAATTGAGCCTCACGCGTGCGGCAGGATGGAAGTGGCGATGGCGGCATCCAAGCCACCCGCAGCGCCGGCTCGCATGTCGTACGTGGACATCTTTCAACTCCTGCACTCGGAAGACTCGAACAAGACGGCCAAGTTGGTTGCTGAATACGAAGCTGTTCGGGCGGACATCAAGGAGAATGGAGCATCCGGTGACGAGGTAATGGACATCCCTCTCGCTTTGCTTTTCGTCCGGGTCGCATCCCATCACGTGTTCTCGCTAATAGTCAAGCGGGGGCGACGAAGACGATGATTCTGCCACGACTCCCACTCGATCCAACTCGTCTGGGTCGTCCTCCCGACGGCACCCCGACAAACCCAAGCGCTCCTTTGTACGTGTCTTCGTTTGGCCGCATTGTGCCAACCCACCAGGCCATAAACTGTATTCATCCTTGCTTCTCTAGTCCCAAATGTCGTCGGATGATCGACCTTACCCTCGTGGACGCATTCCGGCTGGGTCCGGCCGTCAGCCCAGGTTGAAGAAGTCCAAGTTGATGCAAAAGATCACAGGGCGGAAGAATGCGCGGCCGGTGCCGATGCCCGGCATGTCGTAGCGACCAATTCGAGTTGCCTCCTTCCATGACCCCTTCCAACATGACGAATATTTATATTCAACTTATTCCTCGTCGTAATCGACTTCGCACTCGTCGTCCAGGTCGAACTGGGAACTTCGCGCCGGGTTCAGGATGTCGCGCAGCTTGAGCGATCCTGTATCCGAGTCGGGCGTGCAGCTGCCGTGGTCCCTACCGTCCGTCTGGAGAACTTCAACCGTGCGCGAAAGGAGCGGGCGGCCAGGGGTCGACATCGACTGCGGCGACACAGTTCCTTGGTGGGCTCTGGTTGCTGCGTGGGGAGCTGCATCGGGTCGATGCGATAGCTCATTCTCGTGCGAAGGACGCGCGTCGTCTTCTTTGTGCACGTTTTGCTTTTCTCTCTGCTGCGACGTCGTCCCTCGATCGCTGTCGACGTCCTCAGCATGCCTCGACGATCGGTAGACGGCGCCGCTGTAGTCTACTTGCGGTCGGCCCGAGAAAAAAGCGGCTGGCCCCGACCCTCCTTCCCCATCGTCATGGCGCGGGCGTTGGTTGCGCGTGTCGCTTGCGTCAACATTGCTGGGCTCCTTTCGCTTGGCTGACAAAACAGCATCATCGTCGAAAGTGTGGCGACTGCCATGCCTCGACGCACCCTTCTCCCGGTTCTTGTGGACAGGGCCATCACCTACCCATCGCGAATTCGACTTGCTATCACGAGCAGCGTATCCGCGCATGGAATCGTTTGGGGAAGCGGGGGTGCGCGACGACGAGGCCGACGGGGGAAGCGCCTCTGGCCGACCGCGGGATCGTGATCTGGCTGCTTTCTCTGGCAACCGGCTATGAGACCGCGAGCGCGGCCTGGACACGAATGGCGGCGGCGCATTTACCAACGAACCTCCTCCGGCACGAGCAATTTCACCAAGCGTTCGAGCAGGTGGTCGATTGTCCTGCTGCGACTTCGTGGTACGGAAGTCGTCGACGGTCCCTCGGGGGACACGTCGGTCGCCGTCTCTTCGGTCGTCCCGATTCCATCGATCGTCCTTGCCGGGTCTGTCGCTGTACGAGCTGAGTCGATGGGACGACGAGTTGCTGGGGTGTCGGCTCTCAGGGCTGTATTTGCCCATCGCCCTCGTAGACTCGTGCGACGACTGCGGAGCGCTCGATCGACTGCTGCCCCGACTGTCCAAGTTGCTGTTTCGTCGAGACAAGTGCGACGAGTCATCGACCGACGAGCGGCTGCAAAGGGACCCACCACCAGCTCGCGCCATGTCCCCGATAGTGGGCTGAGGGCGCGATGGCGGAGTGTGTGGTCGACCTCGATCTCGAGAGCGCCGGTCTGGCATCGATCCACCGCCGGAACGTGCCATGTCCCCGATCGTCGCCTGAGGTCGAGAATACGGGGAGCTTGGCCGCGGGCGAGTCCGTTCTCGGGAGCGAGAGCGCATCTCTGACAACGATCCACCGCCGGAACGTGCCATGTCCCCGATTGTCGACTGAGATCGGGACGGTGGCGAACTTGTCCGCGGTCGATCTCGGGAGCGAGAGCGCCGCTCGGACAACGA